GGAGCATGCCTAGACCAAACTTTGCAAAGCAAGAATTTGGTCTAGTTCACTAGGCTAGGGTCAGTCAGCTTAGATGGTCACATTGTTGCGTTTTCTGAAACTGCAATTTTAATCAAACAATCATTCAGCCCACTAAAGCCTTTTTCCCCCTTTTGTAGCATCAAAAAAGGCAGCAGAAGCTTGATGGCAGAGCGACATTGGATTCCTTGACATCTCCTAGTCGAGCGGATAAGGATATGGATGTGAGGGAAAATGAAACCGCCGACTGTGAACAACATGAAAACCCCTCAGTGATGAATGAACAAAGTCTTGTTTCAGCCGGTTTACCCGAACAGGATCAGAATGCCGAGCTAGAAAACGAGAAAGACGAAGATTCAGCAGCTGACTGCGACTCGTCTGCAGCACCATCGCCGGTCGACAATCGTTTCACCGTCTTGTCCGAAGAGCAGCACTCTCAGGACAGCAGCAGCAGCTTGTGTAATGGCATTTCCACCATGGAGCTGGTAGAGGATGAGGAGGACGACGCAACGTTGGTTCATAAAATGCAGCAGGTGGCCTTGGATGATGCTTTCATCGAAGACTCCGATGCGATGGAGCAGAGCACAGAGAGCGGAGATGATGTGCTGGAAGCCAAAGTGTACACCGTAATAAACCAAGACCCGGAGCTGGCCTTCAACACCCTGGCTGCCAGAACCGTCCCAGAGAGGCAGGAATGTTCGGTGCAATCGTGTCTTTTTCAGTTCACAGAGGTGGAAACTCTCACGCAGAACAACAGCCTGCTGTGTGTCGCCTGTAGCAAACAGCTGCTGAGGAAAGCTGGAGGTACAAACAATTAATTACACCCGAACAGACTTTGAGATGAGTTTTAGAATCAGTGAAGTACATTTTCTTTATTTTGGGGGTTTAGGATCCAAGAAAAACGTCTACACGGATGCCTTGAAGCAAATGTTAATTTCCTCTCCCCCAGCTGTCCTCACCCTTCATTTGAAAAGATTTCAACAGGTAAAAAAATGTAGTTTTTTAATTCAGATGATTTTTCCAAGTTGTCTTTATACTCTAAGCTGAGAAACATTGATTTGTCTACTTTTGTAAGACAAAGGAAGACTTCTTGGATAATATTTTGTACAATATTGTTGTTTTCCTCTAGAGTGGATACAGCATTTGTAAAGTAAACCGACACGTCAACTTCCCGATGGTTCTTGATCTCGCTTCTTATTGTGCAGCCAAATGCAAGGTGTGTGTTGAAAATGGTTGTTTGCAGAATTTTCTTGTTAGAAAAACAATTTTTTTTACGTTTTTTTTTTTTTTTTTGCCAACAGAATATTTCAGAAGGAGATAGTCAGATTTTGTACAGTTTGTATGGAATCGTAGAGCACAGCGGAACAATGAGGTCTGGTCATTACACAGCATATATAAAAGTTCGACCTGAACGTCTTAAAACGACATCTAACGGGATTGCTACAGAAGGTGGGTGTCCGTGACTATAGAATAACATCCTGAAACTATTGTCGTTTTCATCAACTCGTGATTTGTCCTCAGGAGATCCAGAACCGCCCAAAGGATCCTGGTTCCACGTCAGTGACACAAGTGTCCAGCCTGTCAGTGAGAGCAAAGTCCTGAGCAGCCAAGCCTACCTCCTCTTCTACGAAAGACTCGTCTAACTACTCGTGGACTTGGGTACAATCAAATTAATCAACCAAACTTCCAACAAATCAACGTTTTGCTTCTGCCCCACAACACAGGGGACCTTACCAGGGCTTTAGTAAAATTCTGCAGATTTTACTCGAGACATTTGAGATTGTAAACCTCTTCTCTTTTTATTTTGAATGACACAAATGTTACAAGTGGAAAATGAGCTATCTAAGATTCATGGGAAACTGGCAGTTTGTGCAAATTTCATAGATTGTCTCAACAGAAAATAAACATCTGGCAACAGTTATTTGTAAGATGTATTAAAATGTGTGTGTATAGTTTGTGTCTATTTTTAAGATGATTTTTCATGTGATTAAATACTTCATCATGGAATGCTGCCTGGATTGGTAGTGCGCATGCGCAGGATGCGATGGTTCCTGGTGCTGATGTCACATGACTCGAAGTTTCTCCTGTCGGGGGGGAATCGCTAAATTATCCAGCACGTCAGCGTCTATCTACGATCATGGCAGGTCAGTGAACATTGGAGGGTAGAGATTAAACATATTTGTGACTTTAGTGTCGGCAGTTATTTTTGTTTAATCCCAAGCCTGGTAAATGTGGGTATTCGCTGCAGGAATAATGGCTAACCTAACGGTCTGGCCTAACAAGCTGGGTACATTTTTGACATTTACCGTTATATTTAGCTTATTGTTTTCTTAAGTATCGATACATTTGTTCCAATTCAGAATATTTTCGTTATATTTAGCTGCTGGGCCCAATTGAGTAACTTGACTAAGCATGAGTCAGCATTTTTGCTTTGCACTTACAAGTTCAGTCGGTAACTTTGAATCTGCTTTTACTGTAGTTCCGCTTTCAGAGCTAAACTAGCGGCGTTTGAGATGATTTACACCAACTAATATTCAGATTAAAAACCAAATCACTAGTAATAATCCCATAATTCACTATTTACGTCCACATGCCAGATTAAATCACCACTTCCTTTGAGTTTGACCAGGTCTTGTCTCTCAAGTAAGATCACTTTAAATCGGTGCAAATGTTTTGTGACATGAGAAAACCTTTCCTAGGAGCTTAGTTTTGGTAAGAATTTTTGCAGACTCAACCCAAGACGAGGATATATCTAAATGTTTCATCTTCAAAGGGTTTTTCAGCCATTATAACGTATTTTCTTTGTAAAAGTTATAACTCCTAATTTGCTCAATGGCTGTTGCCTGGATAATTTTCATTTATGATTAAGTCCAACTAAACTGGCGTAAGTGTATTGCTGCTGTCCTGAAACTGCTTCAGTCGACTAAATTTCACAGTATATTTTATTTAAACGTTCACACAAAATAACTCTGATGTTACAATAAAAATGAATGAAGATATCAGTAGTATTAACCCATGTACAAAAGCATTAAGAAATGAGTAAATAAAGGACAAATAATGTCATTTAATGGCATGTAGTCAAGTATTCTTTAATCCGGACTCTTACTCCAATTCACAGAAGTAGAAAACATCGTACAGATAGCATGATATACACACACACACATACATATATATATATATATATATATATATATATATATATATATATATATATACACACATATATATATATATATATATATATATATATATATATATATATTAGTGCTGGTCGATATGGCCTAAAATCAATATCATGACATATTGAGGATTTCACCTCGATAACGATAAATGGACAATAACTACATGAGTGCGCAGAAACTAAAGTTGTCCACTAGATGGGGCAGTCACGTGTGTTAGTGGAGTCACATTTAAACATGACTCAAGGTGGTACAGCTTCCAACCTACACACATTTTTTTAATATCATATTTATTGACATGGGAAAAATGATCTCGATAAGTCAGAAATTTCGATAGTGATAAATTTTCTATTTATTGCTCAGTCCTAATATATAGTAAATTTTATATGTAACTTACAATATTAGGAAACACTGCGTAGAGGCGGGATCATATAAGCTCAAGTTGTGATTCATTTCTTTTCATTTTATCATGTTTATTTGTGGAAATTTGTCATCTTTAAGAAAAATAAATCAAGCCTTCACTTTTCCGTGACACTGGTTTTAGATCACAGAATAAATGTTAAAGTTAAAACTGGATTAAAAAGAAATAGTCACCAGAATTAAAAACACAAAACAGGAGTAATTGATGTAGATTACATTTAAATAAGAAGAAAGATATAACCGACATTCAGGCAGCCCGTTCCGCGCTTTATGACTTGTAAATAATCAGAATTCCTTGTAAGTAACTCAAATGAACTCGAACATGGTGTAAAAGTTTACAACATAATGTTTTAAATACTAAAACTTCTTTTTTTAAGTCATCTGTCCTGAAGGATGTAAAACTTGCTTCAAACCGAGGCCATTTTTTTTTTAAATAACCAACTTCCTGAAACCTGAGGAGGAATTATTTTTGTCACAATGAATAAGCAGAATCAAGGTGCTGTGTGGGCATTTTCCACATTTAGTGACTTAAAATAATCCAACAAAACCATAAATGAACTTTCTCTACTTGTTAACGAGCACTGTGACTGTTTATTATTATTTTTTAACTCCGCAGGCTGAGCTTCTAAGAACCATGACGCTCCAAGCTTCTCGCATGTCAGTGTTCACCTTCCAGTCCGCCGTGCACAGCAGCCATGTTCTCCAGTGTCTGAATGACCAGAGGCAGCAGGATATCCTTTGTGACGTGACGGTGGTGGTGGAGGACCGGAGCTTCAGAGCCCACTGCTCGCTCCTGGCCTCATGCAGCGAATATTTTCACAGTCGGGTCGCCGGCGTCACCAGAAACAATCCAGTTATCATCTTACCCAGCGAGGTCAGTGCCGTCGTGTGGAGTTGTTTCTATATCATTGGCAAAAAGTTAAATAAGTGAAATAAAACTCGGTTTATGCATGACAGAAGGATGTGATCAGTTAAAAAAAATGTCGTTTTCTTCGTTTTATTAAAAAATAGAAGATTTTATTTCACTCAGAGCTGATACGACACCCCGTGTTTCCTTTCAAGTGGTTTCATTGTGACGATTCAAAGCTGTGTGACCCGTGGCGTCACGATTTTCTGCACTTCCCTTTCTCCACAGGTGACTGTGGAAGGGTTTGAACCTCTGCTTCAATTTGCCTACACATCAAAGCTGCTGTTCACCAAAGAAAACATTCATGCTATTCACACCAGCGCCGAGATTCTAGGATTTCACAACCTGGAGTCGGCCTGCTTTGATTTCCTCATCCCAAAGTTCTCCGAGGGTAAAAGAAGCTCACAGCAGGTCAGGCATAGCGTTTGTTGTCAGAACTGGGAGCGCGGCGGCGGTTTTGGCTCCGGTGTAGAAAGCAGCCGTGCAGAATCATTTGAGTCGCACAGCTCAGTGGCTTCAGGAGGTGATGAGCGAACGGCCCTCCCATCAAGCTGCCCTCCGAGCGCACAGGGTCAGACCCACAGAGGAGAGGAACACTTTTGTTTTGAGGACTGTGGGCCACAAATGACTTCCTTATCTCTAGAGTTAGCAGCAAAAAGCGTGTGCCCCGTGTTGTCTCCGCCGTGCCCAGGCTCTAACCAAGCAGATCCGTCCTCTCTCTACTGTGATAAGGACGTTTTACAGATGGGAGACGGAGATGCGTGCAATCAGAGCGAGCCGAGTTTGGCCAGCTGTGGTTGTGAGCTGTCAACAGCCGGGGAAGTGAACCCACCAGAAATCCCCAAACCAGGAAGTGAAGATAACGAATGCAGCTGTGACCCCGCCTCGTGTCCTCTGAACATGCTGAAGGTTGAGGTTTGCCCTGAGCAGGAACCTGCGTGTGACCTCCCAGACCCGGCCTTATCCGTCCTGGGAGACGTAGCAGGATGTCAGGAGCGAAGCCGCGTGGAGAGAGAGGTGGCTGAACATCTGGCTAAGGGGTTCTGGTCTGACTTGTGTCCAGCTCAAGCTCCAGAGCCGTCTATCGATGCAACAAATCAAAACAATCTGGCTAATGCCTCAGACTTCCACTGGCTCAGACAGCTGGACCTGAGTTCTAACGCAGGAGATTGTCCCTTCCTCAGGGACCTCGGGACAGGTGATGATCCGGGCACACACGCCGACAGCTTCTCCCAATCCGAGAAGAGTCCCTACATGTCCTCCTCGTTAAACTCTGCAGAAGAATCAGACATGGACACAGATGGAGACGCCGAGGCTAATAACAAGAGAGCCGCAGAGGTCATTCTGTTATATTATCTAGTTCTGCTTTAATGCAGTAAATACAATTAATATAACTTCTAAGTTTCCTTTTCCACAGATTAATCTCCCATTTCCAGTGGAGCAGATCTCAGAACTGAGCAGAAGTGCGTTCCAGCAGCTTCTGAAGAACCATGACCTGACACAGGACCAGCTGGAGTTTGTCCATGACGTCCGGCGGCGAAGCAAAAACCGCGTGGCGGCACAGCGCTGTCGGAAGAGAAAGCTTGACAGCATTCACCAGCTGGAATGTGAAATCAAAAAATTAGTAAGTTCAAAATAGTGCCTCATGATTATCTTCATTTCTGTTTTTATCTGATTTTTACAGACACGTTTTTATTCTGAGCCAGTCACAAGAACAAAACAGTGCATATGTTTTATTCCCAAAGTTTGTCCAATCTGAAATCTACAACTTCCCAAAAGAAAACGCAGACATAAAAAATACTAAACCAATTAAAGGAGACATATTACGCTAAACTTACCTTTTGTGCAGCCATGTGTGTCTCTACTGTTGCTACAGACACTCCAAATGTGAAAAAAAATCCATTCACCCACTTTCTGTCAGTGTTACGTTTTAGGAATTATGCACCTAAAATGAGTCGTTTAACCCCAAAATTCCACTACCTCCGCTCCGCTCCGGCACGAACTCCGCAGCTAAATCGGTCCCGTTGTAGTCAATCAGAGCTGTTCCACTACCCAGTGCGCCGCCCTCTGTTCCGCCATCCGGCAGAAATGGGATTGATTCTATTTTTGCCGGACGCCGGAGCACCTCCGTAGTCAATGGACAGAAATCACAACCGCCCAACAGGAAAGGGAGCAAGCACAACTTCCGTTATTTCACAATAAACCGATAAACAAAAAGCGTTTTTTATTTCATATCAAATCAAATCAACTTTATTTATAAAGCACTTTTCATACAAAAAATGCTACTCAAAGTGCTTTGCAGATTAAAATGGCCCCAATAGATCCCATATTCCCATCCCAGCCCCCCTCCCCAAGTATAAAACAATTAACAATTACGGTTCCCCTCCCGCACCCAACTTCCAAAGTGGACATACAATCCCCCCCCCCCCCCCCCCCCCCCCACACACACACACACACACACGTGAACACCAAAGGAAACAATAGGCTGAGTTCAGATGGGTCAAGTAATGAACGAGACATCATCAGCGGAGCCATCTGCCCTGACAGTAACAGATTCACGGCAGCAGCCAAGACACCGGCCCATGACGCCCAGTGGGGGGTGTAGAAACCCCCACCAGTTCCCGGGCACTACCCGAGGAGCGCCCCGGCCGCCGCCCCTGACCACCGGCCCCAAGGCAGACGGCTCCGCAGAGGAAACACTGGAGGATTAAAATATATAACATGTAAAATAACAAGAGCTAATATGGATAAAAAGTAACTGATAAAAAGTGATTATAAAGATAGTAAAAGAAAACATAATCATGTAAAAACACTTAGATGTAAATAAAATGATAAAATTAATTAAAAGAGATAAATATGTATATATAGATAAATAGTGATCAGTTAAAAGCTAAGCTAAAATGGTGGGTCTTGCGCCTATTCTTAAAAGCCTGGACGTTTCATATGAACAGGTTTAACAACTTTTTACAACTATCAATGGCGGCTGAACTTTAAATGCACAAAAATAAGCCATAAATACAGTTTCTACTATCAAAGTAGTCGCACTTTGTTGATCCAAACACTGCTGATCTCTCAACACAAATGATGGGCAGATTAAACAGTTCATTTCGATGCTTCTCCCACACAACGGGTGTTTGGATCTAACTTCCCCGTTTATTGCTCGGACTGTATCGCAAGATCTCGAAAGTCCCGCGCATGCCTGTTTGTGCACCTCAGGTCTCCGTACCGGAGCGGAGCCGTTGTAGAGCGGGTACCAGTAAAAATTGACTTCGGAAGCGAGCGGCTGCGGAAGGCGGGGGTGTAGCGGAGCGGAGGTAGTGGAATTTTGGGGTAAGACGTCCCCGTTTCTAATAATAATAATAATAATAATACATTTTATTTAAAAGCGCCTTTCAGGACACCCAGGGTCATTTGACAGGAAAAATACATTCAGTAAAATACATTAAAACAACAATAAAACAAATGAAGAAAAGAAAATAGAAAAAAAAAACAATTCAAATAAAATCAGAGGTCATAGGCAGATTTGAGCAGGTGTGTCTTGAGTCTGGATCTGAAGAGGGTGAAACTGTCAATATTTATGATGTCTGGGGGGAGTGAGTTCCAGAGATGGGGAGCAGAGCTTTCAGCCGCTCTGCTCCCCGTGGTAGTGAGACGGGTAGAAGGCACAGCAAGATGGAGGGAGGAAGACGATGTGAGGGAACGGGAGGGGGCGGTAATACTTATAAGGGGTGAGAGGTTGTGGATAGCTTTGAAGGTATGGAGGAGAATCTTGAAGATGGACCTGAATTTAACTGGAAGCCAGTGAAGCTGCTGGAGAACCGGGGTGATGTGGTGAAAGGAAGGGGTTCTGGTGATAATACGGGCTGCTGAGTTCGGTACCAGTTGAAGTTTATGAAGGAGTTTGTAGGGGAGACCAAAAAGAAGTGAATTGCAATAATCGAGACGGGAGGTTACGAGACTGTGGACTAGAATGTCGGCAGTGTGAGGGCTAAGGGAGGGGCGGAGACAGTTTATGGAACGAAGATGGAAATAGGCTGACCGAGTTATGTTATTGATGTGAGCATGAAAAGAAAGTGAGCTGTCGAGGATGACACCCAGACTCTTACCTGAGGGGAGGGGGAGCCTGTGGCGCAGTCAATAGTTAAAGAAAAGCTGTCAGATTTGGAGATGGTGGATTTGGTACCAACAAGAAGAAATTCAGTTTTATTGCCGTTGAATTTGAGGAAATTAGAGGTGAACCAAGATTTGATTTCTGAGAGGCAGATAGTAAGGGAGGAGGGTGGGTGAGTGGAGTTAGGTTTACTGGAAATGTAGAGCTGGGTGTCATCTGCGAAGCAGTGAAACTGGATACTAAATTTGTGGAAGATATTGCCAAGAGGGAGGAGATAGATTATGAAGAGGAGGGGCCCCAGGACAGAGCCCTGGGGCACGCCTGACTTGACTGGGGAGGGTTTTGAGGAGGTGGATTTTAACTGGATGAACTGAGTGCGGCCGGTAAGGTAAGAGTGAAACCAGCGGAGGGGGGTGTGAGTGATACCTAAGGAAGAGAGTCTATTGAGGAGGATGGGATGAGAAATGGTGTCGAAGGCCGCACCTGGATCGAGGAGAATGAGAAAGGAAATCAAACAAGAATCAGCAGCAATGAGTAGGTCGTTGGTGATTTTAAGGAGAGCTGTTTCTGTGCTGTGATGGGGACATGCAACGGTTTTCTCTAGAATTTTGGAAATGAAGGGAAGATGGGAAATGGGACGGAGATAATTGAAATCATTTGGATCGGAACCAGGTTTTTTCAGTATAGGACTGACTGAAGCGGATTTGAAGAGGGATTTTGGGGGGGGGGGGGGGGGGTGAGGTAAAGAAAGACGGATTCTACTGACCTTATCATTGAAAAACTGAAGGAGAGAGTTACAGATTTCTGAAGAATAAAGATGGATGGGTAAGGAATCAGGAGGCTGAAAGATGCTGTTCATGATGGAAAACAATGTCTTAGTATTGCTGGAGTTGGAGCAGATGAGACCGGAGTAAAACTGAGAGATGGAGTCCTTGTAGAGAGAAAATTGAAGCAGAATATAAGTCTTTATGGATGGTGAGACCGGTTTTCTTGTAAAGTCTCTCAAGCCTTCGGTTTGTGGCTTTCAAGGAGCGTAGGGCAGGGGTAAACCATGGAGCAGACCGAATGAAATACACAGAACAGGATTTGATTGGAACAAATGAATTGAGGATGGAAGCCAGACCATTATTGTATTGAGTGACAAGATCGTCGAGACTAGAGGATAAATCTGGGGTCAGGGTGGTAATGCTGGAGGAAAGGGAGATTAGATCAATGTCCTTGATATTACGAAATGAAATGGTACGGGCTGACGTGATGATGGAGAGACAGAGGGGAAGTGAAAATGAGATGAGGAAGTGGTCCGTGAAAGGGAGCTGATCAGCTGTTGGAAGGGGTCAGGGTTGTGATGTCACAGTGAGGAGATATGTATTTTTTTTTTTTTTTGGTATAACCACAGTAAATTTTTAGCGGACACTAGGGGGAGCTAAAAGCAAGCAAAAATGCCTGGTTACCCTTTAAATTAGGAAGAAGAGCTTTTCACCGTGTCATAAGCAATAAAAGAGGTAATAAAAATCCAGCGTACAGGAGAACCATGTCAACAGAACACGAACAGGATGTTCAGTGTGATTTGATTGATTTTTTTACTGCCGCTCTCTCCACAGAACATGGAGAAAGAGCGGCTTCTGCAGGAGCGGAACGAGCTGGAGCAAAACCTGGAAGAGATGCAGCAGAACCTTTACGGACTCTGCAAGAGTGTCAACATCGAGTCCGCCTCTGAACACGACCACCTGCAGCTCCTGGCCAAACTTTCCTCATCGGAATTTCCCATCTCATCCCTGAACCTGGAGAAAAACAACGAGCCGTCGCTGATGAATCCTCCTTCAAAGCGTGAGGGAAGTGCGCCACCTTCAGTCTCCGTCCAAAGAGCAGAGCTGCAGGTCTGCACAGAGGACGCCGGCTGTCCTCTCCCTGCTGCTCTGCTCTCTCCCTGTTTAGATGTGACCAACATCCTTTAGGTTTCCATTGCAGCATTATCTCAGAATGAACAGAGCAAACGGTTCTTTCACGGTAATCCTCTCTTCTTCACCTAAATCATTTTCAGTAAGATGAAGGTGTTTTCCATTCTTCTTTATAACTTTTATTTTTATGAGGAAAACTCAAAATTCAGTATTTCAAAAGTATTTACAAAGCAAGAAATTCCTATTATAATTTTCAAATTCATGTACATTTTTTCCCCAGGGCTAAATAACTTGACTGTATTGTAAATCGAACTGCACACAAATGCAAACGCCTACTGTTGTCATCTTCACCAACACTTTTATTTCAGCACTATGCTTTTCATTTGAATAAATATGCACAAAAATAACTTTTTTTTTTACAGCTGACACTAATTCTCAGCATTATTCAGATGCATTGTTTGAAGGTGGGGGAATGGTTCCAGAGGTAAAATATTACATAACATGAAAAAGGACATTATTTGATTTTGAATGTGCCTTATACATCAGTATAGTATCAAGCACAGTTGCACATTAACCCAGAACTAATGTTGGTTGCATTATCTTACATGTTGCTTCATCTGCATGTAATTGTTTTTATAAACTGTTTTGATAATTGCAGGATGAAATAAACATTTAATATTTTGTCTTGGTAATGTTTTAACATTTCATTAATGCATATTTCCAGATTTTGGCCAGTAGGGGGCAGTAAAGATCCACCTCAGTTATGCTGATTTTTTGCAGAATTTGCAACAGCGTAAACGTTTACTCTTGTTTTTTCTTTTAATAAAAAACGTATGCATGTTTTTTCTTTTAATAAAATTGCATTCAGAATTATGGCCTTGCATATGTTTCATCATATACTGCAGTTGAAACAAATGAAAAGCTTGTAGCATGAATTTAAATTGTGACAATTTTTTTGTTTTGATTATGTCAAAATTGGCAGAAAAAGTCATTTAGAAATGTAATCAGCAAAAACTGAGAAAAGGCCAGATTTAGATTAGCCTCATATTTCATGAAAAATAACCAGACAGAAAGTGAAATGAAGTAAATATTTTTAAGACGAACCATAATAATCCTAAATGTTGAATAACAGTTTGCGTTGAAAGCATCTTTGATTTGCTGGAGTGTCACTTTTTTATCAAAGTAAACAAAAACAAAAAGTCACCAAAGGTCTCGGGCTGAGTGTCTTGCACAAAAACTAAAAAAGGTTATGAGTCGTGTGTTTACAAACAATTCACTCTTTTTGTCCTTCGTTCTTAAAGTGATACTATTCAACTTTTTCATAAAATAATTTTCTTGAGCCATGTATGTACTAAAATTACCCTTTACAGGGTTAATGAAACGTCATTCAGACCTGGTGCTGGTGGAGTGGAGCTGACGAGTTGTAACTGGTCTGCTTCCAGCACGTTTCCTGCGTGTATACAGCCGATTTGTTTCATTTAGAGATGAATCGCTCCTGTAGACACTATTGAAAACTGGGGAGACATTTCACTTGTTAGATTAAGGTGTTAAAAAAACGAACGCACAGCAAGGAGATACGTTTCATTTACTGTATAACTACAGTGAATAAATAACGGACACTAGGGAGTGTTAAAGCAAGCAAAACTGCCTAGTAACCCCTTTAACATTGTTAAAGGTGTCAAATTTGGTTACTGCAGCCCATTTTCCAAACAAATGAGTCACTATCTCACTCCCCTTCTGTGAGTTTCAAAGCTTTTGCCAGCTACGGCTCAGCACCAGAGGTAATGGCGATTTTTTTTTCCAAAATGACTGTTAGCTTAATATTAGCTTTTAGCCTTCTTTACCTGATATTAGAATAAAATAAAAAGATGGTGTGGCTTCTTAGGGGTACAAGAAATAACTTCTGGGTCACTCCTGTTACTGGCATAGGATCTTTTAAAAAATGCTGTTGTGTTTTGTTGGCTGATCTTGGATTATAAATGCTAGCTCTACAGTGTTGCCTCTACACAGACTCTGCAGCCCTGTGGGCTCACCGATAGTAAACAAAGACACAGCTTTTTAGACACTATAGCTTTTTAGAAAGGAGACAAACTGACAGCCCCCCCCCCCCCCACCCCCCACCCCCGCCGGCTGAGAAGGAAATCTGTTTCAGTGTAACCTTCCTTCCAACATGATTGATACATTAGACTGTTTTCTGATTATTTCTCTGTAAAATTTTTACATATTGTACTTTTAAATCTTGACTGGTGCTGTGACGTGCTGGGGCCTCTACTCTTCCTCCTCTATCTGCTTCCTCTTCTTCTCTCACCCTGGATTCTCATGCCAGTTCTCTTGTTCGCTCTTCCTTCTTCCATTTCAGGAACATTGCTAAGCTGAGTCCCATTCTGTCCCGCTCTGAACTTGAGACGGTTATACACACCTTCATCTCCTCACGTTTAGACTACTGTAACTCTCTTTATACGTGTCTGAGCAGATCCTCCCTGAACCGTCTACAGGTGGTTGAGAATGCCTGTGCTCGGCTTCTGACCAAGTCCTCCAAACACACCCACATCACCCCGCTTCTCCTCCAGCTTCACTGGCTGCCAGTCAACTTCAGGGTTCTTTTCAAGATCCTGGTTCTGGTCTATAGGGCCTTACATGGACAAGCACCATCTTACATTGGTGATCTTCTTAGTCCCTACACCCCCAGCAGGTCCCCGAGGTCCAGTGACCAAAGCCTACTGGTTGTGCAGCACACCAGGCTAAAGACCAAAGGTGACAGATCATTTGCTGCTGTGGCCCCCAGACTCTGGAACTCTCTCCCCCTGAGCCTGAGATCAGTGGACTCAGTGGTCTCCTTTAAAAAGCAGCTGAAAACTGATCTGTTCAAGCTGGCTTTTGCGTGACCTTCGTCATCACCTGCTCCTCACTCTGCTCTTTCTACTTACTCCGCCTTTCCCGGGATCCACTGATTTCCCTCTTTCTATTCCTTTTCTCTCTCCCTTTCCTTAAATCATTTTTCTTTTCTCCTTTTAAATTTATTTTTCATCATTTTTTAAATCTTTTTATACTTGAATTTTTTGTTTTTATGAAGCACCTCGTGATGTTTATCTTGAGAGGTGCTTTATAAAAGATCGTCTTCTTCCTATTTTGTGTATTAGCCGCTGATAGAATATAGACAGGGAAACGCTTGGGTCAGGAAAAGTCACACAGATGACATACTGTAAATTAACAGACTCACCCAGCTTGGCTCGCTTTGGGAAAGCTGTTAATGATTTAGCATCCAGGAGAGAGCAGAGAATATTTCTGCTAGTATAAGCTAACCGCTAGCATCAGTGGAGTCAGTGGTAGTCACGCTACTGTTAGCCAATCAGAGGCAATATGTTGGAATATCAGGAAATAATATTCCAAATCCTGCAGTGTACCTCTCCTCTGGCTAACTTCTGCTTCCTGAAACAGTGGCGGCTGAGCTCTTTCCCCACGTAGATCGATTCACAAGGCATTCATTTATACTAGAGATCACTGAAAATCAAAAATCTAAATATTGTCCCTGAAATTAAGACACTGACTTACATTTGAGAGACTAAATCAGTCAGAATAGTAGCCAAATTGCCACACAAATGTTTTTACAGTTCCTTTGTGCTGCTTCAATACATCCGTTTAAAATAAATCTTGATCCAAACACACCTTTACCTTTAATTAACAAAGCATTATGCATTAGATATATTTAATAATTTCCCTGTCAGAACTCAGGATTTGTTCCTCCATATTCATGCCTCTTATTCACAGTTTAGATCTGGGAGCATTGTAGTGCAATAGTAAGATGATCCTCTTTTTCGAGCTCAACGGGATGAGAGACTTGATTTGAGGCGGAAGCAGCTGTGCAGCATGGCAAGGTCAGAGGCCCATAATCCGCGGCCTCATTCATGCAAGATTAAAAACCTGCTCTCTGAGTTCTGATTAAGAATGCAGGGTTAGAAGATTAAAGACCAGCAAAACAAAATGAAAAAAGTTAAAACCCAGTCCTGGAATTCATCAGAATAGCAAGACCTTAAACAGTCGGAACGTCAGATTAATGCAAAGCCCGCTGTGTTTGTTTTGATGAATTTTGTGTGTGAAAACCTATACATTTTCCATTTTGCTCCCAAAATATAAATATTTTCTTTTTACAGATAACGTGATATTAGATTAAATGAATTTGCTTTAATGGCACAAGTGTTATTCCTAAAAGAATGGCAGTATTTAAGGACTGAACGTGTTATTCCATTGACTCATTGAATTTTTTCATTTGTATTTTTGAGTTAAAAAAGGTAAAACGTTTGAAAAACAGTCTGAACTTAATTTGTAGATTATTTAAGCAGTTTAAACTAAAACTATTTGACGTGAAAGATCTATTTATAGCCTGGTGCAACAATTAGTTTTCACATAAATGGAGCTAGTGGGACACATTTCTGTTCTAAACCCAAAAACATAAGTATTATAGGGACATTTCTTTAACGCGAGTCAAATCCTAAAGAATGACACAATACTTATAATCAATCTTAGCAGAAGGTCCATGACCTTGCACAGTCTTAAGCTGCTGAACTACTGATTACACGCCAAAGGGACTGCGAACTTCAGCTTCAGGAGAAAGGGACCATGTCCTATTGACAAGATTATATAAATGAGGACTATAATACTGTGATCTCCAGGAGAAATGAGAGAATGCATGGGACACGGTGACCCCCAGTTAGCTAGCACCCTGATCTGCAACAGTCAGATTAACAGCTGGTTGAACTGTAACAAATGACATCCCCTTGTTTTTTTTTTTTTACCTAAAACATCTCTAAAGTGTCTGACTGGACAAAATCAATCAGAAAGGTTTTACAGAAGATGAAGACGGATCATTTAATAAGTTATTAGCAAAGTGTTCAATTAACAGTGAAAAACTGCAAAAATGGAATCTGAACTTCTACCAAAATTTAAATGCAATTCAGTTGATTAGCGCCAATTCACACAGTCATCTCAAGGAACTTTACAAAGTAAATAATTCAACTGAACCTAAAGTGCACCAAGTTCAGTTTATTAATAGTTAAAAGTTTTCTAAGGAAACCCAGCAGATTGTATTACACACTGCCTAGTTGTGTCAGTGACTATACAGTGATCCCTCAAACTAACCAAGTGGCAAAAGTGGAGAGGAAAACTCAACAGGAAGAATCCTCCAGCAGAAAAACATTTTTTAAATACTTATTGAATCAATCAATCAATCAATCAATCAACTTTTATTAACAGACTCAAGGTCCAGAGACAATAAAAACAAACATAAGATAAAAAACTACACAAGAAAAGGCAAAGATACAAGGAAGTCAATATAAACACCTATACCAATAATGCCATAATTCAGACTGATAGCGTGTGGTACTGCAGTCAACATTAACCAAGCACTTAATAATAACATTTCCACATTGATTAACTCAACAAATAAACTTAAACATCAAGTTCCTCAACATAGACTGGAATGTATTGATCCTAGAAGAGACAAACAAGCAACTCGCACTTTCCCAACGAGGCCTCTTTAGTAATATTCTCAGACAATCATTATATGCTGCATTAAGACGCCTAAGACTTGTTTGCTTATAGGAAGACCACAAATGAGCAGTTTATAATTGAGTACAGTATACTTTAAAGAGTGTATTTTCAACTGCATTAGTGCACATACTAAACCTACGCACTAACATATTAGCCTGCGCATACATTCTACGACATTGCCGATTAATATCATCATCATAAGCCAATTCATCATTAATAAAGTGCCCAAAATATTTATATTTTTTTGTCAGAGGCAAAACATTACCACATAATTCAAATTAGCGAATTTAACCCTTTATCTTCTTTTGTTCTACAGGTCATGATGACACTCTTACTAGAATTGTAATTGATGTCAAAATCCACCCCATACTTTGAGCAAATATCTAGCAGTTCCTGTAATCCCACACTACTAGGACTCAGGACGACAAGATCGTCAGCGTACATAAGATGGTTGACTAGGGTTGATCCAATCATACAACCAGTTCTGCAATTATTTACCTGCTGTGACAGTTCATCCATGTACAAGTTGAAAAGCACATGAGAGTACCCCGCCTTGCTTTACTCCATTAGTAGCACCAAAAGGAGCAGAAAATCTACCACCCCATCTCACCTGCACATCCTGATTAGCATACCAGTAGACTAGGATTCTCAGAATGTACTTAGGAACCCCTCGTTGTCACATTTTAACAAACAGTTTCAGATGATTTACACAGTCAAAGGCTTTAGACGCATCAATAAAGGATAACACAGAGGAGTTGCCTCTTTGAAACTTCCTGTTTCTTTTAAAGCAAATATGCACAAATCTGTGCTAAGCTTAGATTTGAACCCAAACTGATTATCTGTAGAGTAGATAAAATCCTTTAGCCTACTTAGTAGCACTTTTTCCATAACCTTGGATACAATGCTTGCCAATGCAATGGGCCTATAGCTGTCCATGCTTCCTGCTCTACCTGCTTTGTCTTTTATGACAGGGACCAGAATAATAGACATAAGTGCATCAGGCAGAATGCCATGTATCAAACATCTAGTAAAACAGATGGCCAGTAGAGGTAATAACCTAAAGTTAGCATATTTCAGATGTTCTGTGTATATTCCATCCAGTCCACAAGAATTACTGTCTGGAAGCTCAGTCACTGCTTGACGCACCTCACAAGCCGTAACACTAATGGACTCAGTGCTGTTTATCACTGTTACATTCATTTGTTCACTACATATGCAATTAAATAGAGCATCATAATGCTGTTTCCAATGCTCAACAATATTGTCCGGTCCAGACATACCTTCAACACAGCGAGGCAAAACAGTTTTATTTCTATTAAGAACTTGTATCTCTTTCCAAAAATCCAAGACATTTTTTGATAGTAGTTTCCCAGCCAAGGAATCAGACCTCACTGCTTGATCGCTCTTCTTAATGAACCTAATGGCTTACTTATATCTAGCATGTGTAAGCTTTTTTTTTTTTTTACATAGGGGGCCTTGTCTGGGTCTTCCCGCTTGGGCCCATTCCCTTGTTGCTACTTGGGCCTGCTCATGGAATCCAGCGACATACATGTTCCACCCGGCCAACTTAATATTAGAGCTGCCGACCACTTTATGAAGTGGCTTACCGCTCTCAATAAGAGCTCTGATTATTCGATCATAAAATGTGCAGATGTCCACTTTATGCTTCATATTTGCACAATTCGGATCAGTACACCTAATGGCCTCATTGGGTAAAACAACCTTTCTCAATAATTCTTCCGTTTTTATAGAGTATGACCTCAACTCACTTTTTGTAACATTAGACCAGTTCAAATTGCTTTGACACACTCCTTCATTACCTACAAACACCTCGGGCAGACGCTCAACTTTGACTGAGAATGAAACCGGGATATGATCACTGATGGCCAGGTTATACAGAATATTCATTGAACTAAGTGGCCCATGAGTGTCTGATGAGCTAAAACAATGATCTAGCCGTGAAGTAGAATGCCAGGCTTCACTAATATATGTATAACTGTCATGTGGCAGCATGAGCGTACTTGACATAATGTATTTGTGCTCTAAACAAAACTGACTCAGATGTTTGCCAAATTTGGAATTCACATTAGAGATATCAGCGTTCACATCTCCCACAACATATATACTTGTAAAATTGCAACTTTCCATAAAAGAGTTTAAAAAAGCAAGCTTATTAAGATAATCTCCTTCGTTCTGCCGGCATTCATAAGGTAAATATACACATAAGACCAGAAAATCCTTATTCCCAAAAGACAAATGTATTCTGATACACCAATCTACTCCCATTCTAATCATTTTGACGCAATTATCCATAGTTTTTTTTTTCCACAGTATTGCGACACCCCTAGGTATCCTCCCTCTGACAATACTGTTGGAAAAATCTGTAGTAGATTCACCCGCCCCAAAAAAGAAATTATTGAAAGAGTTCAGCTTTGAGAGGTCCTGCTGCACTAAAAATGTCTCTTGCAAACAAAGAATATCACAGTCAGTTAAAAGGTGATCAATGACCAGTCTATGAGCTTTATCTCCATCACTGTTTCCGAGCCGAAGCCCGCGGCAGTTATAAGACAGAACTCGTAAGTCCATATCTTATCATTTTCCCACCGCAGCAGCTGTCCACCTTACCATAAATGTGCTTTTGTGAATCTATAAGACATATTGAGAAGTTTGTCTTTTCTATGTTGATATCGGTTCATATTGGTATCGGAAATTAAGAGTAACCCGGGCTTTACACCGGATGCTTAAATGATGCGTAAAGTAACGTGATAGACGCCTTTTTCCCAAAAGCTCAACAGCACATCCCTTCCCACTAGCATGGAAGCACTTCAGATGCTAATTGGCAGCGAAAACGTTCCACACAGGTGATCTAACAAAGTCACAAAAGCAATTGAAATTTGCAAGATCACACGTGATTTTGATTCAAGAAGCTTCTTTTATAAATTTGTTTGTTTACCATAAAAAACTAAAACACACTAAAATAGTGCAATACAGCTGAAGAATTGACCATAAATGTGCTTTTGTGAATCTATAAGACAACATATTACCCTTATCTCTGAAAATGAAAATGACTGATGATTCACATAAAACAGCTGGACAAATATTAGCCATTAGAACTCTAAAAGATATTCCAAGAAAATGTAAATCCTAGGCTTCTTTATTTTTGATGTATATTTGCATTAGAATCTTTATCAATTTAGCTGGAGTTTGGCTAAAAGAGATAAAAACAAAACCCACAAAAGTCAAAGGTTAAAAGATGTATTGTACTCACATAATTGTAGTCATTGTGTGACGGTTTTAACAAAACAATAACATACAACCACATTCATCAACTTCAAACGGGAACAAGAAATAAACCCACAAACCCACTTCATAATTACATCCTGAGGGAACATTCATTCAAAAACAATTTGGAAAAAAAAGAATCAAAATTTTGTGCAATGTTATATAGAAACCTACAGCAGTTATTAAAGTTAATATGGCAAACATGTCTAAAATGATATCACTTGCATTTTCTGCCAACAGTACAATGGCATAACAATGAGCCGTCTCCCATGCAACAATGTTAAAATGCTATTGCAAAAACAGCAAGGCCAAGATGGTCAAGTATCATAACTGCAATCATTTGTCATTAGAAAAGAAGCATTCTAACGCATTTGCCCAATCGAGAATAATGTGTTTTAAAACTACCCTCACACAAAACCCCCTTTGAAAGTTTTGATTGTAACAATGCAGTTAAATAGATCTAAGTTTAATCAGTTTTACTGGCCCTCTGATCAGTGTGGTCCTGTAAAGACGAAGACAACATAAACACGTAGTAAAGTCTTTGACTGAGTCCCCTAACTTGTTAATACTTGTTGTGCCATTCGCACTGGCCAACACTCACCTCCTCAATGTCCAAGTTTTTTCTTGATTTGTAAATAAACTCTCCGATTGCCACAAAAACTGAGAGGACAAGTCCGGCTGCCAGCACAATAAAGATTCCTCCTATGTTCTCCACACCCAGAGCGCTGGCCTCTTTGCTGTCCTCCTCTGGACAACCGTTCCCTCTCCACCATTTCTCCTTCATCATGTGCAGCTTCCCTTCTTCCTGGAGTTGCAAGATAGCAATAGTGACTTTGTCTCTGTAAGGGGAACCTATGGAAGGAAGTGTCAAGATTATGGTGATGTAGTTCTTACGCTGATGTTAATCGGACAAACAACAAGCATGTTTTAGTTTCTCTGACTTACCAATTGGAGTTCCCACACCATAGCCCTTGGAATCTATCAATCCTCCAATCTGTGTGAGGTTACAGTTGCGCTGACTGATGTACTCGATGCTGGTAGACTCCATCAAAAGAGCGTAATCTGTGGTGAGAACCCTCTGGATGCCTTCACGATTGTTTTTCACCAAGGCTGTGTTTTTTCTGCTGCTCATAAATGCCCACATTTTCTCATAGGTTGAGATTTTAGATTTCTGTAAAGTAAGAGTCAAGTGTTTTAGGAGCAATTTATATGAAAACACATTTGGCATTTGTTTTCAAACTAAAAGAATTGCTGCTGAACCTGTTGACTGACAAGTTAATAGTAAAACCTGTCAGGCAAATCTTAATCTACAGAAATTGGGGTTGTCCAAATTTTGGGGCTGCATCCCTCCAAGTCTGCATTTTAAGACCAAATACGTCACAACAAGCAACATGGCTGTCCAAATCTGGAGGATCCTCAAAATGTGTCCTCAAATGCATCCATGTTAAGAAGAGGAAAAATACTCGAAACGAGCTAGAACGACAGTTCCCAAAGTTCTTCGTTTTTGCCATGAATTCTTGTTTTAACTTCTGTTTAGCAGCAGTTGCTAATCAACAGGACATATGCTGATGTATAGCAGCGGGTATAATTAAGAAGGCTAGACCATTCAAATACAACCACTTACTTCCAGTCTTTGCGGTCAAGGAAGTACCCGACCTACGCGGACCTTTCAAGGATGCTGCACCTTAATTTGGACCTAACTTTTGTCTTACTTACTCGCTATCTTACTTAACTGTTACATCTGTAATTTATCATTTTATTTAAAACAAAAAGAGGATCACCTTAAAAAAAGTCATGGTGGAGCCATCTCTCACAGCACCATACTCTATTTTTGTTTGCTTGGCCAAGTCATCTGCAGAATCAATCGGGGAGTCCATTCTCTCCACAGTGAGGAAGGCAGCCAAATTGGCAGTGTATGAGGAGATTATTATTAGTGTGAAAAACCACCAAATTCCTCCAACTATCCTTGTTGAAAGAGCCTTAGGCATTAATTCAGACCCTGTTGAGCACCAAGAGAAGGAAGGATATTTATTTAAAATTATTTTAATGATGAATTGTGTTACAATATGCAACGGACAACCAACTTACTTAAAGGGAACTTACTCTGGATGTAAAGACAACATAAAATTCAATAAATAAATACAAGATAAAAACAAACCTTGCTGCATAAGTGCTCCAACTCCAAACCACACACTGTTGATTAAAGTGAAGTTGTTTTCGACTACGTCTGAGTCTGGGTTACAGGGGTGTGGGTTGTACCATTCGTATGGAGTGAATCTGAAAATGATAGAGTGAAGTCTTTTTAAGGAGCTACAAAAATGGGAACTAGTAAATTACCTGTATTTGTATGGCACCTTCTTAGAGTTCTACCACCCCCCAAGGTGCTTCACAACACAATCAGTCATCCACCCATTCGAGCACACATTCACACGCTGGTGATGATGAGCTACAATGTAGCCACAGCTGCCATGGGGTGCACTGACGGAAGCAAGACCACCAAACACTGGTGCCATCGCTCCCTCAGACCACCACCAGATTGAATCCACAACCTTTCGATAACTGGACAACCCGCTCTACCTCCTGAGCTACTGCTGCCCGACCAAAAAGCCCAAGAACCTCAACCCTTTGATCGAAATAGATTCAATTAACTATACACGGTAGTGTGAGCATCCTGACACAGTGTCCTGATTGACCATGCACCCTGGCTACTTGGCCAAGGGGATGTCCCTTTGGCTGACTAGTTAGCATGCGTGACTCTCATCCAGGAGTCTGGGGATCGAATCCCGCCAAGGCCCTCGTTTCTCCACCTAGCCACATATATAAATCATGCAGTTTGCTAGCCTGGCAAGCCATCCTATATATGTGAATATATAATCTGGCCACGACTCATTGAAAGAACTCAAGTCGGGGGGCGAAATCTATGGTTGTCTTTCGAACGGTCTCCGCATGCTACTGAACAACGAACAGCATGACGTGCTCACCGCTATGGATGTCAATCAACGGGGCAGTCCGTTATACGCTCTCGAAGAAGACGCAAACACATCCTTTTTTAAATTACTGTCGTAAGTACCTCTATCTGCTCTCGGCTCAAAGAAAAGCGCAAGTCTAAATAGTCAAAAGTCGACGCCAAAGCCGTTTCAAACGAGCCACTGCCATCTTAGTTGTTTCGCTTTGCCGTTTCATCTCGCTCACTAAACTGATAGAGCGCTGTGATTGGCATAATGAAAAAATGATCAAGCCAATGGTAGACCTGCTACAATGGAGCGTGGCTAGACCAACGTGCAGAGCCAAACCATTAGGCTTCAGCTACTGTCTGCCTATATTTGTAGGCTAGTATCTTTTTCCCAAGTTTTGCAATGAATTGGTTGAATCGTAAGACAATCTGCTGCTAAAAAATTAAGAAGCCTCAGGAAGTCTCAAAGGAATTTACCTGGCGATGACAAACAGCACACAGCTGACACCGAGGCAGGCCAGCAACACGTACATCCAGATATCAGGAGAGAGTGGATTAAGGAAGGAGAACACTCCCGGATTGGTGCCGTTGGGTTTGTGATACAGGATGCTGATTCCTAGTGTCATGAAGGGCTTGGAGAAATCAATCACCTTTTCCCTCACATAGGTGATGGTAAGAGGGGCCACAGCAAGATCAGCCACCTGAGACAGAGCCAAAGCTCAGCAATGTCATGTGACCAATTTCAGTTTCTTTTCTCTAACTATTCAGTACTCACATGGTCGATGAGTTCTCGCACCATGCCGTTCCACTCCCCCTTGTCGTTCTGAGCACCATATTTTCCATCTGACACCAGTTTTACCTCATAGGAGAACCCTAAAATGTTTGACAGCTCTTTGAGCAAATCCAGGCAGTAACCCTCAAAGCGGTCATTCCCATAAAGGGGTTTATCAGATTTTTTATACATGACATAAGGATTTTCCTGGTGAGAGACACAAAATACAAATTTGTTTAGTTTATTTGCATTGAAATGTCTGATGAAATGATTGCTGATTTATTTATTTTCCTACCAGAATCGTTGTGACAATAAGGGTCCTGTTGGCCATTGAGTCTGTAATATTCGTGGAAGAGTCTTTGGTGGTTTCGGTTAAATTAAGGCCCATCTGGGAGTTCCAAATACCAATCTGTAAAGATTAAAATATCTAAGTGACTGCACTAAAAGGACAATAGCAATCTACAAGTGAAGAAAGTCACACACAATCAAAGAAGGGGAAAAGAAAATAACACCAGAATGACAAATTGGGGAGAGTCACGAAAGGCAAAATCAGGGAAAGAAAACAGCACAATGTTTTATGGAGACGGGAAATAACACATCCAGAACAGAAATGTTGAACATTTCTTTCCACTAGGACCAAATCTTGTATTTTCCATGAAAGGGGAGACACCAAAGAGTTTTATTACTGAGAATCAGTACTATATTTGTCTGCCTAGGTTGCTCAAATACAGACCTTTTTCCACACTTTATTCAATCGGCTTCCAGTCATTGACTTGCAAAAACAATAGGGAGAAAGCATTTTAACCACAGAGCCCCAGGCCTAAATATATATCCACAGTAGCATTAATGAGTTCTCACTAAGGCAAATGATTTCTTTGGTAACAAGCATTTACTGATTAAATTATGCAATTTTTGTCAAGATTTTCTTCTTTTTTTTTGTTAATAAAGCAGCTTTGTTTGGATGTCAGATTTTTATTCAAGAGAGCTTACCTTCTCCAAGCCGTCCTCCTTTAGGCTGATGACGTCTAAATCAAATTCTTTACGCAGGCCGTCTGTCTTGTTTATGATTATTTGTCCCGTCAAGCCATCCCATTGTGTCTGTGTCCACCCCAAAAAAGAGAGAAAACAAACTAATAAAATGACTGCAAAATAATGCAAAGACCAAATAAATGTGATTTGTTCCTAAAAAATGAGTAATGCATGAATTCTCCATTAAGCAAATAATACTGACAATGATTAACTGTATTTAAATGGATGTTGTGGGTTGTTGTTATTTATTTATTTTTTTGCATAGGTTGAGTCCTCAGTATGTCTGAGTTTAAAACATAGTGACAGTGATGTAAACAAAGAGGCCGATGTGACCTCAGTCAGACTGGAGAGCAGCGATTGCTCAGAGGTATTTGAAATCAGACGAGGATGAAGTGAAATCAGCCGCATGAAAGAAGAATCTGGGAGCCTCTTTTCTGACAAATGAATCCAAGAATTAGGCTTCCTGATGGACAATTTCTACAAATCTGGAGATGTTTAAAGCTACAATGGCATGTATGCAAAACAAGTTCATTTAAGAGATGTTTATGCCTTTAACAACTTTCCAAAATATAGCTATAAATGTATTGTGGAGGTTTAAAAAAAATTACTTTTCTTGCATTTGTCTACAAAACCTTCGCCAATAATGCGGCTCAGACCGAAAGCAACGATTGGACCAACCGGTTGTCAGTCTCACTGAGCCTCTGTATGTACCTGGGTCCTCCTCTCATTACACGCTCACGAATTTAGCAACAACACCACTGGCGTGAGGCTCCCAGCTCAATAATCAATCAATCAATCAATCAAAGCTTTATTTATAAAGCGCCTTCCACAACCCTGTCAGGAAGCCCAAGGCGCTGAAGACTGTACAGTACAAAGTTAAATAATGTGAATAAATCAGAAAATAAAAGCAATTCAAATTACAGATTACAAATTACAAAAAAGGTGAAACATTCCAGTAGAAGACAAATGTGTAAAACAAGGGAAAAATTGAACCAATGAAAACTGTGAGATAAAATCAACATAAATGACGGCCTAACTCAAATACATTCAGGGAACGCCAAGTGGAGGAGCTGTGTTTTTAGGCGGCTCTTGAAGACTGGCAGAGATGGGGACAGCCTAACTGAGGGTGGCAACTGGTTCCAGAGTGACGGTGCTAGGACTGAGAAAGCCCGGTCCCCGCGAGTACGATAATATCAGAGAAGGAGAAACAGCCGGCTGCCACCACTTCAACTTTAGGACAAACTACTAACAAACTTTAGATTATTCAAACATTAGACTGATTTGTGATTAAAAACTCCATTTGAGTAATATAAATTAGATTCTGAGGATTGTAGATCGTGTTTAAAGGAATACTAGTCAGTTTTGCTTGCTTTTAGCACCCCCTAGTGTCCGTTATTAATTCACTGTGGTTAAACCGAAAATGAAAACTTATCTTCTCGCTGTGCATTTGTCATTTTAACCTCTCAAAGTATCTCTCTGGAAGTTTTCCCCTTTCAGAAATTATGTATGATTTGTCAGAAATCTGTAAAAGTGATTATCTCATCATGTGTTGTGATATAATGTAAGCAATATGTCTTTATTTCTTTTTTTTTCTTCCTTTTTTTTGCTAAGCACGCCCCTTGCCCTGCAGAGCTCCGTGCAATAGGAAACTGAGCGCCGACCTGAACTGACGGATAGCGTTAGAGTACCGCTTACCTGCTTCAAATTTAAGGAATACCTTGGCTGATGCAGAGTTGATGAGCTTTTCACGGACAAGTAAGTCTCTAAAATGTAAATATATGAAAACACAACATGACATGAGAATAATACTTGTAAAACAGCGTGTTTTAGCTCTGTTTGTCGGTTACAGAAGCACATTTATAAATAAAAACCATGAAGTCACCATCTTAAAAAAACTGACCTGGAGATCATTTGTGTGATTTGCTTGTTAGCCACTAGATGGTGCCATCGGATAAGAGAAATACTCCGGAAAGAAGTTTTAAACCTGATTTATGCAGTCGCCACCTCTAAACCCACTCGTTTCCGTCCACGTTTACTCCGTATTTTGTACTCCTTCACTCACAGGTGAGTAGACGTTCATATTTGCGGCCTTTCCGCGATGCGTTCTTCAGTTAGTGCTGGGTCTGCCGCTAAATATCTTTTTACATTGTAACGGGGCAACAACAAGCTGGTGACGACTTTACAGGAAGTGGTGTCCTGACCAATCAAAAGCTTGCGGTCTCCGTCACTTTTGACGTAAGTTTAAAATTTTGGACATGTCTCCGTCACCCTCTGGGAGCCCATCTGAGAACCCTTGCACCGACGCATAATGGTGTGGCGTGTCTCCACACTAACGCAGGGCTTTAATCTAACTGCTGAAATGTCTCCTCAGCTTTCGTTAGTTTCCAGAGGAGTGGTTCATCACTAAACCAAACAAATCAGCTTTGTTCACGATCTAAAACATCCAGGAAACATGCTGGAAGCAGACTACAGTTCCAGGCATTTCAGCTCCACTTTTGTTTTAGTCCACAGTTGGCGGCACGTTAGTCAGAAGTTGCAAGTGCGGTATTCTGGTCAAAGGGGGCGGTGGAGATCTGAGTGACATTTCATTAACCCTGTAAATTGTTATTTGAGCACATACCGGCTCGAGAAAATTATTTAAAAATAGAAAGTTGCATAGTATCCCTTTAAAACTAGCATTGATCGCATCACTAGAACATTCCTAATATCTATAGGAAGTCACAGGAGCAGCTGCTCTGTGTTTAGTCCACTTCACACAGTCTTATGGCTCACAGCTGTCACATGTGCCCAACCTCTAAGTCCAGATTTATTCTCGTCATTAAGTCTCATTTTAAATCCTCACCAATCAAAAGTGTCATTCTCAACCATGTGTCTGGCATCTTTACTGTACAAGCAGTGCAGACATGGATCTTCTCACACTGGAGAATTCACAGTCATTTTGTGAAAGGCTATTGAAACTTCATAAATGATTCATTATGTGATTATTAAAATATGAATTATTGAGCAGTAAAATTAGTTTTTCTCAAATGTAATCTGTAACTTTTGAAAAAAGCAAAGGCGCACAAACCTTCGTCTAAGGGTTTTAAATAAAATACACCTAAAAATAACCTAGTTTTTCTGGAGGAAAATTAATTTCTTGAGTGCAGACCAAGTCCAGCCAGCATGAATAGGTGGGTCCTATTATGAATATTTACATGGGCAAACCGTATGGGTGCCAACAGGGTTTGGCCCTACAGAGGTTTGCCCTCGTGGGTTTTCAGAGGGAGCCAGATGGTTTAACTCATACCTGTGCTCGTTATAAACTATGTGGGCAAATCTCCCTGGAGCCACCATGGAGACCACGGACAAACCCTGTTGGCAACCATACATTTAGCCCATATATATCCATTTTAGGTCCCACCTATGTATGTTGGTGTCACACTTTGGTTACAATCTTTAATTTAGTAACACATGCTTGAAGAATTATAATAAGTAAAAAAGTGTTATTTCATAGTTTTAATCCTTTATTGAAATGCTAATTAAACAGTGAGTTATTGCTAATAGTTCACCCAAAACTAACCACATGCTGATTAGTGAACTTGTTTAATTATACAACACACATCTAATTTTGTCCTTTATTGTATCAATTCTGATTAAGAATACTCAAAGATAAATACAAACTTTTATAAAATGTAAAAAATGTCAGTTATTTTTCTTATATTCTGTTTCTTGTGTCTTTTTTCTTAACTGTCAGCAAAATAATGTAAAAACGCTGCTACTTTGTGTTTTAGATAAGAAGAGAAAACCAGAGGAACTAGAAAAGAAACAATATAAAAAAGAGTTTTCTCTGCTTGATGCATGCCGATGACCTGACTCTTCTCAAACAGACATCATTTCCACTAAAGACAAGTACACACACTTACACACATGCATAGAAAGAGACACGCTGCATTATGTAAGAATAATTTGAATTAATTAATTTGACTACTTTGAACTGCCTTTGCAATAATTCAATCTCTTATTCTTGATTAAAATTAACAGGCTAAATCACCACATATCTATAGCATCAAGAAGCAACTTCTGACATCATACACACACACACAAGGGTAGAGGACATAATGTTTACAACTGAATAGCTCCAGTATTAACCTCTTAAAACCCACAGACCGGTGTCGGTACAAGATCTGCTCGGGTGCAAAATCGGCTCGGGGTCCTTCGACTGCCGATGACGTCAAAGTACGGCAAACCCACTCGGACAAAATACACTACACATCTATGCTGTTGGAAAGAATTTAGCAGTTTCGTTATTAAAATAATGTTTCTTAAGACGTAAGTTTGTGTTTATAATGGTATTTGTAAAATAAAACACTATATTGTATTCATAATGTTGAACTCCTCTTTGAGCACATCCCTTGAAGGATCATAGGTATTAGCAACACCTGTGAAATTGTATTTGCAGGAAAGAAGTGTGTCCCGTTTATTGAAATATTTTGTGTTTAGTTTTTGACATCATGTCCATGCGTAGTTCAGTTACGCTCATAGCTGCTAGCCAAAACTCTGGAGTTAAAAGTTTTCTGGCTTAACTAAAATACCTGTCTGTACTTATTTGATTGATGGTAGTTTTACTTTCTATTAGACTCCAAATGTAGTCATTTGGCACGTTTCTAATTCATAATTTGTAATAATGTAATCGGTAATATTAGCATTAGCATTCCTATGGGTTTTTCCACGTATATTAGCATTGCGCTAACCACTCGCTGCCAAATTGCAGCCTTTGCGATTAGAAAATCTCCTTTTGTCACATCACAGTTTAACTGCACATGCAGTTAATTGTTCAGCTCTAATATACATGCAGCTCTATGCTAAAAGTGTATTTTCAAAGAGGTAATGATGGATTTCTTTATAAAAGTTGTCCATCTTTCCAACAGAAAGATTTGCCTGGACCAACGTAACGCGATAACAACGTAATGTGATTACGTAATTCCGTAAGGTTCATGTTCAGCCAATCAACTACTTTGACGTCATCGGCAGTCGACGGACCCCGAGCCGATTTTGCACACGAGCAAATCTTGTTTTAAAGTCGTTCCAAAACCACGCTTAAGTGTTGATTTGCACAAACACGACGTTTAAACTTGCAGAGGCTGCAGGTCACGTCTATGAGCAGACCACACTGGGAGTCATGTTGTTATGAGGGTTAAACATGTTTGCCGCTGTTGTGCGGAGCAGTTGAGAAAGACATTTCAAAGACGGAACCCAGTCCGTTTACTGAACCGAACAAAACACTGGTGTAACACCGGTGCGCGAAGGTGCCAGTTTCAAGCAACAGGAGAGGGAGGGAGAGAGGGGGCAGTGGCAGATTTAGCCATTTGGGGGCCCAAGGCGAACACAGACATGGGGCCCCTTACACTAAAATTTCAACAATCTTACCTTTAACTGGATTTGCGAAACTCTCCCCTCTTCAGCCATGAGTTATTTTCCTTTTATTTAGTCCTCCTCTTTTTTCCTGTCTTTCTCTCCCTTTGAGTGCTTTCAATGTTTGCTCTGCTTTCTTCTTCTTGTCAGTAACCCTGTGCTTTTGCCTTTGTTTTTTTGTTTTTTTTTTCTTCTATTTTCCATTTTGGTTTATGTTTTCCTCCCTTTAAACGTTTTCCATTGTCTTTCCTTTCTGCTTCCTTTTGACGTTTACATTGAAAAACGATGTCACTTTTGGAAGTGAAGATAAAAGCTTTTTTGAAGCAAGCTGCTTCGTTCTCTTATTGGAGCCACTAGGATAACTCCATTTCATGCTTAACGTTTTGGCTACTGCTTCGAGTTTGTTATGAACTCTCCCGCCTCTCTTCTTCTTTTTCTGTTTTCTCTTCTTCTTATTATTTGTGGTCTTAAGGCACTTGGCAAACAACAATTTGGTGCATTACTGCCACCAACTGGACTGGAGTGGAATGACTACCAATCACTTCCTGTTTGTTCATCGGCATCTTAAAGGAATAGTCCATTGTGGCACTGACAGAGGGGTACCGGCGGTCAGGGCTAGGGGGCCCCTCAACATAAGGGGGCCCCAGGCGGCCGCTGGCCTATGCCTAATGGTAAAACCGTCACTGACAGGGGGTAAAGGGTGAGGGTGAGTGCATCAGAGGGACCAGACTGATGTTTTTGAGAAAAACTGCAGGAAAAGTGTGGCTGTACCCCCCCCCCCCCCCCCCCCCCCACACACACACACACGGGTGAGACGCTGCACACATGCAGGTGTGTCTCTTTCTGCTCTATTGCAGCAAAGCGCAACATTTTTAATCTCTTATTAGGCCTTTTTTTAACTCAGTAACGGATATGATTGAAAATGTAGCGAATTACAATTCTTTTAAAAAAAACATACAGTACTCAAGTAAAAGTAAAAGTGCAGATTTTAAAAAAGACAAAAAGTATAAATACACAAAAAAAGCTACTCAGTTACAGTAACGTGAGTAAATGTAATTCGTTACTTTCCACCTCTGCTGAGAAGCAACTCAAAACACCAGCTGGGGTTAAATAACTACTTGCCAACTGAAAGATAATCACCTGCAGTAAGTAGGTATAGGAGGTCCCTACCGGTTTGCTTAGTTTAATCCAGGTAGCCACTTTTTTGTGTATATTAGCAAAATGTTTGGCTTACCTAAGAATCGTGCCAAAGAAAAGCAGGAACAACTTAAAAATACTCAGATAATAAGTTCAGAGCCCAACCAGCTATAAATTAAGTTATTCCCATGCTGCTCTCTGGAATTTTGGTTACTCAATCTTCTGACTGTAGTTGTGAACATAAATCAAAACCTCTAGTTAGAGAATGTAATGAAACATGAAAACACTTCTTAGAAGATGGGAAGTCTGCTTCAACAAATAAACTATTATAGAGGTTTTTTCCAAATGTTCACCTGTTCATGATGCTTTCTTTCATTATGCAAGAAAATCATTAAAAAATACAACTGATGCTTTTTTTCTCTCCTTTGTATGATCAGTAAACTGAATCAGACTCATTGTTAACATAACACGTTTGCTTTGAAGAGAAAGCCTGACTGCATGAATGAGCACATTCATAAAGAGAACTCACGTCTTTGAGCAGGTTCATGAAACGTGATCCAAAGCGCCAGGGTTTGTGTCGGTGGCACTGAAGAGAGCTTACGGTGATCTGGGAGGTGCGCTGTGAGGCCGCAGCCACCATGTAAACAGAATCATACATCAGCGCCGCTTCAGTCTGAAAGAGAAACATCGTAATCCTTCAGCCCCGATCACAAATCGCATCAAGGCTGGCGATGTGTACACACAGCGGCGCACGGTTTGTCAGATCAGATGCAATCAAAGAGATGACCGCCATCCTTCACAGACAGCACAGAGCGGTCACAGTCAGAAACATCAATGATTCCTGCTTCCTGAATCCAAGTAAATCTAGATGAAAATCATTTTACAGGAATTTCTATCTTTATGTTAAACGCCACTATGTTGTTTAATCTTAAAACAGCAATCTGGAGTTTCCCCCTTTCAGGAATTATGTTAGTGTAGAAATCTAGACAGACTGTAGAAGAAGGAAAAAGGATTTAGCTCTGCAGGTCGCTCTAGCTCAGCAGACCCAAACAGTCCTGTGTCTTGCCAATCACAGCGCTGGGCTGTTTGGATGTTGCTGCGACGTAGCAAAAGCCAAAGATGGCGGTGGCTCGTTTGAAACGGCTTTGGCATCGATTTTGGATTATCTAGACTTTTAGTTGAGTCAAGAGCAGATGGAGGTACTTATATTTATTTAGGAAAAGAATGTATTTGTGTCTCCTTCAACGGTGCGGGGGACTGCCCTGTTGACTGAAATCTGTAGCGGTGAGAATGTCACGCTGTTCAATGAAATGTGGAGACAATTTGAAAGGCAACCATAGATTCCTTAGCCTGGCCTGGTCCTCTGTTTGATTCTACACAGAGAACAAGTCTGGTTACTCAAAGGCAGAGAGGCACGTGAGGGGCGGGACTAACCAGCTCAAAAATAACCATTTAGAAAAAAGATGGAAATGCCGACTGTCCGGCACGACACTGTAGTTTTTTAGCTGTGGTCAAAAATGACGTCTGGCAACGGTGCAAACATCTTTCTTTAGAAGAAAGACTTTGAACGCTTCTACTTGTGGTTTTAAAGACATGTTCAAGTCATTTAGAAAAGAGGGGTGTGCTTCAGTGGCCATGTGTATGAGAAACTCAGCATCGCGGTGTGTGACGTACGCTGCTCAGCGCTGATTGGCTCGGTTAGAACTCTCTGTGTGTGGGGTTATTTGGATAGGAGAGTTCCCAGACCATTTGCTTCTCATAAAGCCTGGGGCACACCGGAGGAGATTTAGAGAAGTCAAGCGGTCACACAGGCCGCACGGCGCCACACCACGCCACGCCGCTGAGCGCTTCTTGGAAAGTCGCGCGATAGTCACATCACGCGGGACTTGAGAACAGAAAGCAGGAAGTGACTCTATTGTTTACACGTGATCAGACTTGCCGTCATGTTTTGTGAGACTCTAATTCATTAACAACTGGTAAGTATGCAATTTATTAAAGTATTTTAAGATCAATAGTACTTTAAAGTTATCAAAACTGTGTCTGGGTTTGTGCCGCAAAGCTGTTCCGTGTGGTAATGTCTGTTGTGATGTCATCAACAGCCACACCGCGGCGCTTGAGATAGAACTGGCGCTTATCTCCAGCGCCTAGGTGCGGCGCTCCCAGTGTGCCCACTTTCATTAAATACAATAGCGGCGCGTCCGCCTCCGGTGTGCCCCAGGCTTAAGGAAGCATGAGGCTGACTGGTCAGGCTATAGATTCCTGAGCTCCTGGACACTAAACCAACAACAGCCGTCCCATCATGAGCCAAGATGACTGAGTCCATGAATGTCCAGAGACAGTGTGACGTAGATCTGACAGGCTTTTCTGAACCGAGCGTTTTTCATCTATTTTCTGTCAGAAGCTAATGCAGGAAATAGTGGTAGAAGACTATTTTCAGGTTCATCCTGCGTGAAAAACTCAGAGTGACTGATCATTTAAAAAAATAACAAGTAAAAATTGTTTCTGAAGTTTTTTTTCCCCCCAGAGAAAAACTTACAAGGCACGTAGTACTCCTGCACCGCCCTTCCTCCTCCTCCCCTCCAGGCTGCTGATGAGCGCAGCTGAGCTGAGTCCCACTGGTGACCTACACCTGGGATAAAAGGCCGTGCCTTCATGCAGTCCACGGTGCTGCTGGCCTCAGTAATGTCGTAGAACCTTTTTGTGTGATTCATTTAAAGGTTAACGCACTTTTAAGACACCTTCTGATTCTGGTAAAACTTTTAACCAGGTGTTTTTAATGTTGGTAATTGGTCTTTTAATGTTAACCTTTTCACTATGTTTTTCCTTTGGCGTTATTTTTACATTCTGTCTGCTCGCTTGTTTTTGAAACTTTTCAGGCAATTAAGCACTTTAAAATCCACGGTCATGTTCCCTATGTTGCCCTTCACACACGTAACATCAGCGTTGGCTTGTAAAAACTGCAAATATGTTGATGAGCCAAATTTAATGTGTGAATTTTAACTTACGGTCATCATCCCCTCCATCATTCCTGTTTCGACTTTGGAGGAAGCCTGCAGCCGCTCCATTGCCCACCTCTCCAGCACCAAAGCCACTTTTGGATTGTCCACGTTGAGCAGCCTGAACCCCGTCATGTTGACCCCACTGTAGCGGTACGGCTCCAGGTCAAGGGCGAACAAGTCCTGCACCGTTCAACGACAGGACCACCAGTGCAGAATTAATGTCATTCTGCTTGACAAGATTACTAATAACATCACGGGTAAAGGAGAATAAACAGTGGAACAATGTTCATGGACTTATGCCAAGGCCACTGCATTCAGCAGTCCTAATCAGAAACAAACCAGAAACGTATGAATTTATTTACACAATGTTTGCTTCGAGAACGTCCTCAGGAGAATACAAATGTCCAAACTTGGGTCAGATGTATAAGCAGTTATTTATGGTGAATAAAATGTTAGACACTCTCCGCCACATGGGCGTTGCGAGTCAATGTTCTCGTGTGTCAAAAAACTTCTTGTGTTCTTGAGAGTAGAGCGATTTTTCTCACCAATGTGGTGAAGAAGTAGTGATAATATTCTGTCATCATCCCCATGGACAGGATCTAAACAGAACAAAAACAAGATTTCAGCATTTCCTCTTCATTTTTTTTATGTGAGAATTCTCTCCAGACGGTAAGAATAACTTCTCCTCCACCAATAAACCAAACACTTCTCAACCAGAATCCAGGAAACTGTCAAATTTGCCAATACATTATCCCCCCCCCCCCCCCCCCCCCCCCGATTTGGCTCGTCCTATCTTTATTTATTTATTTTTTTAATGTGATTTGTATGAAAAAGTGTCCAAGTGAATAAATGTCACAATTTGCTCATGTTAGCTGTAGCATCTCTAGATAAGCTCCCCTGGTCCTGAGTGTGGATGTCTGGCTCAGAAACACCTGGATTTGAAAATGAAAGCAGGATTTCTGAAGTGTGTGTGTGTGTGTGTGTGTGTGTGTGTGTGTGTGTGTGTGTGTGTGTGTGTGTGTGTGTGTGTGTGTGTGTGTGTGTGTGTGTGTGTGTGTGTGTGTGTGTGTGTGTGTGTGTGTGTGTGTGTTTGCGCGCGCGCTATGCCTAGTAATAACCAAACTCACAGCAGGAAAGAAAAACAATTAACAGTCTTCACTGAAAAGATCCCAGTTAGATTTATGAACGAGCCTTGCGTTTCAGAAGACTGATGTTCACCTGCTTCAGGACATCTGTGGATGTTTGGTAAGTGCAGTCGAAGATGACAAAGAACTCCTTCCCTTTCTTCATCTCTTTGAGGAGGGGACGGGCGTCTTTGCTTCCTGATGGAAGCTGGCGGATCTTGATTTTAATGCTATATCTGGATGGAGCTTTAATCAGCTCCTGCAACCGGATCAGTCCTTCAAGAAACAGATGACAATAATGAAAATCTCTGTTTTGTTTTGCTTTTTTTTTTAGAAAAACAAAATGCCAGGAAAACCTGTGATGTTTTGGTACATTGTGTGAAACAAAAACAAAATTTGTATTGCATATGGTGTATGCTTGTTCTTTAAAAACTGTTTTCTTTTTTATTTGTAGACATGTATGTTCTGCATTTTCTCTTCATGTATTTGTTTTAATTTACGGTTATTAAATACATTTTGACCAGTTTGTGAGAGAAATTGTAAGATTAAGCCAATTATGTGCTCCAACATTTCTACGAAAAAATACCAAAAACATACTTGTAACAGTGTACTCCTGTTCTATTTAACACATTCTGCAATACTGGTCACCTCACTAAGGTTTGATCACACCTTATATCAATGTTCAACTTTTGTTAAATCATAAATATGTTAAACATAGTTTATAAAGAGGTGTTATGAGAGTGTATTCAAGTTCAACTTTATTTATAGAGTGCTTTCACATGCCCAGGACAACCAAAGATATGTACACAATACAAAAACAACATTCAATCGGACAAAACATTAAACAGTTAAAATACCACATAAAAAAAACTACAATTAAGAAATAAAAGCAATGCCCCGAGACTTGTGACTGCCATCAGATAGAATAGAATAGAGTTTTATTGTGTGGTCTGTTTCTCGGTGATTGCTGTTGCTGCTCTGTGGCAGTGTGTTTCATGTTTTTCTATCAATTATTCAGGTAAATGTAGCTGTTGAAATAGAATAAACCACGTATATTAGTGTCTGGCTGCAGCCAAAATTGAAAAAGATTGTCCTTACAGCAGCCACCTTATGACTTCTGTGTTCATTATAATTTAGAATTTCAGTTGAATTTGGTTGATTATAATGTGACTACACTTATTCTAGTTGATTACAGTCATTTGCTGTTCCCACCAGGATAATGTAATGTACAAAATGTGTTTCTTTTATTTATTATAGTCTTTGGAGCACACAGCCTGTTTTAGGTGTTTCCCTGCTTCAACACCTCTGATCTAAATGAACAGGTTTCTGCTGAGCTTGTTGAGATTAGGCCATTAGCATCAGGTGTGCTGAGGCAGATTGGGTTTCATATATACATACCGGTATATATATATATATATATATATATATATATATATATATATATATATATATATATATATATATATATATAGATAGATAGATATAGATATAGATATAGATATAGATAGATATATATAGATATGAAGGAGGAAAATGTTAGCCTGGAAATCCAAACAGACAGCAGCCGAAGCAATGTGATTTTGCTCTGCATGTTGGTCTAGCCATGATCCGTACCCTTAGCAGACCCAGACATCTTGTGCCTTGCCAATCGCAGCATTCTGTTGACAGAGTGAAACAACTAAGATGGCAACAGCTCGTTTGAAGTGGTTTTGGCATCGTCTTTGGACTATTTAGACTTGGTCTTTTCTTTGGGTCAAGAGCGGATAGAGGTACTTAAGTCTTTTATTTATAAAAATATGTATTTATGTCTTCTTTGATTGTGCATGGCGGACCGTGGACTAACATTTGTAGCTGTGAGTAGATCCTGATATTCATTGTCTAATAGCATGTGGAGACAGTTTGAAAGACAACCATAGATTCCACCCTGTTCTGTTCTGTTTATGGGTCAAAGCCAGACTACACACTCACTGGCCACTTTATTGGGTACACCTGTCCAACTGCAAGTCATTAATCAGCCAATCACCTGGTGGCAACTCAATGCAATTAGGCATGCTTACATGATCAAGGCGATCTGCTGCAGTTTAAACTGAGCTTCAGAATGGGGAAGAAAGGTGATTTAAGTGACTTTAAACGTGGCATGGTTGTTGGTGCTAGTCTGAGTATTTTAGAAACTGCTGATCTTCTGGGATTGTCACTCACAACCATCTCTTGGGTTTACAGAGAATGGTCCAAAAACAGAAAACATCCAGTGAGCAGCAGTTCTGTGGGGGAAAATACCTTGTTGATGCCAGAGGTCAGAGGAGAATGGCCTAACTGGTTCGAGCTGATAGAAAGGCAGCAGGTAACTCAAATAACATTTTGTTACAACCAGTGCATGCAGAAGAGCATCTCTGAATGCACAACACGTCAAACCTTTTACGCAGACAGACTACAGCAGCAGAAGACCACACGCGGTGCCAGTCCTGGTGCAAAAACTGACATCAGAAGATTGGAAAAATGTTGCCTGGTCTAATGACTCTCGATTTTTACTGCAACATTCAGATGGTAGGGTCAGAATTCGGTGGCAAGAACATGAAAGCATGAATCTATCCTGACATGGATCAACGGTTCAGGCTGCTGGTGGTGGTGTAATGGTGTGGGGAACATTTTCTAGGCACAATTTGGTCATCTTGGTACTAATTGGTCATTGTTGCAATACCACGGCCTACTTGAGTATTGTTTCTGGCCATGTCCATCCAAGGGCGTCAGTAGGTTTTCAGAATTGCTGGGGACAATAACCATACACTTGAGTGGGGTTTAAAAATTGCTGGGGGCAATAAAGTAGGCTAGCACAGGGGTCGGCAATCTGCGGCTCTGGAGCCGCATGCGGCTCTTCCATCCATCTGATGTGGCTCTCTGTGCTTGTAAAATAATGAATGGATATTTAAATAAAATGCTTTATATTTTACTGCATTAATTTTACACCTGTATGCCAATTCTAAATGTAAAGATTGTCTGCGTAAACCTGAACAGTTCCAATCCGGTCTTACTGTGAGACCGGGTTGACGCGTCACGCTTGTACGTAATCATATAGGCACTTTATGAGCTGAAGACAATGTGAGATTCTGGGCTTCTCCTCAGACAGGCTCCTGGATGTGTCGCCACATTGGAGACAGGAACAAGCACTATTCAGCCAAAGTTTCATAATCAGGGAACATTTTCTACGTGACAAGTCTCTCTGAGAGACAGGGTTTAGAAAACACTCGCTTCAGTGGGAGGAACCTTCCCGCATGCGCTCTGGTTCTCTGGGTGGCTCTGGGGTTAATCAAGTTTAATTGTTTCTCTTTGCAACAATCTTCACAGGAAGGCAAAACAGTTAAACGGCAGGTTACATATATTTCCATTTGACTGTTTATTTTGACAGATGAACTCAAGGATGTTGCTTGGTTTGAAAGAATTACCCCGACGCACACTGATGCGCATGGATGAGCTGACATTTTAATCGTTAACGCACATCGCGGAGGTAAATTATTCCCATCAGAACATCAGAGCTTTATACTGGACACTGTGTTCAGCGCAGCTCGGAGCGCCCACGGTGGACAGTGAGCTGAAGATCTGGGGTTCGCAGCGCAGTGCAGAACCACGGTGCATGCGATAAGATTTCCTCCCACTGAAACAGTCTGGAAACCCGGTCTCTCTGAGGGATGTGTCACTTGGAAAAATGTTCTTTTTATGAAATTATGAAACTTTGGCTGAACAGCGCTTGTTCCCGTCTCTAATATGGACACGCATGACGCGTAGAGACATTTGATTACGCACAAAGTTTATGTGGAGCAGAAGCGGTCGGGCCACAGCAGGTGAAATGTTCCTAGCCTACATGAAGTGAAACTGTTTAATTGTAACATTAATATGTTACTGGACACGCTGGTCTGGTTGGTTAGACCAGTGTTTGAAGTGGAAAACACACACACACACACACCAATTAAAATAATGCTGATAACATGGACTAGAAGCCAGGTGATGGTTTACGTATTTAAATGATGATCAGGCTGCTGTAAAATGTAATCTCCATCCACATCCAGACACAATTATCCTCTATTCTTTCTCTATTTGCTCTGCTCTTGTCTGGGCCGATCAGCTGATGGTGTGTGCGGCGCGCCTAACTAGCGGCTGATGCACATTTTACGCATTTGGAGAGGTGGTGCTGGATGCTTTGCTTTTACTGGAAGATGGTCCACTTAACGCACGGGTGTAGACTACATATTAATGACAAATGAATGAAAATTAAATTGTGAGTTTTTACTTCATATTTTATAAATAAAAAGGACGGGGGAACACATTTATGACATCTTTTTAAACTAAATTTTCTAGCGCGACCTGCCTGCTTCACTTAAGTCACTGCTTATTAAGGTCCGTCCAAAATTACCGTGGGAAATGGGTAATAATGGCTCTTTGATGGGAACAGGTTGCCGACCCCTGGATAAGATCTGAGTTGGTAAAACAAAAATCCTCATCAGCAGGCGTTTTTGAAAGTGGGGGGGACACAGCTGCCAATCACAAATTTTGCCGGGGACATGTCCCCGGCGTCCCCGGTTAAAATGACGCCTATGTGTCCATCCCTTAATGACCACAGTGGACCCATCTTCTGATGGCTACTTCCAGCAGAATAAGGCGCCATAAAGTTCGAATCATCTCAGACTGGTTTCTTAAACATGACAATGAGTTCACTGCACTCAAATGACCTCCACAGTCACCAGATTGCAATGTAATAGAGCATCTTTGGAATGTGGTGGAATGGGAAATTTGCGCCATGGATGTCTAGCCGAAAAATCTGCAGCAACTGCATGATGCTGTCATGTCAAAATGGACCTAAATCTCTGAGGAAGGTTTCAGTGCTTTGTTGAATGTATGCCACGAATGATTAAAGCAGTTCTGAAGCCATAAGGGAGTCCAACTTGGTACTAGCAAGGTGTACCCAACAAAGTGGCCAGTGAGTGTACACTCACCTAAAGGATTATTAGGAACACCAAACTAATACATGCATGGTGGCACAGTTGTTAGCACTGTTACCTCGCAGCACGAAGGTTGCAGGTTCGAAACTCGGGCTGCGGCCTTTCTGCGTGGAGTTGCGTGTTCTCCCCATTCATGCGTGGGTTTCCTCCGCGTACTCCGGTTTTCCCCACAGATCACAACATGCCCTATAGGTTATAAATTGTACGTCGCTTTGGATAAAAGCGTCTGCCAAATAAATAAACATAAACATAATACAGTGTTTGACCCCCTTTCGCTTTCAGAACTGCCTTAATTCTACGTGGCATTGATTCAACAAGGTGCTGAAAGCATTCTTTAGAAATGTTGGCCCATATTGATTGGATAGCATCTTGCAGTTGATGGAGATTTGCGGGATGCACATCCAGGGCACGAAGCTCCTGTTCCACCACATCCCAAAGATGCTCTTTCGGGTTGAGATCTGGTGACCGCGGGGGCCGTTGTAGTACAGTGAACTCATTGTCATGTTCAAGAAACCAATTTGAAATGATTGGAGCTTTATGACATGGTGCATTATCCTGCTGGAAGTAGCCATCAGAGGATGGGTACATGGTGGTCATGAAGGGATGGACATGGTCAGAAACAATGCTCAGGTAGCCCGTGGCATTTAAACCATGCCCAGTTGGCACTAAGGGACCTAAAGTGTGCCAAGAAAACATCCCCCACACCATTACACCACCACCACCAGCCTGCACAGTGGTAACAAGGCATGATGGATCCATGTTCTCATTCTGTTTACGCCAAATTCTGACTCTACCATTTGACTCATCAAACCAGGCAACAATTTTCCAGTCTTCAACTGTCCAATTTTAGCAAGCTCGTGCAAACTGTAGCCTCTTTTTCCTATTTGTAGTGGAGACGAGTGGTACCCGGTGGGGTCTTCTGCTGTTGTAGCCCATCCGCCTCAAGGATGTGCGTGTTGTGGCTTCACAAATGCTTTGCTGCATTCCTCGGTTGTAACGAGTGGTTATTTCAGTCAAAGTTGCTCTTCTATCAGCTTGCATCAGTCGGCCCATTCTCCTCTGACCTTTAGCATCAACAAGGCATTTTCGTCCACAGGACTGCCGCATACTGGATGTTTTTCCCTTTTCACACCATTCTTTGTAAACCCTAGAAATGGTTGTGGGTGAAAATCCCAGTAACTGAGCAGATTGTGAAATACTCAGACCCGCCCGTCTGGCACCAACAACCATGCCACGCTCTAAATTGCTTAAATCACCTTTCTTTCCCATTCTGACATTCAGTTTGGAGTTCAGGAGATTGTCTTGACCGGGACCACACCCCTAAATGCACTGAAGCAACTGCCATGTGATTGGTTGATTAGATAATTGCATTAAGGAGAAATTGAACAGGTGTTCCTAATAATCTTTTAGATGAGTGTATATTCACATACAATGTCATTTCAAACAACATCATTTTATTCACTTTGCAATGATTGAAAAGAAACCAAAATAATATCTTACAGCAGGAGATAAGGATTCATATTAATTTTCTGTTTTACTTGGATTAAGTAGCAACAAAAAAGAAAAGTGCTTAATATACAATTAATGCACAGACATTTTTTATAAATAGCAGCAAATTAAAGGGTTTGTTGCTCTGTAGATACTCAGAAGAAGGCCCACGAGCATTTTCTTAAATAAATATGAAACATATGAAACACTGTACAGTATTCTTGTCTATAATGTATGTAACGTGAGGAAATATGGGTTTTCTGTGCCAAAGGTTTCGTTTGACTCGGCTGGGTCAAAGCTGGGTCGCTGAGAACTTTCACCCACAGATTAAGACCTGAACGCCAGCGAGTCTGGGAGAAACAATAACATCTGAACATCTGCAGTGCCAGAAGATGTGTTCTCATGGAAAAGCTAGTCATAACATAACAAAGTCTTAAACTTCCTTTCCTTTATTTTAAGTTGTTAAATGATCAGTATTATCACTTTGCTCATTATAAATGTGTTTTAATCAAATGAATGATTATTATGCTTTGGGTAATCATAATAACTAATGAATCAATGCTTAATTAAATAATGTTTGAAGATGTTTGGTAACGACCTTCACACACTCAAACACTCACTCAAACACTCACACACACTCTCTCACAGTAAACTCCAAAACACATTTGCTCTGACGCACAAGTTTTGCTTTGAGAAGAGAAAGGCTTTTGGTAAGTTTTCAGTTCATGATGCAGTTCGAGTTTGTCAACGAGAGAGTTCGGACGTGTTGAACACGCACCCGGGGAAGGGAGCCTGCGGCTCCTGTCCCCCCCCCCTTTCTCACGCTGTTCCTGCCAAGCCAGACAGGAATAGCTGAATTGCAACCGCTAACGCAGACTCGTCCAGAGTCTTTTGATTTCTGAGTAATTAAACTTAAGAAAGCACATCTGCAAACGCTTTATCATCAACGTGTACCAGGGGGCATCTCTGGACCGGATCGTCGGACACCTTCGTCTTCTCTGCCAGCCGAGGTGCCCTGGATGAAACATCGTCCTTTGACGTTCCGGATCTGAACGAGGGTCCTCGTACGGTGAGGCAGAACACAATAGATAGCGTTTGATGCATCTTTTCCAACGAAACCTAAGTTTATTCAAACCATCACTTTTCACTCAGACACCTGTTTCTTCCTGAAGCAAAATCAGATGCACACACGCATTCATCTCACCTCATATTAAATTTCACACATTCAACACAAGGTCTATTTGAGCAAGTTTACAATATCAACTGTTAAAGATTGTTCAACAAAGTTGCATATGTTGATGGTTGTTTCCCATGCTTGTCATTTCAAAATCATTAGTTTAATTTGAAGAATTAAATCTTTTAACTTTCAAACTTGTCTCTTCATTGAACTGAAACACAGACCCACGGATATTATCGACAGTTTATCGATGAAAACAACCTTTGAGTCTTCTTAAAACTATAATATTTGGTTATTAATTTATTAAAATTAATATCTCAAATTAAGATGTAGAATGGTTCCTCTTTCATAAAACAGCATAAACCATTACTCTACATAATTGACAGAGCCTACCCAGGTTCACTACATGTATTTAGCTGGTTCTTTGTGTCTTCTAACCAATTGTGTCCGTGCCAGTTCTCTGCCTGCTAAAGGTTTCTGAATTGCACATCCAGTGTAGGAAATATTAAATGGAAAGACGGCTAAATTAAATCAAGGAAGGTGACCTGGTCACGTAAATGGTTTGAAGCATGTGGATTAAATTATTATTGCATCTGCTGTGCTCTCCCTCCCCTTTGTCCCATTGTTTCTGATCCAATCTACTGCATTAGGCTGAGACGCAGTAGTGTGATGCTTTCGATGATTTGGATCTGTGCAGTTAAAAAACACTGAAAAGATGGCGAATGGATGAGTCTGTCTGCAGCTATTATGTGGACGTAGTCTTGGTACCCTGGATATGCTAAAGGGAACGTTGACTTCTTGTTCAACAAAAGTGTATTCTTTTATATCATTTAGGGATACTGAGTTTTAATATAAAGCTTTTAAAGTTGAATATTTACCATTTTTCTCAAGGAAAAATTAAGTTATGTTTATATTTTGAACTGAATTAAGTTCAAAAACAGTGCTTGTTTTTATGTTTCTGAAGTCCAACTGTTCTGTATGGAAGCCCATTTCTGCCACCCTGAAAAGAAATTGTTCTCTCATAAATATGAGATGATACCTCATCACTCATTATTATGAGATACTATCTCATAATTTTAAGATAGCTAAGTCATAATTGTAAGTATAAGACTGTTATCAGACTGGCAGAAATTAGCTTCCATAAATCTGAAATTTGTAAAGGAAATAAAAAATTTCACACCCAGATAAATAAAACAAAAACAGCTCAGGTCTCAGGAGAAAATCCATGAAATGCTACAAGCCAAGCAGGTTTTTAAATAACGACTATTTTTCTGACCACAGGGCACTCCTGAAAAAAAAAAGCATCCCATAAAAATCAAAGTAGGAACCTCAAACTTTTTTTTTAATTCAAATGGAGAAATTTGAAACTCTAAAACCTCCTCTGGCATTTCATTTGTAAATTCCTCATCAAAACAAAAATTATTATAATGGCCATGTTGATTTGTTAATGATTAAAAATATATAAATATTATCAGTTAACATAATTTTCTTTATAATCCTGAAATATGTGGGCGATTATTCAATTATTGAAGTAATTAGAAAAATCATTTACTTTTTTTGAAAATTAAAATATAAATGTGACAAAATTCTTCTTTATCCGTGCTTCCTTTGTTAACTTACCCGTGGCGTCCTCGTAGACCACGGTGACCGCTTTCCACTTATAGAACTGCACGATGTCCAGCACGGCTCTGCTTATGGAGGCATATTCCGGGTGGAGGTTAATGTAGAAGCTGTCTTTGTTGTCCACTGAGGGGTGTTTCCAGTGTGTCTGGATGTGAGGGACCTCCAGAGCGTTACAGATGGACTGGACGGCACTGACGGAGGAGCTGTGAGAGGGTCCAAACACGGCTCCAACTCCCAGCGCCAACTGGTCACATGCTGGGGTAAAGATTTAAAACCCAAATGGTCATTGGGATAGACAGTCAAGTTTATGACTATTATTTAAAATATTTTGAAGGAAAGGATGTTTACCTCTTCTGGAAGCTTCAAAACTGTCGAACAGGTTTATTCTCTGGATGTCGTAGGTCAGCGTGGTGTTTGGCATTAAGGTCCGGTTCCTGTTTATGTTGGTTACGGCAAATTTAAAGGCCAGTTCTTCCACACTTATGGGTTCGTTTTCAAGCGTTTCAAATATGCCGCCTGTAAGAAAGACAACAAAAACAGCGGTTACTAAGAAGATAGCAGGTATGTTCACATTTATTTAGCTTCGGGAGAATCTCCTGTAAGTCTCATTTACATAACGCGGCCCAATTTACAGGTTTAGTGAGAGAGACCTGCATGAGACGACAGGATTTAGTCTCATTCAGCACAATGTTTGACCTTCTCTGACTTGAGCTTATTTACATGACCTGTTTTTCACAAGTTGGTGTCACAGCTTTTACAAAGTGTGGAATTGGTTGGATTAGGATTATATTTAGTACACAAGTAATTTACCCAGGATTTAGCTGACAGTTAAACTTTCTACAGTATAACTTATCTTTATTGTGAAATGACCATTAGTGGTTTTATACCCAAGCAGATGTTTTATTTCTTAAGTTTTTTTCTTCTAGCTGATTCTGTTATTATAATTAAGGCAAAAAAGTCTAAATTTTATATATATATATATATATATATATATATATATATATATATTCATACATATATATATATATATAGTATCGTTAAAAACCTTTTGAAATCGTTTTACAACCATGATCATGAGGAGTGGTTGTCATATATTTCTAAATGATGTTATTTCTACTTATGCACCAGCCACCTGGCTGATTTTAATTATTTATCAGTTTAACCCAGGGGTGGGGAACCCTGGTCCATCGAGGGCCGCTATCCAGCATAGTTTAGTTTCAGCCCTGCATCATCACACCTGATTTCAATCAGCAGGTGATTAACAAGCTTCTGCAGAGCTTGAGGAGCTGCTCAACCACTGAATCAGAAGTGTTGGAGCAAAGACCAGCCCTCGAGGACCTGGGTTCCCCATGCCTGGTTTAACCCAATAACAGTTGTTTGTTTGGCTCCTCTGATCAGAGCCTCTGCAAACCTCTGTAATGCAAATTTCAAGGAAATGCATGATGACCACAGGATGTCATTCTTACACCATTCTTACTTTAAGTTACAATATTCCTATTGTAGATTCAAAACATGTTTATGAAGTTCTTTGCTCTAAATGCCTTTTACATAAAGCAGTTTCTGCAGTTTTAATCCTGACAGTATCCTTCCAGAATTATCCGATTCAGGGCGTTTTCGCTTCAAGAATCCAAGCTGGAGCTGGCCACACCCACCCATTCCCTGATTGGCTGCTATAAGTTGAGAAGCTCAGATGTCTAAGAGGTGCTCAGAGTAGAGCCACTGCTCCTCCAGTTTGAACAGTTGAGAGATGGTTCTACTCTAATTTCTCCGTTTGTGACATCACAAATGAGGACTTTTTGAAACGACCCATTTTAGGCACAATTCCTTAAACCAAACACTGACAGAAAACGAACGGACATTTTTTCTTTACGTTTGGAGTTTTCATCGAGGCGGTAAAGACCACCAGATTTAAATGATGTGTCCCTTTTAAACGTAAACATCAGACCGACAGCAAGAACAGTAACTGCTGGACTTTCACATTTATTTTTGGAAACGTTTTTATTATTTATGACTCGTCATGATTTTTATCTTGAGAGGCGCTACATAAAAGATTGGGGGGGGGGGGGGGTCTTTCGTTTTATCTGATACAGTTGGATATACGGATGTATTTAATAGCAGCCAAGATGAACTATTTAGGAAATATAAAAACAGAACCAGGGAGAGAACATATTTAATTGTCACCACCTGCATACAGAGAAAATGGTATGAAAGTTTTATTAGACCTTACAGATTAAACAGCTGATTCCAACCCCCACCCCATCCCCTGCTTCACTTTTATGTTTATGTTTATGTATTTAGCAGACGCTTTTGTCCAAAGCGACTTACAAGTGATAATAGGCATTTTGCCCTTGAGGCTAACAACAACAATAACAACAACAACACTGACATCAGTCATGGAGAGTAGGGAACAAGGAGTGGACAGTAGAGAGGAGGGACGGGTGCAGACAAGGTGCTAGTTCAGAAGATGCTCTCTGAAGAGCAGGGTCTTCAGGAGTTTCTTGAAAATTGAAAAGGAAGCCCCTGTTCTGGTAGTGCTTGGAAGGTCATTCCACATTTGTGGAATGATGCATGAGAAAAGTCTTTATTGTCCTGAGCCTGGTGTAGGCACTGCTAGCCGACAATCCTGTGATGACCGGAGCGGCCGGGCCGAGACTTTAATAACTTCAATAAGTTCAATAACTTTTGGTTATTTGCAATGGTGTCGGTGTCATGAGATAAGTGGCTGTAAGAAAGTAACATAAATAATCTCTTTAGTCTTTAGGTGTCTTATTATTCTCTAGCACACTTCAGACTGACAAAATAGCAATTGTCATGATACATGACCTCAGATATTTCTGATGTAACAATATAAACATGCTTAAAAAGCTAAGTATTTAAGGCATGGAGAAAACCACTTCCGCTTATATTCATTTTTATATATTTATGACATTTATGTTGAGTTTTATACAATTATATTGGAAATTTAGCTTCAGGAATTCCTGGATATCGTCTCAGGACGCCCTGTGTAGCTGTTGGTGACCCCCAGCGGGGTCCTGACCCTAACTTTGGGACCAACTGCTTTAACATGTGTGATCACTAGCAGCCCCATGTTGCCAAGAATGGTATTTACTTTAAGAGACACATGACGTATACAGACAAACATTAGGCAGGAGTGTAAGGGTTAATAGTTGGTTTACAACTCTGCAGACACATGTGGGGCGTTTAAGAGTTGATCTGTTATTTTTAATCCTTAAACAAATGCAAAAATGTGACATTTGCATGTGCAAAACATACATTTTGAAACTGTTTTAGAAGATCTGGTTTATGTCATCACTGGGCACAAATTTAAAAGATGCATTTTTCTTTTTTGCAGAGGTTTCCAAATGACCTTACTGCAACACCAAGGGTTGCAGATGGCAATAGGTCACAGCTCTCTTTAACAGCCTTTGAAGAATCGCGTGTGAAATTGTGACTGATTTGGATGGAGAGACGTCCTTTAAAAAGCTCCCCTTGAGACCTTGATTGTGAATGACCTTTTTCTTTGGTGTAGCAAAGCCTCAGCCCCCAAACTGAGAGAGCCTTGTTTGGACTCCCTGGTCACTAAAAGCATGCTTGAAAGTGCCAATCCTAATTATGGTTACCAAGCATCAATGAGCAGCTGCTGAGACCTGTTAAACCCCTCAATTCTGCCCACTATCAGAAATTATTAAGCAAACACACAGTAAACGTTGTCTTCCAAATGTGACAGAGTGTATTCTGTTTCAGTGGGTGTGCTTGACATAAAATGTTTGTTTTTTACCCTGTGGTCTGATTTAAATAATAGTGTGCCAAGGCTGGAGCTTTGTTGGAAGTCCAGGAACAGAACAATCCAAATGGCAGCAACACAGTGTGCCTTTCTCATGCTTTAGATTGTTCATATGTGCAGAAAAACATAGCAGCTGAGATTTAGATTATCTCGCCTCGTAGATCTGTGTAAATTATGAGTGACAAGGTCCGCTAAGGTTGTTGATCATCAGCATGAAGAGTGTTTGGGCAAAAAAAAAAAAAGTTTCAATTACTATCGCTCACAATTCAAAATCCTCGTCTTTGTTTATCATTTCTTCCAGGGTGGTGGTCCCCCCTATCTAGCCACACTCCTGAACAGACATTACCCACCACGCGCTCTGCGCTCCTCTGACCAAGGCCTGCTCGCTGTCCTTCGTTCTGAGTGTCGTACTCGCGGGGACCGGGCTTTCTCAGTCCTAGCACCGTCACTCTGGAACGAGCTGCCACCCTCAGTTAGGCTATCCCCATCTCTGCCAGTCTTTAAGAGTTGCCTAAAAACACACCTTCTCCGCTTGGCGTTTCCTGAACATGTTTGATTTTGGCCCTCTTTATGTTGAATTTATTTCACAGTTTTCATTGGTTCACTCTATCCATTGTTTTACACATTTGTCCTGTACCAGAATGTTTCACCTATTTTCGTAATTTGTATTTTGTCATTTGAATTGCATTTATTTTTGATTTATTCAATACATTTACCTTCTACTGTACCATGTTCAGCGCCTTGGGCTTCCTGACAGGGTTGCGGAAGGCGCTTTATAAATAAAGCTTTGATTGATTGATTGATTGATTGATTGATTACTTTTCAATAGAAATTGTTTCTATTTAAATATGTCCACTTCTACAGTTCTGAAGCAGTTCTGCAGTTTTCACAGTTATTTTTGTCTATGTAGGTATCTGACAGTGTGAGCGTCCTGTCACTGTGTACCGATTGATCATGCGCCCTGGCTACTCGGCCAAGGGGATGTCCCTTTGGCTGACTGGTTAGAGTGCATGAAAACCGGGAGTCTGGGGAGATTTATTTATTTATTTATTTATTTATTTAACAGAGGTGCTAACATTTTCAACACAAAGTGTCTTCATCTGAGTTAATATGTCAACACACAGGACAGTTCCGCTCCTCCCTCTGCTGAGTGTCACTGAGCTAATAAGCAAAAAAGACAAGAAGGTCAGAACTGCCAAAAATTATTTATTTATTAAGAAATATTCTTGGCATCCTTGTTCTATATTTTCAGGTGTGAAAGAATTCAGCTTTAGATGAAATACTACATCAGAGCTATACCTGTTAAAATGCTTCATCAGAAGTCAGTTTGCCAGTTTCTAAAGCTAAATAGGATTTTAATACTTTTTAAACGTCTTTGTTTTTTCATTCAAAAATTGAAACTGTGGCTATCACTAAGTAAGTTCATGTAATTTTTACGATCACTGCACTTTTATTTTTGTTACAACAAGCCTCACTGCTGAGGGCCTTTGCAAGTCATCAAACAGAAGATTCTGCTTGTGCTGCACTCCTTTCTTTGCAGAAAGTTAGAAATTAACCACAATACTGGGAACTTTTGCACCATTATTCATCACTTATAGGTTAGCCCAAAGAAGATGATGATATCTGATTCCATGACATGAAGAGGAGCCTTTTAAAGCAGAGGGACACAATGACGTAGTGTCTTTCTCCTTTCTACCCGCCCTAAACCACTACTAACTGAGGGCTCCTGCACCCTCCCCAGCAGCACCAGCACTCCAAACTGGGCCCAAGCCAGCCTGTGGATGAATGAGAAAGTCCTACTGTGCTCGTTTGATGTGAAGAACTGCGGTTTCTCTGTTTACAAAAGTAGGTGCTTGTGAGCCAAAATGAAAATGGTCAAACTAATTTTAGATATCAGACATAAAAAAATCTCTGAAATTTAACCATCAGGCGTCACTTTAATTTACTACTTTCATTCAATTTTTTAAAAATGCAACAAAAGATGTACAAAATCAGATTCAGCTCTGCTCAAACTGTAAAACATTCAGTCAGGTATTGATCTGTATTGATTGACTATATTGCAGTTTTTAAAAGTTGACTTTTTGTCCCTATAGGGGATAATAAATATTAAATCTGTTTTTACACAAAACTTCCTAATCTCCCATCCAACTACCTTCCTCCCAATCATGGTCCTTTTTTACTCTTGTAAATTTCCAGGGTATTTGCCTCATTCGGAAACACATGAAACCAACCACATGCTCTCTTGATATTATTCCAACCACCTTGTTTAAGATATTTGACCAAACTGGCCCATGCATTGTGGATTTTATTAATCTATCTCTGAAATTGGGCTCTGTACCATCTGTTTTCAAACATGGAGTGTTGAACCCATCCTTAGTAAAACCCAGTTTGGACTCGTCTCAGCCTAAAATTACAGACCCATTTCTAAATGGCCCTTTAGCTCTAAAATATTGGAAAAAGTTGTGGCAGAACAACTGATTACTTTTCTGGAACTGAACAACAGTTTTGACAAATTCCAATCTGGTTTTTGTAAAAAACATTCAACAGAAACAGTTTTGCTTTAAGTTTCCAGTGACATCATGATGGCTGCAGACAATGAGGAGTTTACAGTCTTAGTACTGTTAGATCGTTCTGTAGTGTTTGACACTGCTGATCACAGCACCTTAATTAACAGATTTGTGACTCGGTGGGGATCTCTGGAACTGTTCTAGACTGGAGTTAGACCTTTCTAACAGAAGTTACAGTGTCTGTACAAACCAAATCATGTCAAATTCTACTGATCTGTTCTGTGGAGTACCTCAAGGCTCTGTTGCGGGTTCACTCCTGTTTCTAAAGTACATACACCCTATTGGACAGATAATTGATTCTTTGCATAATGTCTCTTATCACCTATGCAGATGACATTCAGCTGTACTGTTCCTTTAAGGAATCTGAGTTCTATAAACTGTCTGAACTACTAGAGCAGAGGTATTCAATTCCAGGCCTGGAGGGTCGGTATCCAGCACGTTTTAGTTGTAACTTTGCTTCAACCTACCTAATTTCAATCAGCAGGTAATTAACAGGCTTCTGCAGAGACTAATGAGCTGCTGCACTGGTGATTCAACCGCTGAGTTAAGTGTGTTGGAGTAGAGAAACCACTAAAATGTGCTAGGTATCTGTCCTCCAGGCCTGGAATTGAATACCTCTGTACTGGAGTGCCTATCAGCTATCACCAGCTGGCTAGAAAATAACTCCCTTCAAACTCTGAAAAGAGTGAATGACTGAGCATTGCTCCTGAGAGCATGGTTCTCCTGATTAGTCAACAACTTGGTCATTTAGCTTTGCCATCAAGTCAGACTTGGGGAATTTGGGTGTTGTTTTTGGCCAATCAATGTTTGTTGAAGGAGAACCAGATATTAAAGTCAAGGTGACCGCTCCTTCCAGACTGTTGCACCCCAACTTTGGAATGATCTTCCTTTATCCTTACGTAGAATGGACAGCCTGGACACCTTTAAAATAAACACTGAAATCCATTTTATTTTATGCTGCTTTTACCTAAATTTTTTGTTTTCTTATTTTTAACTTGAATTTGTAATCATATTTTATTTGTTTTATGATATTTTATAATTTTATGATTTTGCTTTTATTTTTATTTAATTATTTCTGTTTTAAGATCACTGTGATTTTATGACTTGATTTGTTTTGTTTTTGATCTGTGAAGCTCTTTTTGCTTCTCTTTCAGGATGAGTGCTATATAAATAAAATGCATTTACTTACTTACTTACTACAAAACTAATGACGCATCAAAGTCACTATTTTAACTATTTCTTGACAACAATTAAAAAGGCAGAATTGTCAAAAATACCCCAAACATTATTATTGTGGGAAATGAGTCTGTTTTGTTTATTTCATAAATTACTAGCCTAAAACTCCAGACAAACCATAAAAGTATCCAAAGATTTTGCTCTACAGGCCGGTCTAGCAAAGCTCCATTGTAGCCTCAGCAGGTCTACCATTGGATCGCACTATTTTATATCAGGCCAATCACAGTGCCCTACGTTTATAGTGAGATTTTGGGCAGAAATGGCATCAACTTTGAACTATTTGAGACATGAGCAGATAGAGGCACTTAAATCTGAAAAAATGATGTAGTATTTGCTTCTTTTTCATCATCAGTGATGTGTGGAGGACTGCCCCCATTGACTGATTTCCATATTTTCGCAGTTTTATGTTGATCTATTTATATAATTTGAATTTCAAAATTGTCAAGGGAGAATTTTTGTTACAAAAATGTGCACTACATGCAAAAACACTGGTACGGTGGTCACCAAATGGACAAAAATTATGCCTGAGGGTTTCAAAAGATGGATCCTATAAATTATGTTACATGCATGAGTAGTAAATAGGTCCATGAATCAAGTTACAAATTAGGTCAAATCTAAATAAAATAAAAATTTAAGAAAAAATCTATTTAATAAATGGTTAAATACAGTGGAAGCCATAATCTGCTGCTTCTGCTCTCCCCAGCGATGAGATTTAGTCGCTGCATAAGTACCATATTTGGGGAAGAGACTTTCTGCATAAAGAAGATTTGTGTTAGTTGTTTAAGGACTGGGGGGGGGGGGGGGGGGGTATTTACCATTATTACCAGCACTAGTGAAAAGAGTGAAAGTCAGGCTCAATCTAATACCAGCACTGGCCAAGAGACAAACATGTTAATTGAGCCAAGCCTTGCTCCATATGGGAGAGATTAGGATGTGTGGGGGTCATGGAGAGAATGACAGAGATTAGGTGCCCTTGGAGAATGATAGATGATTGAGAGAGATTAACAATATGAAGCTCGGTTTACCGGTGAAAAAGGGGCAGTGGCACTGGCCTAATTGTCCTCATAGTTACGCAAAAATGCTTTTATATAGCAATAATGTATTTAGAAAGGATGTTAAGCCCCTGAGGCGTTAGAGCAGGGAGTCCTGGGGCCTACATTTTTAAAAAGCCAGATTTGTGATGCAATCTTCTAAGAAATAAAAGCATCAAAGCTTTAATTTGCTCGTGAGCGTTGGCTCATTGTTACAAAATTATATCTTAGATCAAAGATGAAAAGTGGCGCAAGAATTTATGATTTACTGAAAGACTAATGATCGGGTTAAATTAGCCTTCTTTGGACCTGTTCACTTTTTCTTTTCAGCACCCTCATTGACGTGTGCCAAAAGTTTAATTTTAAGCATAGGACATGTTTTTGGATAAAACTGCTTTCCTTGTTCCACTGTTGTTTGTACTGTAAACAAGTGTCGACTAACCTGGAAAATGAAAAATAACATAATCTCTTTTTGAAAACAACGGCCAATCATCAATTCAATTCAATTCAATTTTATTTATATAGCGCCAAATCACGACAAGAGTCGTCTCAAGGCACTTCACATAATAAACATTCCAATTCAGGTCAGTTCATTAAGCCAATCAGAAATAAGGTTTCCTATATAAGGAACCCAGCAAATTGCATCAAGTCACTGACTCATCCAATGATAAGGCCCAAAAGCATAATGCATTCATCACAGCAACAAAAAAAATTTAGTTTGGAGCTCCTAATAGAGAAATTATTAAATATTACTCAGTTAGTGATGTTGCCCAATTATATCGTTGTAAGATCCAATCAGATTAACATCTTATTGAAGCAGAGTGCCTGAGGAGTATTCCAGTTTACTGATGACAAAAAGGGAACTTGACATCAAGTTTTGGTAAAATGTAGGGGTAGACCGATTTATCGGTCGGCCGAAATATTGGGCCGATATTTTATGTTTTTTGTATATCAGCATCGGCTGATATACCTCCTCAGTAAGGCTGATTTAAAGTCAGGCACATCCCCGGTCAGCTCAGAGCAGCTGCAGAATTGAAATCTATATTTATGTTCCTGAAAAACATCTGCACAATAAATGCTCTTAAAATTTTCAGCTAAAGTTTTTCTCAGTTTAGAATATTTAATTAGCGGTCAGGTTATTGATTTGTTTGCTTAACTTTAGTTGATATCTGATTTCAACACTGACCCGTGCACAAAATTAAGATTTACCAGCTGGTTAAGTTCAGAGTTCAAAAACGGATTCAGCTTCAGAAATTGTGTGCATCAGCTGATGGTACCGGTGACATTATAGCATCTAAATAAATGTCTAGATATCGGCCATGAAAACCTGCCCAAAACATCGGCAGCACAAATCGGCCACTGACTGACCATGACCTTTACATATCGGCTTCGGTATCTGCAATAGAAAAACCAGTATCGGTCAGCCAGTTAAAAGTACTACAGGTTTGCTCCTGACATACTCTCAGGATGCTTTTATAAAAGGATTTCTGTGCATTTGTCCATATTTATAAATCATATAATCATCATATGAATCAAAAACCAGACACACATCAGGCTCTTTAGTCAGACATTAAAACACACACACACACACACACACACAAACATTTTTACAACTTACCAATTCTCAGGACCTGCTGTGACGTGAGCCAAAACTCTCCCATTAAGCACACCAGTGGAAATAACAATCCCTTCCTTTTCACCATGATCAGTTTTTAAAAGTCAACATTGACATCAAAGGTTTTCTTTTTATTCCTCAGTGATTCATGCTGATAGCTTGCCAGTCCTTGTATCCTCAGGAAAAATCAGCTGGAATCTGACCCACATCCATCCTGCACACATTGTGATGAAGAAAACAAAAATCCACTTGCAGTTTTCAGAAGAACTCCAGTTTCCCCGTTTCTAAAATCCGCCGCATGCCAGTAAAATTTAGTTTCCCATATTTATTCTCTTGGCTTCTTTCTTATTGTGGTGATTTCCCAGTGCACTCTAGAATAGTGAGCTGAAACTGAGGAGGACTGTGCGCTGTGCTCCCCTCTGTCAATTATGCAAAAGCAGAAAAGACATTTCTGTTGACAGATTTCAAAATAAAAGTTGTGCATGGAATCATGTTGAAGCAAAAAAATATCTATTTTTCAGAGTTTTTTATTTTTAAATGAACTGATATTTATCCAACGTTGATGAGAAGAAGAATAACTTGCAACTGCTTCTTTGTTGTGATGTTATTTTGCTTTATGACAGCCACTTTCCATCCAACTTAGGGTCAGGAAACAGAAGCAATGGTAAATAATAAATTACCTGTATTTGTATAGCACCTTATCAGGGTTCTAGAACCCCCCAAGGCACTTCACAACACAATCAGTCATTCACACATCCGTACGCTGGTGGGGATGAGCTACGATGTAGCCACAGCTGCCCTGGGACACACTGACAGAGGCGAGGCCTGCCAAACGCAGGCGCCACCGGTCCAGCCGACCACCACCAGCAGGCAGAGTGGGTTAAGTGCCTTGCCCAAGGACACAACAGCAACATTCTTAAATTTTGTTACTATTGTAAATAATTTTGAAACTAATAACTAATTTACATGCATTAAATTAGTTTAGAATATAGTTATTTGCTGTGTTTTTTACTCTTTTTTATGTTGCAGTTCAACCTCTTATTCTTGTTTGTAAATAAGTGGAAAAAGTAAAATAAAACATAATTTTGAAAGTTACCAAATTATTTTATGCAATTACTACAGGTATATGTGTCAATTTCTGTCTAATTTCTACCTGTTTTTGTGAAGATCAAACCATAAAAGTGCATTGTGAGTGTTACCATACAAAAAAATTATTCTATTTCCCCAAAGCTCCCGTCATGTGAGAATTTAATTCCCGTCAGAATCATTTTGCATCAGCTGCGGCTCAGTTTCCAGGTGACATTGATGCTTTTATTCTGAAACCCAGCATTCCTGTCTTCCGGGATCACCAGCTGTGTTTCTGTTTGAGTGACCCAGCTGAACACCCCCACCACTGCCACTGCCACCCCACACAGCCACACACAGCCAAGTCGCTGATCTCCAAACATGGATACGTCCTAAAGATTAACTTCAAATCTGCCTGCATTCGACCTCGACAACGTCTTTGCCTAGCTACACCGAGGAATGATTAAATCTTTGCTCCAGTCCTGATGAAAATGCAAATTTAATCTACAAACGCTCCCTTGCAGATTAACTATTGCAAACTGTTTACATGACACTGTGCTTTAGTTAAATTAAATAAATATTAGTTAATTTTACTCGGTTTAAACAGACTGGTGTAGAATGAAAGTCGGAATATTTATGTGCACCAAAGAGAAACCAGGATTTATGCTGCAAAATACACGTCAGCAGTGATGAATCACTGACGTTTTATTTTCTAATTAACTTATGTTTATACTAGATTCTACATTTATTCTGAAAAAATACCAGCTAATCAAAGTGGAAATTGTTTTGACACCTGCAGAAGAAAGTGGAGAGACTCTTAATTTGAACTCTTGCGCCCTCTAGTGGTGTTTGATGAGTGTCAACATTTGCCAGCCTTAGAATGATGCCAGTGATGTCACAATAAAGCAAATAACATGATTAAAAAATGAAATTATACTTAAAGTGATGATGTGTATTTTCCCTGGTGATAGGGGGCCGGTACATATCTAAAAAGTTGCAAGCAAGCAGCGTTTTTGTGTTTGAGTAAGACCTTACTAACGCAGGGCCATGAGGGTCAAAAAGCCCTGGGATCGCAACCTCCAGCAAAATGACAAACACATCAGATTTCCTTTCATCACTGGCAACGAGCGAAGAGGTAAATGCGTGAAACAATGTTTACGAAAGGGGAAAGTTTTGTAAACGCTTGTTAGACATCAGTAAATGCATTTTCTCCTCACGAGCTCCTGTAGACGCAAACATGGCGTCTAATATGGCATCTCCCAGAGCTTTAGACTCACTCCCATGTATTTTAGACCTGATTTTTATTGTTATAAAGCCGCCAATATTTTTCAACAACTGGGCATCATTTAATTCTTGATATATTTCCAGTGAATAATGGTTCAAACTACACATTATCACTTTAATCAAACATTTTTTAGGCTTGTTCTTGTATTCTTTAAATAATTAAACAAATTTTTAATCATATTGTGTGTTATAGTTTAATTTTAGATTACAAAAAAGAAATATTGACAAATTTTTAGAAAACACTAATATTCTTTGTTTTAATGTACTTTATAACCGATGCTGACAACTTTTATTGCAAAATGTTGAAGCATTTCGAACTCAAGACATATCTTTAGAGATAAACACAATTAAAAATAAAAACACATTATAATGATAAACGGTGATCTGGTAAATAATGCTAAACTAGTACAGAAATAGCATCAAATGCAACCATAATCTAACTGACAATGAAGACATTTAGATGGTATATACAAGCTCTGTTATGGAGGATTTTCTGTTTTTGATTATCAAATCCACATCAGAAATGCTGGTGGAAAAAAAGTTTTCTTTCCTTTTATTTACACTAACAACAGGAGTTATAATTAACCAAATCACATAAACTTTAAGATTTGCTAAATTGATTTTTATATTAGTTGGTCATAAAGATCAAAAAGTTTGATTTTACCACAATAAGTATAACTTACTCAAAAATTATTACTACTATAAAGGAGAATAATTTACAAAGTTTATGTAAATCCGTAACTAAGAGTGGAAAAGGGAGCTTAAAGTTGTGTTTATATGTATACTGCTCTGCTGCTCTCGCTGTAAGACACCGAAGGCATTCTCGATTCTTGGTGCTTCATGAAAGCAGGAGATGCTGCGACAGGAAGAAGGCTGGGCTGGTAAGACATGGTGGGGCCGCCAGTATGAGTTGTTGAATACGGACTGACGTTTTGGGTCATGTACATGGAGTTCCCTGGAGCATGAACGCTTCCAGCGTGATTAGAGCTTCGTACAGAAGAATAGTGCCCAGTGCTGCCTTGGTAGATCAAAGATGCATGTTCAGGAGGGCCAGGGTTGTAGATAATAGATGGGGTGATTGGGGCTCCATGGTTTGTCATCACATGAGGGACATTTAGCAGCGGCATGGTGAGTTGTTGCCCCCCAAAGCCATTGTTCTGAAGAGAACTTTGATGCACCATTGACTGCCTGCTGGGAACGCCAGAGATTGGATCATAACTTGTCAGAGCCGGCCTATCAGCAGTTGCTGGGCAGTAATTACGTAATTTGTGAGGGTGGTATACATCAAATGAGTCTTCGTCTGAGGGAATGTGTCGGCAGAGGAACAACATAGCCGAGGCAAAAAGTAATCCGCCTGTCACCCAACCGATGTAGAGGGCCTCTCCCAGCTCTCTCCTCTGGGCATCGATGAGCAAAGGGTTGTAAAAGTCTTGTATGATGACATGACCTGTCCACGACACTGGTATTAAGACACAAATGCAAGCCAGGAGCTGCATAGCTCCTGCAACCACGAGGATGATGGTTTTAGCCCGTTTGTTCTCCTGGAGACAAGCAACACACTTCATCCCTGCCAGAGCCACCAAGATGCCCACCCCCGACAAGGCTACGGAGCAGCACATCAGACCTCTGGCAGCCTGCAGCTCAGGGGGGAGGTACAACAGGGAGTCGTACACCTTACACTGCAATCTGATGTTTGCCTGTCTGTAGCAGTTCATCCATAAGCCCTCCCAGCGTGTCTCCATCACGATGATGTTCTCTCCGATGAAAGCTGTCACCTTCCACATAGGCAGACCTGTTGTTGCTGCGACTCCAACGAGCCCGATCAGCCCCAAGCACACAGCAGCTATCTCTGACACGCCGGTAACCATTCTTGATCATCAAAGAGTCCAAAATCTGTTTCAGTCCAGCTTCACAGCGAAATGTTCTCTAAATGTTTAAAACAACATTAAAAAAAAGAAGAGAGCTCAAGCGAGAGCTGTGTCCAAACGCAAGTTCACCTGAGAGTGTGTTTGCCGTGAGGGATCCGTTGTTTCGGGAAATATTCTCAGGAATCACCTGGTTGGCTTAGAAGGATGGTGGTAAAGATGACGTCTGCTTGTTTTGTGTTTACGGTTCGTCAGGCAATGGTGGCATCTCATCGGACATCACATCACAGTACACAGAAAAGTAAGGCAATATTAGACCAAAAACTCACAACTCCAGGCTTTTAAATGACCTCCACGTGTTTATTTGTTGTAAATATACAAGAAATCTGGTGTACACAGGCCCCGAAGGGCTGCACAGCCTTGACAGTTTCTGCAGTGTCCACATGGGAGCAGGGACGAGCTTTAGGGGAATAGAGTGGAAAAGCAATTCCATCAACAAACCAGTAAGAACCAGCAATTAGTTTTTACTGAGGATGGGTTCCTATTTAGGGTTTACGTGTTGTATAAAGAGTTTAATGTTGACTTTGTTGTAAACATAAATGTGATGATGCAGACGCCATCTCCATTACATCACTGAGATGTCGGTCATGAAAGACCAAAAAAAAAAAACTTCTAAAACCTTCTTGTTTCGTGTTGCTTTTAACATTGTGACGTTCATGGTTTGTCAGTTTAGGTTCATTTTGAAATGTCTAAAAGTGAAATGATGGGACATTTTAAAACATTTGATCCAGGTATCAGCTCATAAGTCAGCAAGGATCATATGATCCTATTTGTCCATCGTCACGGTACTTTTAGCTACGTTTGTTTTGGGACCACACCCTTAGCAAGCAGTTCAAGTATTTCACATTTACTGACGTTCCCTCCTTTCATCAGTTCTGGGATGTAATGCCTCGCTAAAATCAGGATTCACAAATCAAAGTTTTTGAAAATAAGACCGAAACAGTTCAATGTAATCAACTCAGGCACCAGGTTAACATTCATGCTCCAAAATCAACATGACACTGCTGCCCTTCAGTTTCCTTTCTAATACTGGATGAGCCTGGCACTTCTGGTAAAGATAAAAATCTAAATATGAAGACAAATGCATGACTCGATGGAACACAGCAAATAAAGCAACACGTCATTTGGAGTAAATGAAAACAGATGAAACGGTCGCAGTAAATATTAGACTTTTGCTTCTTAATCTGATGGACGTTTTTGTTGAAATGATAATCATAACCCACGAAGAGGCTGAAAAGTGCAGGTTTACTTCAGTTTGATAGAAAATGAATCCAGCCCAGTTCTATGTGGGCTGTCGTCAGATCAAGTAGATGAGTTGGAATTTTTACCTGAAAAGGAAGATAGCATTGTTGTACCAGTCCATAATGAAAAAGAAGTCATATTGTTGCTTATCAAACACGTATCTTTTAAGAAATCACAGATAAGCAACTCCGCTGTGTACAGAAGGATAGCTGTAGATGGTAGATGGATGTCTTGAGAGCATTGGTTGAGGTTCGGATCGAGGGATGAGCACCAGCTGTTGAGGCTGCATGGGCTGCTGGGGGTGCATGGGCTGAGGGGTGTAAGCCCTGTAGTCATAGTTCCTGGGGTACATGTACTTATCTGGCCCTTTGTCTTCTGACTGGATGTTGCAACAGAAAAATATGCATCCTCCAGCAAACAGGAAGGCCGCTGCCACCCATCCGATGTAGAGAGCTTCTCCGAGCTCTCTGCGTTGGGCATCGATCAGCAGGGGGTTGTAGAAGTCCCTGATGATGACGTTGCCCGTCCAGGACACAGGAATGAGGGTGCAGATGGAGCCCATCAATATTATGCATCCTGCAATGATCAGGACCACTCGCTTAGCTCGGTCGTTGTTGACGATGCACGACGTGCACTGCATCCCGATCAAGCTGACGAGCAGACCGACGCCAGCCAGCGCCACCGCGGCACACATCAGCCCTCTGGAGGCCTGGAGTTCCGGAGGGAGAGCCAGGAGGGAGTCGTACACTTTACACTGCATTCTTATGTTAGCCTGCCGGAAGCAGTTCATCCACAAGCCCTCATATCGAGTCTCCATGACTATAATATTCTCCCCAATGAAGGCCGTAACCTTCCACATTGGCATCCCGTTGCTTGCGGCTGCCCCAATGAGTCCTATCAGGGACAATAAAAGAGCCGCAATCTCCAGTCCAGAGTTGGCCATCCTGCCTTCAGTAACTCATCTAAGCATACGGATAAAACAGCAGCTGTAGGTCCAAGCAGATGATTCCCTCTGTAGCTTTTGATCCAGCTGGAGGAAAAGCAGGCTGCTTTTCCCTTTGCTGCCTCTTCCCTGTGGATATTGTAACATAATGAGAAGGGGTGGGAATTTCAACCTGTTGCTAGGAAACTTGAGTCCTCTGGTGACTTTTCTGTGTGTGTGCGTGTGTGCGTGCGTGCGTGCGTGTGTGTGTGTGTGTGTGTGTGTGTGTGTGTGTGTGTGTGTGTGTGTGTGTGTGTGTGTGTGTGTGTGTGTGTGTGAAAACCAACCCTGGGTGCTTCTGTAAGGTGCCACTTTGTTTATTCAGAAGTGTCAGGTTACGCTCTCAGAGCTTTCGCTAAAATGAAGCTTTAAACACAACAATCGTGGTTAAAGATTAACCTCCACATTTATAAATATGTTAATGTTTACTCGTGGTAGGTATGAGAACATTTCTAGTTCAGCCGGTTTTTTGTTTTGAATTTAAGAGAACAGTTGTGGAAAATGAAAAAAAACATTGTTATTATTATGGCATTTTGATAGAAATACTTTTAAGAACCCATATAAAGCTGAGCAATATGGAAAAAAATCACTAATTCTCCTGTAGCAAATTGTTTTATAAATTATAACAAAGTATAACATTAATTCTCCAGTTTCTGAGGTTGTGTCTTTTTTAGTAAAAACTGTCCAAATTCCTGCATTTTACCACATTAGAGCTCTGTTGCCATGTCTTGTCCTTGTCTCGTGTCTCCTCCATGTTCCTTCTAGTCATTACTGCCCACCTTTGTAGTCTCATCATAGTTCTGTAGTTAGTCCCCCATCCTGTTTATTGTTATTAGATTTTCCTGCCTTTAGTTTTTCTAGTATTTATCTTTAGTGTTTTCGGTTGTCATTTATGTAGATAAGGAGTTTTATTATCTTCTATCTTCCAGTTCTGTTGTTTGTTGTTCTGGTGTATCTGTATATTTATTCTCAGTTATCCTAGTCCCCAGCTCTCCAGTGTCTTTAGTTCTCTAGTTTTCTGGTTAATTAGTTTTATCTTCAGTTCTCAGACTTTATTCCCAACCCACCTGTTTTTGTTTCACAGCTTTTATCAGGTCTTTCTTTTTGGAAAAAGGCAGGCTGGACGCCAAAAACGCGCTTTGCTGCCACAACAACCGACACAGCCTAACCAGCGCCACCCGTCACACTCTACAAAACAAAAGAACATCCCCACCCCTGTGCACCCACAGCGCTGCCATCAACAGAACTCTCCCACCAGCACACACCCTAGTGAACACACACACACACACACACACACACACACACACACACTCATCCTTGTAAGAAAACTTACCCCACTACCACCACCCCATCACCCACATTCTTCACCAAAGATGTCCCATTACCCGCAGCAGACCCAGACTCCCCAACCTCCTCGGGGGACACGTCACCAAACCCCAGAAAGGTCTCTACAGCAACAGTCACTTCGTGTGCCACATCCGACTTGTTGGTCGCTAAATGCTTCACCCTTCACAAGGCCTCTACCACGAAGGCCAAAAACTCCTTTTTATCCCTCACCATCACCACACCTGCCCCCTCATCCACACCACCAGCTGACTGAGGCCCCCGAACCCAACCCACCACCACTCTTAACCCCCATATGACGCACTGCCTCCGCAGAAGACACTTTACGCTCCGCCTGAAACTTTTCCACCTCCACCGCCGACCTATATGCCACACAACCCCTAAAAGCAGCCTGATGGGCCCCACCACAATTACAGCGATGGAACAGCTGATCACAGTGCTTGCCTTCATGGGCACCCCCGCACCGCCGACACCTCATACCCAACGCGCAGATACCAGCCACACGCCTAAAGCCTTGACACCTGAAGCACTTCAGAGGAGGCTCCTCAAACGTTCTGACCAAAGAGCTGAGATAGGCCAACATGACATGGGCAGTTAGCTCCACCGCATCAAAAGTAATTAGCAGTGGAGTGGATCCATGAGCGTCAAATCCCAGACGCCGAACAGCCACCACCGCCACCCCACCCAGGAAAGTAAACACGTCAGTTTCAGAAACCTCGTTCGACACGCCGTATGCCACCCCCTTAACCAAAGCACCCGAACACGACTCAGAAACCGTTACTCCCACCCCCATAAACGTCTCAAGCCGCAGTGCTTTGAGGCACTGGGCCCTCTTCGACAAACCACCGTCAACAGACCAGGATACACAGCAGTAGCATCCATCACATCCCCAACCACCGTACTGAGCTCCCTGGTCACCGCGAACAGGTTGGATGTTGCAAAACACGCACCAGCCACCGCCCTGATGCGGACCACCAAGCCGCCCGCTGCCAGCCGCTGCTGCTTCACCTGAGCATCCCAGTCACCATCCGAGGCATCACTGCTACACGGCCCCTCTTACCCGCCCCCGACCCCGCCAAAAAAATCGGCCGCACCAGCCTTCCCAACTCCCTTCATCCCAATTCACCACCACAAACGAGGCCGACTCAGAGCAAAGTTGAGCTGTCGTCTTACCGGGCCCTACAGGCCGTCAGCCGACCACCCAAACAACCCCCACAACCAATCGAATCGGTACCACCACCTTCCCATCGACTCACGGGTTCCTCCATTCTCGAAGTGAAAACATTTTTACTGCAGAGCCTCAAATATTCCCTATCTGGTCCAGTTTCCTCCTCTGGCTTTCCATTTTGCTTCCCCACTTTGTAATGATTCCACCTTGTTCTGCCAGTCCTCCTGTTGCAAATCAGCTTCACACAGTTCACCTGAGCCCTGCCTGATTGTCTCCTTGCTTCACCTGTGCACTCCTTTTAAACAAAGCTCAGGCTCGGCCTCTCTGCCAGATCATCGACAGCCTTGTGCCAGTAGAGACTCCAGCAATATTTTCAACCAAGCCTTTTGACTTTTGACCATGTTTTCTGTCCACGGATTCTCTCGCCCATCTGTCATCTGGACCCTGACCTTGGCTCTGAAAATTGACGGCTGATCCCTGCTCAACCCCCTGATGAGTCTTGCTGACTACTTCTGCCTGTTTGTGTATGACCTTGCCTGTACCTCACTCTTGACATTGGATTTTTGGATACTTTAACTTCTGTGGGCTGCACTAATTGTCTGTCGTTTTGAGGAGAGGAGTAAAGTCCACAGACCAAAGAGGGGCTCCCATAGCTGACACTGAGACAGTCCTGTCCCCTCTAACTGTCATCGCAGCATATGCTGCTCCGTCTCCAGTTTTCCTATCAGCAGAATCTTCTGCGATTCCCTGATTCTCCATTTTAAATAAAATAAATAAAAAAACTTAAAGTTTTACTGCTGTGTTCTTGCTGAATTTTCTGGGTCTTCAGATTATACCCATTACACACTCTGTTAAATGGTCTCACCTATCAGCAATCCCTCCCTACACACCTGCTCCCTGTTCCCCTGATCACTTCCCTTTCTGTGTTCAAACCCTCGTCTTGTCTCTGTCGGCTCCTCGTGTCTTTTTGTATCCGCCTGTTTCTGCTTCTGCTCCACACCACAGACCGAGCCTACCTGTCTGCTCCTGGATTTATCGGCATCTTGGGTCAATCAACATTCACCATTTCCATGACATCTGTGAAATCTCAACTTTTTTTTTCCTTTTTATCCAGCTTGGATTTATAAAACATTCACAATAAAAAAAATTAATAAAGACAAGTTCAAATAACAATACAGCAAATTACAAGTTTTAGGGAAAAAAACTTGTTTTGAAGGGTCTAAAATCTCATTAAACTTTAAATCAGAGAAAAGCTTTTTTTAAAATAAGTTTTTACATGTTACATGAAATATGGTGTGAAAACTTTTGTTTTATAATACAATTATGGATGCTGATTTTTTAACAACTTTTAAAATGTCAGCAACACACGGTTAACTGGTTTGTTTTGCTTCTACTTGACAAACATTTGTTCGTTTTTTTAACTTTGTTTTTACATCTTGTTCTGCACACACAACTGCAAGGTTGACAATCCGGGGTCTCCAGCTCACGTCCTGACTTGGAGGCGCTTCTGCTAGGGCGACTCCTAACATGGCTTGGAGTGTTTGAGTACCTTGTTTTGTTTTTTGTGTTTTGAGAGTGATGTGAGGGAAATAGACTGCTTAAACAGACAGATTTTACCCCGGTACAACTTCCTCACCTGTAAGCAGAAGAGTAAATTGGCGTGGATTAGACCTAGCAGACAAAATAATTGGTTCACCCCATACCCCACTGTCCCACCTGTATGAGTGCTCTGTGATCAGGAAAGCCACAGAACCTTCTCATCCCCTTGATCATTCCTGAGCACCTGGTTCTCCCCACCTCAAGACCTTCACAGCTCCCCTCCTGGACCCACTGCAGTTTGCCTACAGAGCCAACAGGTCTGTAGATGATGCCATCAACATGGCTCTGCACTTCATCCTGCAGCATCTGGACTCCCCGGGTGTCTACGCCAGAATCCTGTTCGTGGACTTTAGCTCTGCTTTAAATGCAATCCTCCCAGACCTCCAAGACAGACTGTCCCAGATGAACATGTCTGACCCATTCTGCAGGTGGATCACTGACTTCCTGAAAGACAGGAAGCAGCAAGTGAGACTGGGGAAGAATGTCTCAGACCCGCGACCATCAGCAACCGGTTTCCCTCTCCCCTCTGCGCTTCTCTCTGAACTCCCAACGGCTGCACCTCCAACCATGAGTCTGTCAAGCTAATTAAGTTTACAGACGACACCACGGCACCGCCGTCATCTGACTCCTCTCAGATGGGGGTGAGTCCGCCTATTGAACAGCTGGTGTCCTGGTGCAGCCACAACAACCTGGTGCTAAACACCCAGAAGACAGCGGAGGTTGTTGTGGAGCACACAGCCTCATCTCTTATGTAACTGTTTTGGTGTCAGACCAATAAAGATTTTTTTCTACTCTATTATTTGGTTGATGCAAATTTTCCTTTTTTTTCTGGTTGAAAAACTCACTGAAACAATTATTTTGCAAAATCAGAGCACTCATTTGGGTAACTTTCTGCTGTGAATTTTGTGCTTTTGTTTGAGCAGGAAGTCTGAAGCATTTATTCTGTATTAGTCAGTGTTAGTTACTGATTATTTTGTCAAAAAAGTAACTCCGTTACTGAGTTACAAGATTATAAAAGTAACTAATTACCAATAAAAATAACTATTTTGTTACTTTTTTCATTAAAGAATGTAAGAACTGTGGGTTCTACTCTTAATTAAACTTCCTTAATTGACTATAAATTACTACAATACTTAAATATAAATGAGTAATGACTGCAACATAATAAAATGTATGTCCAAATGTTTTTATAAAACTGAATAATTGAAATAAATGGGCACTTAACAGGAGAAACAACAAACGGGAGCATTACACTAATCTAGACTATTAAAATGTCGCTGTGTGATATTTAACAAGACCCCAATCAGCTAAAGTTTATAACTGCAAACAGAAACACCTGTAAAGGTTCTTGAGCCTTTAAATGGTCTCTCAGTCTAGTTAAATTACAGAAATGAATGTAATTTTGCACAGTATTCTCATTTTTCGAGCGTCACATAATTGTGAGTTTTTAGTAGCATTTCTGTTGCTGGTAATCTAGTAATGGTCAAATAAATAAATAAATAAATAAAAATCATTTAAAATGACACTAGAAGAGGCACAAATCTGATGGACGACTTACATTTATTAACTTGGGTCAGACTCAAACACAGAAGAGCTGAAGCTGCGTGGTAAACACACACAGGTAGTTCTAATAACACCTGAGCTCCATGACGCCTGAGACTGATGCATCAGTGTCACAGCGGGACTAAAGACATGATCAGGAACAGGTTACAGCTGGATGATCTAGGAAGGTAGAAGATCGTGATGTCTGAGTGGTGAACGGGTGACGTCCTGCTGTCACTCCAAGAAGGGCACGACTGCAGATTCCCACCTGCAGCAGCGAATCTGCGAGTCTGCAGCTGTAACTATTCATCACGTCTTCCTCGTTTTTCACGGGCCGTGATGCACTCAGATAAAAACATCCACCTGTTTAGCTCCCGATCAGCTGATGACAGCTTCAACACCGCGCTGCTGAATGAGTAACGCAGGCATTTTCTTATCGGTAATGGAAAGATAAAAGAGGACGGTAAGTAATTAGATTACTCATTACTGTAAAAACCTGTTTTTTTAGTAACGCCGTTAGTTTAGATGATTTTATTTCCATCACTGGTATTAACACACACACACACTTCTATTATTGAGATTTTTCCTCTAGATATAGCATCTTAATTGTAAACATCTTGTCGGGGTGTTTTGTCTAAGTCTGCGCTTCAGAAAAATAAAACAAAAATCTGAGGGTTGCACCTTTAACCTGGTTGTGTTGTGAGTTGAGATACATGAAATTCTTGTTTTACCAGTTCCATCACATTTCCACGACAACATAGTTTTCTATTTACACAGCCCCGGTCAAAACTAGGAGTTCTCACCAAACAAAATAAAATACCAACCACTTTCTCACTAATTTATTAACTTAAAATGGTAAATAGCTTCATGATTTGTGGCACTATGAAATCATGTATACATTCATGACAGCATCTAAAAAGTAAAGAGACAAACTGGCTTTGACAAAGTCCGGTTGATGATTTCTACAAAACAGCATTTCTGTTGAATTATTGACATTTGAACATTGTAGGTATTGGGTATACAAAACAAAAATTACAGAAAATCATCAGTTTATTGTGATTTAAACAAAAACAAGTTCACAATCAAAACACTAAAACAACAAGCCCCCGCCTCAGGAGACTGCTTGTTGGTCTCAGTCACTTGAGTCTTCTCATCAGTTGAGCCAAACATTTAACGAGTTTCAAACCCAAGTCCAAAGGTTGTCTAGTACTGACTTGGTGTGTATGCTACAGACCCTGGTGGGGGCAAGGAGTACGCAGGCTGGTAGGTGTTTCCTGGCTGGTAATTGTATGGCTGGTAGGTGTACGGCTGGTTAGTGTATGGAGGTTGGTAGACACTTTCACCAGGGTTGTAGATTATCCTCTCATCTGAATCCTGTATGCGGGGAGCATGACGACACAGCAGGATCACCCCAGCAGCAAAAAGCAAACCTCCAGACGTCCAACCAATGTACAGGGCCTCCCCGAGCTCCCTGCGCTGGGCGTCGATCAGCAGCGGATTGTAGAAGTCCTGGATGATGACGTGGCCGGTCCAGGACACGGGGATCCAGGTTGTGACGCTACCCAGGAGGAAGAGACAGCCACCAGATACAAGAATAACGTGCTTTGTTCGGGCACGGTGGCCTACTGCTGTGGTACATTTCATCCCCACTGCAGAAACGATCACGGCGAATGTGGTCACAGCGACGGCGGTGCACATGAGACCCCTGGAAGCCTGGAGCTCTGGCGGCAGATAAAGCAGGGAATCGTACACCTTGCACTGCATTCTGATGTTGGCCTGTCTGAAGCAGTTCATCCACAAACCCTCCCAACGGACCTCCATCACAATGATGTTTTCTCCAATGAAGGCTGTTACCTTCCACATGGGCAAACCCGTCACCGCCGCCACTCCAATTAGTCCAAGAAAGCCGATGACCAGAGCCACAACCTCACAGCAAATGGCGCTGTTGCGTTTCTTCTTCTCCAGAGCCTTTTTTTCCTCATAAAGGGTGTCTGGGTAGTCTCCAGTGGTCGGAGGGTTCTTTGGATCGTAGTACGACTCCGTGTAATACACGGGTGGCTTGGTGTAGCCAGTGTAGGGAGTGTAGGGTGTGTAGGCCGTCATTGCAGCTGAGCCAAAGATGCTCTCTTTGGCTTCACTGCTGTGGCTCTGAAAACACGACTGAAGGAAAGAACAACAAAATGGACTTATACACCCTCTGAAAAAATGCTAACCATTCAGTGCTGCCGTACTGGTTGGTCTACTTCATGGCCATCAGATGAAAGCTAACAAAGGAGTTCGACTTGTTTTGAATGTAAACGAAACCGCACCTCCTTTTAATCAACACAGTGATGTGTTTCTTCTATCTGAGACTTGATTGGTTTTTAATCAAAAGTGCATCTAATTACCTACAGCTGATCAAAAAGGCTTGTTTTCTAAAATGCCTCTTGTTAAACTTCAGTAGAATGTTATTTTTATTTGTAAAGAGGCATTTATGTATCGTAGATGTCTTGGTTTATTATGAGGTCTTGTTGTTTACTGTTTCTGTTACTACACTTTTGTACATTTTTCTTGTGTACACACTGAAAGTGGATTATCCCAGAAGACTAACCAGCCACAACTCAATGGGTAAACTGACCAGAAGGTGTGAAGAGCAGAAACTTGAGGAGGATTGGTTTCACTCGCCTTTGTTTGCTCTCATCGCCTTGATTTCACACTGCTGAATGCACGTCTGACCTCCACATGACAACAACATGTGTGGCAAATAATCTGTACGTTAACCCCGCTGGAGGCAGGCGTTGCAGATTTGCAACGTTAAAACCTACCTGCCCGGTTACTCCAAATATGTATTTCATGAGCATTTTTTAACTCAGAAGTACCTCTGAAGGACTTGGTTGCTCGTCCTTTTATCAAAACTTATTTTGAGCCTGGGAGGGTTAATATTAAAATGGATTCTTTTACTTTATATATATATATATATATATATATATATATATATATATATATATATATATATATATATATACACACACACACACATATATATATATGAAGTAATGTTATGAATGCTGTTCTGCAAAGAAACAAAATCACACATTTTATTTACATGAATAAGATTTTTATTGATTCATGCACACTGGTTTGGTTTATGTAAATTTTTGACAAAAATAACTTAAAACAATAACAGTTCAGTTGATACTTCAGGTGTTTGAAAGTCAAATAGAATATTAGATAAATATTATTCAACGAAACAAAGAGGAAAAAATGTCCAGAATCTTCAAACAGCTTCCTTTCCTAAACAAATGCGATAAGGGGTAGAGTTTGGTGCATAATGTCGTTTTTAAACATATTCTTGAAACTTGAAGCTGGATCCTGTCTTTGGTGTGTGGGCGCTGTCCAGGTGCAGGATGTCCTTTTCAGCTACGAAGTGGTCCTCATTGAGATGCTGTTCTTCCCGTGATGCACGTTTACTGTAACTGATCAGGAGGAGGACTCCTGTTGCCAGCAGAACACCGGACGTTGCCCAGCCAATAAAGATGGACTGTCCAAGCTCCTGTTTTTGAGGATCCAGTAACGCTGGATCATAGAACTTGACAATGACAGAGTGAGCCACCAAGCTGACGGGGATGATTGTGGTAAAAAAGGAAATCAAAAACAAACTCCCTCCAAAAGCCAGAGTGTTGTTTTTCCTCCTCATATTGTCGCCACAGCAGTTGCTCTTCTTGATGCCGCATCCTGTGACAATCATGGAGACGGTCACCAGGGCTATTGAGATGCACACAAGGCCTCTGGCTGCTTGAAGCTCATACGGGAGAATCAGCTGGGAATCGTAGACCTTGCACTGCATGTTGATGTCGATTTGCCTGTAGCAGACCATCCACAGACCTTCCCAGAGAGTCTCAAAGACAACGAGATTCGCTCCAATGTAGGCAGACACCTGCCAGGTTGGCAGAGCAGCAATGGTTACAGTCCCAAACAGGCCGATGAAGCCAAGGACCAATGCTAAAATCTCCAGCTTTGCTTTCATAGTGAAGTGAAAGAAATGCAGTCTTGCCTCTCTTTTAGTCTGCTGCAAGCACTGCCCAGTCTGTCTGATCAAAATCTCAGTGGAGCTCTGAAAGTTATGTAATCCAACTGGTTTGGATTAACTTGGCCTTTTAACTAAACATGGTTTAGGTACAACTCCAGTAAAGTGCAGCACTTTTTCAGGATTTGATCCCCAGACTCCCAGGTGAGAGTCATGTGCGCTAACCAGTCAGCCAAAGGGACATACTCTTAGTCAAGTTGCCAGGGCGCGTGATCAAATGGGACACTGTGACAGGACGCTCACACTGCCGCATCTTTCCCCCTTTTTCCACAAGCATGTCCTCGTGCTCCCGCGCAGGGTGCCACAAACTTCACATCCATGGACCTACTTGACAGTACTACATGGAAGCTCTGTGAAGCTGACCCCCCGTCAGCTTCACAGAGTTCTACATGGATCCTGCCAACAACGCCAAATGTGGCAAGGTGGAGAAACAAGGGCCCGGGCGGGATTCAATCCCCAGACTCCCAGGTGAGAGTCATGCACGCTAACCAGTGAGCCAAAGGGACATCCCCTTGGCCAAGTAGCCAGGGCGCATGATCAATCGGGACACTGTGACAGGACGCTCACACTGTCACTCCTGTGTACCTGTTTCTGGACTGGGGAAACCAACTCCCTGTCAGGTATTTTGCTTCTGGGAAGTGGAAGGAACAAAAGGACAGGGCAGCCGGGAGGGGAGGGAACGGGGCAAAACAGGACAGGTGCTCAAACAGGAACAGAAACTGACAAACCTGTTGAGCAGGTTTGATGGATACTGGATCACATCCGCAGTTGCTTCAAGCGGAAGCAAAGGAGTTCACAAAAACAAAGCAGTGAGGTGAAGGGCTGCTGATGCTTGTATTTACAAGAATTCATTTTAACCTAAACTGGATTTCTAAAAGTTACTATGACAAAGTAAAAGGGTTGTGTAGTGGTGCAACGGGTAGAACTGATGCAGGTTGCAGGTTCAAATCCTGGCTGCAGCCTTTCTGTGCAGAATTTGCATGTTTTCTCATTTTTTATCACCATGTGTCCCGACTTCATCTCATAGACTGAAAACATGCATGCTAGGTTGATTGGTTGTTTGTCTCCGTGTCCCTGTGATGGACTGGAGACATGCCTAGGGTGTCCCTGCTCCCCACAACCCTGCTGAGAAATAAACCAGTACAGATAATGGATGATGGGGTGGATAACAAAAGTACAAGATGTTCAGTTTCTAATAGTGACACGTTGGAGAAATTCATGACATTTGCAACAGATGCCACCTGCTGGGTGCAAATATAAATGCAAAAGGATACGTTATAACTCAAATACTGAAAAACTGTTTCATTAAAAATATGTTTTATTGTCTAAATTGATGCTTGTTTGTAGATATTGGTGAACCTGCACAGACTAGGGTTCTTACAGCTTTCTTAAAGGTAAAGTCAAGCATGTTAAATGGGAGTTTTCAAGGTTTGGTTCCACTGTAATGATTTTCACACAGTCTGGGAAAAGATTTTTAACACGTCCTGATTTTTTTAATTTGTGCCCCCCAAATAAAAAATCCAGAAAATGTATTTAAACAAGTTCTAAATTAACTTACATTTGGTGCAAACAAAAGTTTCTGAGGTGTTTCTGCACAACCAGGCCCTGTTTGTGTGCCTTTGGTCCCTAGCCCCCTCCAGGTTTTCCTCGTGTTCTCTTAGTCTCCCCACTGTAGCTTCTATAGGTTTATTATTTCAGTTCCTTAGTCTCCTTTAGTGTGTGTGTGTGTGTGTGTGTGTGTGTGTGTGTGTTGTGTGTGTGTGTGTGTGTGTGTGTGTGTGTGTGTGTGTGTGTGTGTGTGTGTGTGTGTGTGTGTGTGTGTGTGTGTGTGTGTGTGTTCTCTTCCCCTGTTAGGTCTGGTTTCCTCCCCTGTTCCATTCTGCTCCGCCTCTCTGTTATTGGTTTCACCTGTACCCAATTCCCCACGCACCTGCTCCTCGTCTCCTATCACCCCAGCCCCGTGTATATAACCCTGTCTTATGTTAGCATTGCTTGTTCTCTACAGATTTACAGTCCCAGGCTCCTGAGTGAGCGCTCGGTTTATTTTTGTCTATAGAACTTTAGTTATTCTTTGCCTAGAGTCCTACAGTTTTGGTTTTCCCAATAAAAGGATTTTTATTTTAAATGACCTCTCCAGCCTTGTTGTTTCTGCATTTTGGGTCCAATCCTCCTGTGCCTGCAGCGTGACATGCCCTGCTTAAGCCACAGTTAATGAAATATGAGGGCAAATATATTTTTGCAGAAACATCTGCTTTTAAAATGCACTTAATTTGTGTTCTCCAATCTGTGCATGTTTCCAGATTCCATTACATCCTTCAAACGAGTCCCCTGATGACTTTAATGATTAGCATTAACGACTTGGCTGTGAGTTTTCTGTACAGATGTTGTAGCAGTTTGTTCCCTGAATCTGCGGACACCTCATGATTAAATATGTTTACATTCACTGAAGAAGTGACTATGCCTCCTCACTCTTACATTTTTTGTTACATTATATATTTTATAAAATGGAAGATGCGCTTCAGATTAAAAGAAAAAAATTGTGCATGTTCCATTTTAATGGCCAAACCTAGGGTAGCCTACGTTCACAAGCAAGCGACTGCAGACAGAGTATTTCCCTCCATCTTACTGAGTACTAAGAGTTGACCATTTGAGTCCCTGCTCTAATTTTAAGTTCATTATCTTGTCTATAGAACCAAGTCATCATCCAAGTCTCTGATTGTCCTCAAACAAGGGTGTCAAACTCATTTTAGCTCAGGGGCCACATTGAGGGAAATCTAGTCCCAAGTGGGCCGGACCGGTAAATTAAAAAAAAAACTTCAGATTGTTTTCTTTGTTTTAATACAATCAATATAAAACAAGGCTGGAGCCTGAGGACAGTGTGTCCAAAATAGTTCAAGTACAACACCTGAAGTGTTCTTGAAAATTTGAAAAAAATAAAAAAATCAATAAATAAACATTCCTTAGTTATTGAAAGAGATTTCAGATCACATGGCTAGATCAGTTTCATGCAGCACTTAAAATATATTTGACTCATTTTACTTTACATCTTTTAGCTTTCACCAGCACATCAATATCAGAAGTCACATCCTGAGAGGCAGCCAACTTCAGGATGTGATTCAAGTTCTTGTGTGAGCCTTGAACGCAGCTTTGTTTTATTTTTACTCATTACAGAGAAAACTTGCTCACAAAGATACGTTTATTTTCACTCTACATTGTAAAGTATGAAAATAAAGTTTACACAACCATCTCGCAGGCTGGATTTAACCCGCGGGCCGCATATTTGACACCCCTGTCCTAAAATATTGAATGTCATTTTCTATTTTCTTAAATGTTCCTTAATATGTTGAAAGTTGGCATTCAAACGTCTTCTGTTAAAGGAAATAATGGAGGATTTATTATCTGCTTTTACAGTTTTGTTGATTTTTCCCTCAGAATAAGAAGTATAATTGAACAGCTGTGGCAATGAAAGGTCACTGGCATCTCCCATGATTGATTTTTAACGGTAGCTCAAATAACCACTTGTTACAACCAAGAACTGCAGAATACAAGATGGGCTGCATCAGCAGACCAGAACAGCTGCCAACAGGAAACAAATCACACAGGTTAGAAAACAAAGATACCAGGAAGAAAAATTAAATAAATTTTCCTGGTCTGATGAGTCTAGATTCAGTTGTTTGGGTCAGTATTTGCTGTCGTATAACAACTCAGGCAGCTGGAGATGTAATGGTGGTGTTGTGGGGGTGTTCTGGTCCCACTTTGGACCCCTCAGTCCCTGAGCCTGATGTAAACACCACAGCCTACCTGAGTATTGTTGCTGACCATGTCCATCCTTTATGACCACAGTGGACCCATCTTCTGATGGCTACTTGCAGTAGAATCATGCACCATGTCACACTTTTCACATTTTAACAACAACTTACTTAAATCTCTTCTTCCTTCTTTTTATGTGTACAATGACTTTTCAATTATCTTGCATTTGTTTTATAATTTTGTAGTTTGGTTTATGATCATTTTGTAATTTCATGACTTTAGCCTTTTAATTAAAACTGCTTCTAAATCTTTTGTTTTCTGATTTTAATTATCTTTCATCTTTATTTTGATCACCTTATGACTGATTTTTACTCGTTGTGAAGCAGTTCATATATTTCTTTGTGATAAGTGCTAAAAAATATACGCCCCTTACTTATAAAGCTCGGATCATCTCTAACTGGTTTCTAGAACACGATCATCTCACTGGACTCCTGAAATCTCCAGTCACCAGATCCTATTCCAGTCCAGAACCTTTGGGATGTGGTGGAACCATCGACATATAAATACTGGACAATTCATTTCCATAGACTCCAATAACACGTTTTTGAGGCCAAATGGGAGGTGGCCACCACCGCCATTTTGACCGTGTCATAGGTTCCGTCAAGCCCAGACAATTCCACAAAAGGGAAGAGAGGTGGAGCTGAGGGTGGGGCTGTAAGGCTGGTATCAACTGACGACACCCGGTCGAACTAGCTACAAGCTAACCTGAAGCTAACCCAAAGCTAATGCGGAGGTGGGAGCTAAGCTAACGGAGGTAGCAACCTAGCTACAACCGGAGATAACTGTGCACAACACCAGAGCTTCTGAGTCAGAGATATGCCGGGCTGACCGCTGGGTAAAACCGGGTGGAACACAGAGGTCTCCCGAGAGCTCCACAAGCTGGCAGCCGCACAGCAGACAAGCGCTGCTGCAATCTGAGATGTGCAGAGCTGCCGCTGGGGAGAACCGGGTGGAAAGGTTTCCATCCCAGAGCTCCACAAGCCGTCAGCCCGCCGCAGCAGACAGAAGCCGCGATCAGACAGAGATGCGCCGAGCTGCGGGGAGGCGAGAACGGGTGGAAAACATCGGTCTCCCGAGAGCTCCACAAGCCGAGAGTCGGAACCCAGCTCCACCAACATGTTATATTTCAACCCATTTTCTAAAGTGCAGCATTATGTTAAATCCACTGGGTTTTACCCTATTACATTTAAATTTCATGGTTAAACAGTACATGTTCAAATCTAAGCTCAGCTCGGCAGTGACCTAAAATACATAAATATAATTTTACTTACCGAAAAAAATGAAGTGGAGACTCCTTGGACCCTCTATTAGTGCAAGAACAGTTTCCAAGCCAGACCGAGGCCCTACTGAGGCCTTTCCACGGAGCTAGCTCTGTGGTCACGTGGGTCGGATGCTCATTAATTATACAGAATTTTAGGCTTTTAATACACTTAAACAGAAGAGTGAGGAAAAAAATCACCCCCCTCAGAGTTGTCATGAGTGTAAACTAGATCTCTTAAATCTAAAACATGTTTTGGAACCAGGCTGTAAACATGTTTATTTCTGCTGTAAAACTGGTATTTTTAACATGGGAGTCAATGAGGATTTGCTCGCTTCTGACACCAGCCCCCAGCGGATGAGGGTGGAACTGCAATTTTTGGTACTTCCGGGTTGGCCTCAATTTTTGAGCCGCATGGTGGGGGCTTGGGTGGAACAGGAGATTCACACCATGGATGTGATACGATTAGAACAAAATCAATCCTTTTTTAATCAATCCCACAGAATTAAGGCAGTTCTGATTTGTTAGAAGGGCCTGCACATGATAAACTAACATTTTAGCTTATTTACACCACAAGTAGTTCTGAAAATGTGAAATGCATTGAAGTACATCAGCAAAACGGGTACCTGGTAGAAACATAAAAGAACAAAAGACTTTATAAAAAACAACCCGGTGGTAGATCTCTTTAAAAGCAGTAAAAAATAAAACCCTGTGACTGTTAAAATGAGAAACAGGAATTTTGGTAAATAAGTAGTAAACAAACATATTTATTGTGATATCAATACATTCTTATATACACAATAAAAATGCAGTCATAGTAGCATGACATTTTTAAAAATTAAAACTCATTTCATCGTTCAGACAAACTGCAAGTCTTTCCTCTTGATTGCTTGAGCAAATTTGGATTTTCTTTGTGGGAAATTAAAGGATTACTTGTTTGCTGCTAATAAATCATTTCACATGTGAATAAATAAAGTCACAGATTTGTAATACATTACTGAAAAACTCCAAACTCTATGCACAACACCTGATAAAGCCCGTATGCTTATTATGTACACTACAGATTTTGAGTGAAATGTCTGGTTGTGATTGGCAGTAATAAGCAGCAAATAGTTAAAACACAAAATATTTGTTGCACAGTTGTAAAAAAACAAAACAAAACAAAACCAAAAAAAAATACGAATTCAAGTAAAACAGGATTATGTTCAAATTAAAATCCCATTGCTTCTGGCTAGAGTTAACCCTAACCCTAGCTAACAAAAGAAAACATCCCTCAGACTTAGGTTATTTACTTCTGGAAAACAAACTCAATACACAAGTCAGTGTGTGTTTATGAAAAAATATACAAGTACAGTAACCTATGCAAGACAAGACTGCCATTTGCAATTTATTATTCTATGACTTTAGGACTAAATTATACAGCCCTTAACTAGGATAATATCTCTGAATCACACACACTAAATGAATATTATTGTTCTCACACTACTGAAATTTGGCAACAGCAGGCGGGCCTGAAGAACGCCGCTCAAAAGTGCAAACCATGCCAATCAAAGCAAGTGATTAGGTTAAATGATTGTTTCATTAGTCCATCTCGGAAAGCTAACACAACGTTTATGAATCAGCATTTGATTTGGAACCAAGCTCTTTCATTCTCAACATCTTTATTGCTCTATAGATGAAGTAATCTGTACAGAAAGTAGCGTTCGGCTTAAGGTAAAGACGAGAATACACGGTTTAATCTACTATCTGTGTGATATACCTCAATGCTCATGCATCGTTTGTGATGAGTGCTCGTTGTGCAGCCCGCGTTGAGACCTTCCTCTCAGTCATCTTCTACGTGGCGCAGTCTGGAGATGTACCTGATTGCTTCCTTCGTATCCAGACCTCATCTCGCTTTGCTTCGGTGTGATCCTCAGACCTCACCTTACGCAAGTGGGATGTCTTCACTTTATGCCTGACTTTTAGCGGCTCAAAGCTTTTACGTTCCTCTGTTTTTGCACCGTCTAAAGACAAACCCATCATCGGGCTCTCCAAATTAGCCTCATCAGATGGAGATGTAGGGGTCTGGCAAAACTCATCATCTTCATCACTAAGGATGTCTGTCTCTTTGACTTCTTCCTGGTCTTCGTACTCCTCCAAGTCGAACTGCTCCTCCACCCAGCGGTCTGTGTCGCCTGTTAATTCGGACTGCTGCTGCTGATCATGCTGCAGCTGTTTTGAGTCGGACTCCTGCGGCGATGCAAGGTCCTGGTGTTCTGTGTCTCCATCAAAAACAATGTCCGTGTCTATGGTAAAACGGTTGCGCACCAGCTTTCTTCTGCCCAGCGTCCTGGTCGGGGCAGATGCTGCAACGAAACACCAGAATGTCTTTAACAAATCTAGTTGAATACATTTGAAGTTTAAAAATATTTGATCAAGTTTCTCATTTTAGGGATTAAACACTTAAAATTTTAGGTGTACGAAAATAGAACAAGACGAAGTTAATTCTGACTGTCAGTGCTGAGTTTGGTTCTAACACTTATGAATAAGCTTAGCAAGCCATCCTACAGTATATATGTAAATAGTCTGGTCTCAAGACACTGAAACCCCTCACTCATGGGGCGGACTCTAAAGTTATCTTTCAAATTGTCTCCACATGCATTTGGACAGTGATAGGACCAATCAAAGCAATGAACAATGTCATGAATTCATCACTATGGATAGTCAATGGGGCAGGCCACCAAACACTGTCGAAGGAGAAAATACGTCCTATTTTGAAATAAAAGACTTAAGTACCTCTATTTGTTCATGTCTCAAAGAAAAGCCAAGTCTAAATCATTCAAAGTTAATGCCAAAGGCTTTACAAATGAGCGTCGTTCCTGAGCTTATGCCTTTTTTGTAGGTTTTCTCTGTCACAGCTCTAGCATTAGGCCCACTGTGCTGTGATTGGCAAGACAAAACTGTTCAGGTAAACGGTGGACCTGTTGAGGCTAGACCGTCCCTCAGAGAAAAATATGTCGCTACTGCTACGATTGGGCTAGATTTCTAGGCTACGTATGAATAGCGATTTAAGAAATTATCAACACACACTAAATATCACAATATTTCCTGTTATGATATTGAATCGATATTGAGAAGCAGAGTATTGAATTTTTTTGGTGAGAAGTTTTATGCAAACATGTATTCCGTTTTTGTGTTTCTTCATTCGTTCATTCATTTTCCTCTGGTTATCCGGGTAGGGCAGGGTAGCATCTTAAGAAGGGTATCCCAGACAGCCCTATAGGCCACCTCCTCCAGCTCCTCTGGCAGGAACCCAAGGTGTTTCCAGGCCAGATTGGAGATGTACTTGCTCCAACGTGTCCTGGGTCGAGCCGGGAGCCTCCTGCCAGCAGGACATGCCTGAAACACCACACCAGGAAGGCATCCAGGTGGCCTCCTCAAAAGTTGCCCACACCACCTCAGCTAGTTCCTCTTGATGAGGAAGAGCAGCGGCTCTACTCTGAGTCCCCCCCAAAATTTCCAAGCACCTCACCCTATCTCTACGGCTGAGCCCGGCCACCCTCCGGAGTAGGGCTGCAACAAACGATTATTTGGATAATCGATTAATCGGATGGGGTCTCGACACGATTAATCGATTAATCGGATTACATGGGGAAATTTTTAAAAACTGCTAGGGAAACATTATTTCTCTCCTTCCTTCACTTTATTTAACACAACATTATTAGAAAACAGTTCAATAGCAGAAAAACAACATGCCATCACTTAAATTGTCTTATAAGGTGTATAGACAGAGACCCTAAGCTACATCTATCTGTGACCTAAAATGCTTGGTCCAAGTTAAACAGCTTAAGGGCAATTCTCATCTGTTTTGTTTGATCTCATCTGTTGACATTTATTTTAAATGTAATTAAACATAGGCTGTGAATTAATCAAAATTGATCACTATTTCCAAAAATGACTGAAAAAATACCAAATAAAACAAAAGTAAATGAATGCCATCCTCCTTGCGATGATGCCCTGGGCAACTGCCATAAAGTCACATCAAGAAATGCTGCTGATCATTCCAATGATCCCAAATAGACTCACATTAGGCCACATGAAAGCAACTGAACCCAAAAATATATTAACCAGTATATAACTGCACTCTCACACAACACGCCTGCAGCAACAGTTAGGACTCCTCCCTCCCTTTTAAAAGCGTTTTTGCTTCTGAGGACATTGTGGTTGTAAAACCACATGCTAGTAGTCTGGCTCCGGTGTGATCAACCAGTTTCTGCGGGAATGTGACGGCGGAACCAGGGCCAGATTAACACTTTGTTGTACCCTGGGCAACAATATTCAAGGGCTCCATCATCGCGACCCAAGGATCACCATAATGTGGTCACATACAGAATATTTTACTGTAATATGCAGTAAATATACTCAATACTTGAATGCCTGACAACACGTAACCCGCCCAGAGTAACCTTTGACCCACCTCGTGTGGACTGACCAATGAGGAGAGGGTCTTAACTTGAGGCCCTCTCTTCATTGGTCAGTCTGCATGAGACTGACTCTCAACTGACGTTCAGTCGTAGGCAGCGAAGCGTCTCTGTGCAGCGCAAAAGCCCGGGTGGACAGTTTGTTTAATGTAGGGTGATCATATCTCCATTTCCAAACTAGAGGACAGGGGATCTGTGCCTATGACATCACACTATGGCAACACCAAACAAACCATGTTGGGACCCATTTTTTGTAAGAACTAAATTAATATCAGATTCTGCCAATAAAAGGGCTCTAAAACAATTCATATGTAAATATTTTGCATATTTAATGCAAAATCTAATTTTTCTGCTTTAGTGCTGCAACAAGGTTTTATTAATAATAAATTATTATACCTTTTGTTTTACTACAGCATCGGTAAGCTTCCTGTGCACAGATTATTAAGGATGCTTGTTTCAGCTGTGAGATTAGACGATAGGATCAATGAAAAAATAAGTTGTCACACACTCCATGGAAACTTTCAGAGAATCCACAAATAGTGGCTTTCAAATGGTTTTGTTACTTTTAGCAAGTTTAGAAAAGAAGCAGATGAGACAGCATGTCTGATAATTTAGTTTTTCATCTGATAATATTAGAACATGTCAGTAATGTCTGAGGGGCTTTTATAAACACCATACAGGTGCTGGCCAGTAAATTAGAATATCATCAAAAGGTTGAAAATATTTCAGTAATTCCATTCAAAACGTGAAACTTGTACATTATATTCATGCAATGCACACAGACCAATGTATTTCCAATGTTCATTACATTTAAATTTGATATTCATAAGTGACAACTAATGAAAACTCCAAATTTGGTATCTCAAAAAATTAGAATATTCTGAAAAGGCTGAATATAGAAGACACCTGCTGCCACTCTAATCAGCTGATTTACTCAAAACACCTGCAAAGGCCTTTAAAAGGTCCCTCAGTCTTGTTTTGAAGGCACCACAATCATGGGGAAGACTTCTGACTTAACAGCTGTCCAAAAGACAATCATTGACACCTTGCACAAGGAGGGCAAGACACAAAAGGTGATTGCTAAAGAAGCTGGCTGTTCGCAGAGCTCTGTGTCCAAGCACATTAACAGACAGGCGAAGGGACGGAAAAAATGTGGTAGAAAAAAGTGTACAAGCTCTAGGGATAACCGCACCCTGCAGAGAATTGTGACGACAAACCCATTCAAAAATGTGGGGGAGATCCACAAAGAGTGGACTGCAGCTGGAGTCAGCGCTTCAAGAACCACCACGAGGAGACTCATGAAAGACATGGGATTCAGGTGTCGCATTCCGTGTGTCAAGCCACTCTTGAACATGAAACAGCGCAAGAAGCGTCTCGCCTGGGCCAAGGACAAAAAGGACTGGACTGATGCTGAGTGGTCCAAAGTTATGTTTTCTGATGAAAGCAAGTTCTGCATTTCCTTTGGAAATCAAGGACCCAGAGTCTGGAGGAAGAGCGGAGAAGCACAGAATCCACGTTGCATGAGGTCCAGTGTAAAGTTTCCACCGTCAGTGATGGTGTGGGGTGCCATGTCATCTGCCGGTGTTGGCCCACTCTGTTTCCTGAGGTCCAGGGTCAATGCAGCCGTCTACCAGGAAGTTTTAGAGCACTTCATGCTTCCTGCTGCTGACCAACTTTATGGGGATGCAGACTTCACCTTTCAACAGGACTTGGCACCTGCACACAGTGCCAAAACCACCAGCACCTGGTTCAAGGACCATGGTATCCCTGTCCTTGATTGGCCAGCAAACTCGCCTGACCTTAACCCCATAGAAAATCTATGGGGTATTGTGAAGCGGAGGATGCAATACGCTAGACCCAACAATGCAGAGGAGCTGAAGACGACTATCAGAGCAACCTGGGCTCTCATAACACCTGAGCAGTGCCACAGACTGATCGAGTCCATGCCACGCCGCATTACTGCAGTTATTGAGGCAAAAGGAGCCCCGACTAAGTATTGAGTGCTATACATGCACATTCTTTTCATGTTCATTCTTTTCAGTTGGCCAACATTAGAGAAACAAACATTTTTTCATTGGCCTTTAGAATATTCTAATTTTCTGAGATACCAGATTTGATGTTTTCATTGGTTGTCACCTATAAATATCAAAATTAAACGTAATAAACATCGGAAATACATTGGTCTGTGTGCATTGCATGAATATAATGTACAAGTTTCACGTTTTGAATGGAATTACTGAAATATTTTCAACCTTTTGATGATATTCTAATTTACTGGCCAGCACCTGTATAACTAACACTCCTGGAGAGGGTATGAATTACACAGAGGCTTCTGGGGAGCCCAGTTAGGGGGGGGGGGGGGGGGGGGGGCATTTTGCCTTGGCCCCCAAAATGTCTTGAAACGGCCCTGGGTGTGTGACTGAGTTTTGAAGGTGATCTGAATTGTATCAGATGTATAATTATTACATGTGTATAACTTATTGTTTTTTACTGGTAAAAACGTGTAGTGGAGATAAATCTACCTACATTTGACTTTTCAACACTTTGTTTTGTTTTCTTGTTTTTATTTAACTATTTTCCTGTCCTGTCTGTCTCTCATCTTCCTGCATCTCCTCTTAATTCTCCAGAAAATCTGTTGCCTGGATTCTTACCTTTTCACCTCATCAGTTACTTTTGAGCAGATCAATGGGATCTCCTGACCGAAAAGCGCAGAGCGCGTTTTCGATGCTGCATGAGGTGACATCACCACAGCACAGGTGATGAGCTCCGCAGTAGAGCGCTTCAGGCACAAATAAGACAGAAAATAGAGAACATGTGCGGACATGAACGATCGTGTGCTAATTATAGTTTTTTGGTTGCGCCACTTTGAGAATGGACCGTGCGCTGGAAGCAGCTGCCTGGATCGCTGCGCAACAATGCGGAACCGGTTCGCAGCAGCGCAAGTCTGCCGGCTCTCCCTCGCGCTGATCTGCCGGCTCTCCCTCGCGCTGATCTGCCGGCTCTCCCTTGCGCTGATCTGCGGCTCTCCCTCGCACTGATCTGCGGCTCTCCCTCGCACTGATCTGCCGGCTCTCCCTTGCGCTGATCTGCCGGCTCTCCCTCGCGCTGATCTGCCAGCTCTCCCTTGCGCTGATCTGCCGGCTCTCCCTCGCGCTGATCTGCCGGCTCTCCCTCGCGCTGATCTGCGGCTCTCCCTCGCACTGATCTGCGGCTCTCCCTCGCGCTGATCTGCCGGCTCTCCCTCGCGCTGATCTGACTTGCTCTGGTCTGCGCGCAACGGCGGGCGGGAAGGGGGGGGGGGGGGGGCGCTTTTGGAAGAGTTGTGCGACACAACGAATCGATGACGCAATTCGTTGCCAACGCTTTTAGTAATCGATTTTCATCGAATTTATCGATTCGTTGTTGCAGCCCTACTCCGGAGGAAACCTATTTCGGCCACTTGTATCTGCGATCTTGTTCTTTCGGTCATTACCCAAAGCTCATGACCATTGGTGAGGGTTGGGATGTAGATCGACCAGTAAATCGAGAGCCTCGCCTTCTGAGCTCAGCTCCTTTTTTACCACGACAGACCGGTTCAGCGTCCACATCACTGCAGGTGCCACCCCAATCCGCCTGTCGATCTCCCGCTCCCCTTTCCCCTCCTTCGTGAACAAGACCTCTAGATACTTAAACTCCTTGTTTTTGTGGTGAAATTCAACCTCCAACTGCTAGGTGGCAGCAGCTTTTACAGTCTTTATTCTGACAGAGCAAGGAGCTCTCTCAGTAATAGTGGAATGGAAGCGTTTGACCTGAGTTTTCCAATTACTTTCAGTATCAAAAATTGCAAAGATGGCCTGACTTGGAGTATCACAATATATCATATTGTCTCCCCTGAGCAGCTGTTGGTGATTTCTACAATTGTATAGTGATATACATCTTATCGCCAAATTCTTGCCAATACACACCCCTACATTTGAAACCAACAAAAGATTCTTTTGAAAAAATGTCTTCCCTTGACTCATTCACTGCCAGCCGTTTCCTGATCGCTAAAGGCCTTCGCTGCCAGCGTTTCTCGCCGTTTTTACTGTTATTTTAAGAGTCACAGAACATTGCGCGCTAGGATGATGTCGACGCCAAAACAACCAAAACAAAGCAGAGACTCACCTCTTACATCAGGAAGAATCTGCGTGTTTTGAGCGTTATCCGTTCTTTCATAATCCGTTGTCAAATTGTGATCGGCAGACGCTTTTCCGGTTCGCGCCTCACTTTTGTTTACTGGAACGGCCAAAAACGATCTAACAGATGGATTTTCTGCTTCCTGATCATGTGACGTATGCGGATGATCGGCTTCAGAGCTGAGATGTTTGTTCTCTCGGCGCAGGGGCTCGTTCCGATGCTCAAACAGTAAAAAAAATGCAAATGACGACTTTAGTCATTTGCAGTTGACTTTAGTCGTCACTGGCAGTGAATGAGCTAAAAGTAATTTTGTTTAGAACCGTGAACTTAAAACGTGGATCAATCAAAGATTGCATGTGTGAACTGGGACACAGGAAGCTGGAGGGTGAACGTAGCCACAGACTGGCATTTACCAGCTCTATTTATGACCGGACGGGCTCCCTTCAGGGCACTCAGCCGCTTTCCTCCAAATGGCACATACTGTTGGTTGAGGGGTAAACTCTCAGTTTTTAGGAGCTGCCGGCGATGCTTCTCCCTCAAAATGGAATGGACCGTCTTCAGAAAGTCTTTTCTGCTCTCTGGAGAGCTGAGGGAGATAGAAGGGCATGCAATCAGTTTGGCACTCTGTTGACAGAAGCAGGCATGACTGTATCAGCTTTCATCTGCAATGGAAATCAACACCCGCTGCGAGAAATCCTCACCTGCAGCAGAGGTGAAACGTCCTCTCTGGCCTTCCCTCAGACTCTGATTTTGTGTGAACAATCTCACACATGGCTGAACTCTCGCCTTCTGCAGAACGCAAGCATTGCATCAGAGACTCAAGTATTTAATTAAGCATCTATACGGATTACATAACCTACCTGCATTTGCTAAAGGTCTGACTTGAAGGGCTTCTGTTGGGATCATGTGACGGAACCGGAAGGGATCCCTCTCCTCTGAAGATATAGAGGCACGATGAGAGCCTCCCTGAAGTGAGTTGAAAATATTTGAACTTGATTTTAAAAGCAGGTCAGGCTTTATTTTGTTACTTGTAAATGTACAAATATTGAAACGTGAGCTATCACGTAGCACTGAGGGCATCTTACTTGTGTAAGAACCTACCATTTTCTTCTTCTGCTTGAACTCTTCTTTGCAAACAAACACCACAGCGGTTTTGAACACTAAAGAGCATTTGAGTGCAGGGCAAAGGACACATCAGTTAGTCACTTTAGATGACTCATCAAAACAACACTGGTGTTTGTAACTCTAATAAATACTCATGTTATAGGATAATTCAATTACTGCAGACTAAATTCTGCTTTTTGTATAGTGCAATAAGCATGAAACATATACAACAGGATCATTATTACATAAAGCATTCATGAAAGCTAGACATATTTATTATGCATGTTTGTAAAGTCATCCAACCAAAAACTAAAATTAAAACCTGTTCATTCCCTTTGAAAATTTACTTTACGTTTTAGGGTATCTGCAGGATTAAAGAAGACAGATTTAAGACTTTTTAGGACCTTCTTAAGGCCACTTTGAATAGATCTTACATTCATAAATGAAAAAAGGATGCAACCACCTTACAAATAGTTGTGTCTAAATCTTATTTTTTTTTAACTGAAAGTGCTAAAAAATTGAACATCCAGATAGCTAAGTGCCCTGTAGAGGATGACAGGGCCATCTGACCCCTCAACAAAAATAATGTCCACCAAACTCCCTCATGGCTCACGCAGGCGGCTGCTGGCTAAAGCTGCTAATGTGAAAATAGCCACGCCCTAGTCTCAAGTTGCAAAAATGCAAAACACCAATTAGAAATCATTGACATTCTTCCTAGAGATGTTCAGATAACATTAAGCAGTTTTGTTTATTAGGTCTGTGGAATTTTCAAGAACTTTGGACTCTGGATCTAAGGATTTCTTGTCATTTTTAAAGGTTTTAGGGCCTTAATTCTGGAAAACAAATGGCAATTTGTAACAGTGACATCCTGTGGTCAAATTAGGTAACTGCAGTCCATTTTCCTAAGCAATAAACTCAATCTCATGCCCATTGCTAGTTACAGATCAAAGGCAGAAGATGCTAGTCAAGTCAAACTATTTAATTTAATTTCACTGTAATATGGAGTTGTTAGTAATGGAAAAATTAGATTGAGATATTTTTAAAGCTGACTGTTTTAACTGACTGTGAGAGTTGGACTCCGCCAAGGCTGCCCTTTGTCACCGGTTCTGTTCATAACCTTTATGGACAGGATTTCTAGGTGCAGCCAAGTTGTGGAGGGCATCCGTTTTGCTGGCCCGAGGATCGTGTCTATGCTTTTTGCAGATGATGTGGTCCTGTTGGCTTCATCAGAACGTGATCTTCAGCTTTCGCTGGAGCGGTTCGCAGCCGAGTGTGAAGCAGCTGGGATGAGAATCAGCTCCTCTAAATCTGAGACCATGGTCTTGATTTGGAAAAGGGTAGAATGCCTTCTCCGGGTCAGGGATGAGGTCCTGCCCCAAGTGAAGGAGTTTAAGTATCTCGGGGTCTTGTTCACGAGTGAGAGAAAACTGGAGCGTGAGATCGATAGGTGGATTGGTGCTGCATCTGCAGTGATGCGGGCATTGTACCAGTCTGTCGTGGTGAAGAGAGAGCTGAGTCAGAAGGCGAAGCTCTCGATTTACCGGTTGATCTACGTTCCTACCCTCACCTATGGTCACGAGCTTTGGGTAGTGACCGAAAAAATGAGATCGCGGATACAAGCGGCCGAAATGAGTTTTCTCCAAAGAGTGGCTGGGCTCTCCCTTAGAGATAGGGTGAGAAGCTCGGTCATTCGGGAGGGGCTCGAAGAAGACCCGCTGCTCCTCCACATCGAGAGGAGCCAGTTGAGGTGGCTCGGGCATCTGGTCAGGATGCCTCCTGGACGCCTCCCTGGTGAGGTTTTCCAGGCACGTCCAACCGGGAGGAGACCTAAAGGTAGACCCAGGACATGGTGGAGGGAGCTGGCCCAAGTGGCTGGGGAGAGGGAGGTCTGGGCCTCTCGCCTTAGGCTACTGCCCCTGCGACCCGACTCCGGATAAGCGGATGAAATTGATGGATGGATGTTTGCTTCTACATCACTGTTAGCATTGCTAGCTCAACATTAGCCTCTAGCCTTCTTCACTTGGTATTAGAGTAAAACAAAAAGATGCCGTGGCTCCTTAGGGGTACAAGAAATAACTTCTGGGTCGCTCCTGTTTACTGGCTTTGGTTCTTTAAACAACTCTAAAGCTCTTTGCCTACTGGTGTCAAATTACAAATGCCCACACTGTAGTGTCGGCTCCCTGGAGAAACTGCAACCTGACAAACTCACTGATTGTAAACAGTAACTATGTCCCTCTTTGTGTGTTTTTATTTTTTATTTTAAGGGGAAAAACTGACAACCTCCCAGACAGGTGAGAATAAAATCTGTTTCAGTAGATCCTTCCTTTCAATATGATTGAGAAATTAGTCTGTGTTGTGATTATGTCACTGAAGAATTCTTACATATTGCACCTTTAAGGCTTTTTAGGAATCGACAGATACCCAGTTTAAATAAAAATTGAGCTCCAAAAGTTACAATAAAACAAAATTAAATTGTTGCAACAAACAGATGCCGAATTGTGCTGACACTTGTCAACGTGGTGTAAGCATAATAACGGCTCATTAGGATCAGTCATCTTGTCTAACGTACCAAATGTGGCCATCTGTGGTTCTTTCTTCCATTTTCCTAAGGAAGCAGGTGGGTTGATCCAGGTTACTGTGTTGTGAAGAAGCAGATCACCCATCGACAGATCAGCAACCTGCCAATTGGATCAAAACAGGAACTGTTACTCAACAGTCATTGCCAGAACACGTAAGCCACCTTTTTCCACTCCTACCTCTTTCTTTTCACTGCTCTGCTCGGTGATGAGCTGATCAAACACGGCTCCAAACTCCTCGTGGATCTTCTGCATCTCATTGATGTGGCTGGCAACCTTGTTCATGGCTTTGATGGCAACTTCAGTAGGAGAAAAAAAGGAAAGGTGGTTTGAGCTGAACTGAATGTACATTTATTGACACAGTAATGCGAAGCCGTCTCACCATCCAAATGGTAGTGCTCCTCACTGTCTGGATCTGTGAGAGAGTAGAGCTCCCTCAGCAGGAGGGGGTACTTCAGCACCCTCTGTATGGGTTTTATTAAATAGGACTCAAGGGTGGAGGAGTGTTGCTGTTTGGGGTTCCGCTCATCAAGGAAGGTCTTGAAATTTGGGTCTGTTTTGGCTGAAATGATGAAAAAGAAACATCTATGGATCTCCGAGTACAGTAAAACTGGAAACTATGAATTTAACTTTGGCTTCTATTAAGAATGTTAAAGAATCTTATTTCTATCCACTGAAACCCTGCCAATAACCAGTGGACTCACACAATAGGAACGCAGCAAACAAAGACAAGCAGTGTGGGTGTCCTAGCTGCAGGACTAATTACATATCTTACAATCCTTCAGGGCTTTTAACCCTGAGAGCTTCCAGCTTGAAAGTATGCTGGGGTCAGGCTGACGTTCTGCAGTATCTTGGCAGATTTATACACTTTTTTCTTTCAGACAAGGTGGTATGTCAGCCTGGGTGAATAGTTACTCACCCTTTACGAGGACCTTTGGGACTTTGGTGTGGCTGGCGCAGAAAGCACTATAGATTTTAAAACGGTCCGCATAATACAGGAAAGAGCCTCCCAAAGAGAAGAGGATTTTCTGTAACAGATTTAAAAGAAAAATGTTAAGTCTTTCAAATGTTTGTTATTTAATGTCACTTAATTAAACGATGGGTCTGGATTGTAGTTTCCAGTCAAGTTGTTCCCTCAGGTCATCTCTATAAAACCTGTTCGCTGCAAATGGTTCAGGACCTTCAAAAAAGAGAATTACAGTTTTTGATGAACTATTTAAAGAAGGGGGCTAGGAAATCTGAACATAGTTCCATTTAATTCTCAAATTTCTGAGAATAACATGAAAATTCTGAGGAAAAAGTCAGAAATCTGAGATTAAAGTAAGGATTCTGACATTTTTTAAAGATTAAAGTCAGAAATCCTTTTTTCTTCTCTTCTGTAAAATATCTACAATTAAAGATTTGTTGTCATGTAAAGAAAACATTTGAATCTATTAAGAAATTGAAAAATAGAAAAAAAAAATTAATTTAATATCATTATTCCATAAAACACTTATGTATATATATAGCCATTTTTTATTATCATTTAGAGTTCTGTAACTTTCTAATATTGGGTTATTTGCTCTTTGTAAACCAATAAGAAAGAACTGTGGTCCTTTTTCCTATAAATACAGTGACTGGTATTGGACCAGCATGCACTGGGGTGGGCTTTTGGTCGTTTACCAGAGCAGAAGAAGCTACTGAATGTTGCAGACCCTCAGCATTAGACGTTTGTTTAACAAAGACAATGTGTACCTTAAACTGATCAACTGTCTCCAGCTTCTCCAGGTCCGGAACCAGCCTGGTTCCATCTTCCAGGGTCTTGAGAAACTCAACCTGAAATTCCACCATTTCTGGTAGATTCCCAAACAGCACATCCAGCTGGAACACGAACAAATCCCACAGTTACGGTATTCTATAATGCTTCCCCATCTTTGCCTCCAACCCTTGTAACCGTCTCAGGAAGTTTGATAATTGCATAGAGTCTTTTAACACTGCAAGTGCATGCAAAACATTTAACTCTGTAAACCTCCTCTTCCTTTTTGTTCTACATGGATACACTTCACATGATTATGTAACAAACCTTTTATCACAATATTTCACCAGCGCTGGCATTTAAAAAGCAAGATGCTTTTAAAAAGACTCACGGGTAACATTTCACATACCTCATCCTGAGTCAGGAAGGTCTCTTTCTGCAGCGGGGTTAAATATCGCCCAATGAGGCAGTTGAGATCCTGCAAGGCAAGTGTTAACTGTGTTTGAAACCCATTTATTTAGTGTAATTATGCAAGAGACTGACATGTTTTGTGCAACAATGATCAAATTGCAATAAATAAGCTGGTATATTACTGGGGTGATTGGGGGGTAAAAATAGTCCTTTCACAATAAAAGCATGCAAACAGAAACAGACCCACTGATTAAGGTTACCCAGAATGAACTACAAGAAGCTTTTAAGAATATCATTTCTAGTTTCAAACTAATTCCTGGCCATAAGAAGGAGTCCAAAAAGCCCAAATCATCAGTAATAAATAAAAACTGCATGACTATTGTCTGCAATTAGCCAGAATGTAGAAACAAGGACAGGATAAAATAAGCTGCAGCAGTCGTGTTTTTTAGTCCTTTCCGGTGCAAAATGATAAGTTCGACATCTGCAAACAAACAGTTAGATTGCACCCACCTGCCTGATTGTAATGTTAAAAAATCACTCAACTAAAGTAAAGCCATCCCTCTGATGCTTGAACAAAGTCCAATCAATCAGGCATAATGCAATTTCTATAATAAGTACATTTGTGCCCCCAGAAATGAGATATGGTGTTTTAGGCGGTTTTGACGTCATCCCGTTATACATCGTCTCTAACCCAGTTATTCCACTGAGCCATTTTTATACAGGACAGGAAAAGATTGGAAAATATCCAGACAAAGACACAGCTGTGTCTCCCTCCTCATATATCTGGAGACACAAAGATAAATGTGGACTGTTGTGTAAGGTAACCACGACGATTGATGGAGGGAACACATGCACTAACAAACATCTGCCTCATTCAACAACCACGACTGATACTGACTTTGACGTAGGTGCGTTCCGTCTCCACAAGTTCACAGATTACTTTGCGGAGCTTGTCGGCATCTGAGAGCTGTCGGGGAGTTGCGGTAGGTGGGAAGGGCGAGTCCGGGCTTGGCGAAGAGGACATGCACTCCAGAGGATTCATGTCATGGAGACTGCGACAAAAAGCAGCGACCTGCTCCGTACTCTGCAAGAAGAGACAAACCAGTGAGAAGTTAAAATTTAGTTCCCCAACCTGAAGTCACAGAGAAGAAAATGTCTACACAGCAACCGATCAGCACCTTAAGTAATACTGTGTAAGCGCCACCTTCTACCTACGGATGTGCACAGCAGACTCATGACTGTGCAGGGAGAGAGCCTGGATGGAGGCAGAGAGGCAGCTCTAAAAAAATCGTTTGGACTAATTCGGTCTATTTTCAGTCTATCATAACTACGACTTTCCGACCCCCCCCCCCCCCCCCCCCCACACACACACACACACACACTCTCTCTTTTGCTCCCATTCCCTGGTGCTTTCTTTCTCAGTGATGGATTAGTGGTGTAATGATTCAACTCCTTCACCGTATCAAAATATACTCACAACAGTGTGTCCACAATGAGTATGGGTTGCCATGGTGACTGGCCCTGATGTGCATTAGACTATTATTTTGGACAAAAATAGACCCCTCTCGACAAAAGCGTACATGGCTGAGCAAATGCTGTTACTTTGTTTGCAACAGGCTATGGTCCCACCGGTCAAAAAAACAGAAATAAAAAGAAAATGCCCCTTTGGCTTGTCACATCAACACAAACCACACAAAGAGCTAGGGTCACGTCTTGTCAAAACATAATTCTAGCTTAATGGAGACACATTATGCAGTAAATTAAGATGGAAAAAAGGTTAAGCGCTGATGTCAAATAACACAAAGCTAAGATGTTTCAGGCTCATATAATACAGATTCTACGTATTTTATCATAAGTCACTTTTCCAAGTTCAGGGAAATTTCTGGGAGAGGGGAATTTGACAGGGCCGTGACGGTTATGGCAGTGAGTGAGGTAATTGATCAGTGCCAAAAGATGGCACAGACATAAAGAATATATATTAAAAAAATCTGTATAAGTACGCCATAATTTATGCCATTCAGGGGATGAGAATAGTGTGACATAAAATGTAACGTTTTACATGGTGAGACCACAAAGTGGGATAAATTACAGCGTTGTAGAGGGATCACCAAATTTTTCTGAGTTGTGAGTTTAGAAACAGATTTTAAAGCAGTGTGAATGCTGCTCATTTCCTTTTCCTTCTATTCTGCTGCACCAGAAACTTTTCCATTTTTACAAATGCCGGTTATTTGGTGAAATCCACCATTTCATTTCCCACTGAGTTACAACCAATCAGCATGAGTTAATCACAAGTCTCACCCAGTTGCTCTTCCTGGGCCATTTTCAAGTATATAAGGCATGTTTCCACTAACAGAACTTCAGGGTAATTTGACCAGAACTTCACAGCATCTGTGTGTCTCCATAATCACTGGGCTGGCCGAAAGGACCAATTTCCAGGACCATTTTCAGGAACCAACGAAGTTCCTGAGCTGGAGTGGGCAGGCGCACAGTTAGGGTGGGGGATGGGGGGGATCTGTCCCCCCCAGATTCAGATCGACCCCGAGCCGTCCCCCCAACTAAGACCAGAAAGAAAACAAAATCGGAGGTTAAGCGCTTGAATCTCCTTTTCCCAATTACATTGAATGCAGCATGACGTAAACAAACACCGACTCCAGAGGCGCCAAAGTGGTTGCTGCTAGGATGCAGGATGAAGTGAAAAAGGCAAGCAACGATTACTGCGTATTTAAAAAAGACCAACAGTGTAAGTAGGCGGGACCGATCTGTCTGTTTATGCATGTTGGTTATGGTTTCTGCACATTGTTGTCAGTGTTGGGACTTACTCGTTATAAGTGCCAAAGCCTCATTGCTGACTTTAACAAGTCTCATCTGCAAATGATCCCTCATGAAGTTACTACTTTACATCATAAGATAGTAGAGATGTGGAACCTTCAGGCTGAGCAAAGTCTGGGAGTTTTTAGAGCTTGAAAAATTGCCTCCCGCCGAGAGGCTCCCAGTCGGGGTGTGATGGCCACATCCATGTCCACACAACGGTGAACGTTAGTACACTCTTGCACTTTTATGATTGCAGTTTGTATGTTTATATTTCTTGGGATTTATTGTTTAGATGGCTTAAATGCATTAGTTCTAATTGTAAGCGCGCACATTTAGTTAACTGCTGTATTTTATGCCTTTCATTTGTTCAATTTAAGTTGATTTGTTTTCTCTTACCGGTGCTGAGAGGTTCTCCACTTCCTGCTTCCTGAGATGGGACAGGCAAACAGGGTTGAAGGGGTTCTGTCAGCTAAATACAGGAGGAGCTGATGGGGCCAAACCAATAGCTCCATGAAGAGGGGACTGAAGGATTTCTTTAGTTTATTATTTTGTCATTTGTTAATTAATTTAAGTTTGAAGTTAAATAATTGGGTTTATGGGTTAGGATGTTTAGGGTTATTAACAATCTGACTGTACTGATTTGTGGTTTTAGTTTTAGTTAGTAAATGTTTGTCTAGTAATCCCTATTGTTCATATGGTCTGATCAGCCAGTGTGTGTATATATATACCCTTGTGTGTCTTTATTTGTTAGGTCGGTTATGGTTTCAGTCAGTCAGTATGTTAAGTTAGAAGTTTATTGAGTTTCAGTTTGTTTGTTTGACCTCTTTTATGAGCTCGAGCTGTTTTTGTGAGGATATTTGAAAACAAAAAGGAAATTAAAGAGCCTCTATTTATGGAAAATGGCTGCGTTCCTCCACTCATTTGGCTTGATCCCTCACACGGGGAGAGGAGGAGATGCGCGCAGCATGAAGAGCGCAAATATTAGATAAAACGTATAATTGCCGGCAGGTCTGGTCTTTGTTGACTGATCACTTTGTCTGGTAATGACTGACTCTGGGCGGGCGTGTGTGTGTGTGTGAACGTGTGTGCGTGCATGTGTTTGGGGGAGGGTACATTGGAACTTTGTCCCCCCCAGTTTGAAAATCCTATCTGCGGCCCTGGGAGTGGGTACTTGGAATGGGCAGGTACAGGTGCTGAGCGGAACTTGTGGTTAACTCATGCTGATTGGTTGTAACTGAAGCCTGATTTATACCTTCTCCATCAGCTCCGCAAGCAAGAGACACACTGACACATTGACAGAGACGTTTTGCTCTCGGACATCTCCGTCACCTAGGGAGTGTTGCAAAGCAGCTCACCGCCAAGACAACAGGGTGCGTAGTGCTTTTCTGTGGTATGATGCCACCATTACATTCATGTATCCGGACCACGAGATGTGTTTAAATATTTCAGAGACTTTAGAACACGGATGAATTTGTCCTTCATTCTCCTCTACCTCTTTATGCGGTCGCCACCTCTAAACCCATGTTTCCGGTCATTTCCGTCCATAAAAAAACGTTTGCTCCATATTTGTGTACTCCTTCAGTCACAGGTGAATAAACGTTAATATTTTCGTACTTTTTCCCACGATGTGTTCTTCAGTTTGTTCCGGGTCTGCCGCTAAATTTCTTTTTACTTTTTGACGGGACAACGACAGTGCTGTTGACAAATTTACCAGAAGCGGCGTCCTGACCAATCGCAATTTTGTGGTCTAAGGCCTATACCTCCAGCTTTCCTCTGGGAAATGATATAGTTTCCAAACAGCTACAGAGGATGGGGAGTCAAAGTCCTAATTAACACCCAAATTACTGTCGGTCTACATGTCTCTGGAAATCATCTCACGCATAAATAAACCTATTAACAAAAAAGCTTCATAATTAAGTTTCCCCATCAAGCTAAGAAGTAATAAATCAAAGTGAATGAAGAATGAACTATTTTTCTGGCCACCACAGCTCCTCTTCTTTTGCTTTGTAAATAACAATGATTAACAGCAGTGTTATCTAATCAAGCAGGCGTTCATATGTGAGGCACGACCAGCCATTTGTCCCTTTTGACAAATTTCTCAAAAGCAGCTCTCACATCAACCAGTAAGTGCTACAATGGCTGTAAATATATCACTGTAAATACATTTTACAGTACAAATGGGATTATAATTTCAGCCAAATCTGGAGTGCAAGCTGATGCAGTCGGCCCCCCTTAGTGTTTTATTTAAATAATCAAAATTACAGATTGGCTCTGCCTCAGTGATTCTGTTATTTCTGCAAAGCTTTTACAGATTTTGATGCAACCTTTACTTCAGGTGAATGAATGGCACTGTTGTGACCCTGACAATTATCTGTAAACTGTTCTGTTAGATCAAAACCCTTAAGCCTGATTCATGCTTCTCAGTCAGCTCCAAAAGGGAGAGACACACGCACGGACGGAGATGTTTTGCCCTCATACTTCTCCGTCTCCTGGGGGGTGTTGCAAAGCAATTCCCCACCAGGACAACAGAGGGCATAGCGCTGTTCTGTGGTATCCTGTCATGTATCCGGTCCAAGATAGTGTTTATTTTGTGTTTTTTTTTGTATATAAAAGACTTTTTAACACAGACAAATTTGTCTCTCATTCTCCTCCACCTCTTCATGTGCTCACCACCTCTAAACCCACGTTTCCTGTCATTTCTGTCCACAAATAAAACGCTTGCTGCGAAATCTTTTCACTTCCCCAGTCACGGGGAATTAAACGTTCATGTTTTTAGAGGTTTTTCGCGAGGTATTCTTCAAGCTGCTCCGTGTCTGCCACTAGTTATCCTCAGCTCTCTTTATGTTTTTGAGGGCGCAACGGTGGTGGTGTAGACTACAGCGGCGTCCTGACCAATCACAAGCTTGCGTTCCATCTCGACGGACGGATGTTTAGAAAAGAGAACTCTCCAGCAGGCCCGCAAGGGCGGATAATGGTGTTGCGTGTCTCCGCACTGACTCAGACGGAGAAGCATGAATCAGGCTTTAGACTCACCCACAGCAATGTGGTTTATCAGAGGGTAATACCATCCTCTGGTATTTGGATTTGAAAGCCACCTGTCTGCATGCGGGCTTTGCTAAATGTTTGATTAATCAAAACGTTAAGGGCATAAGACAAACAGTTATGCAAAGTCTTCACTCAGGATACCTTAAAGGTCTACTTTATTCATATTTTTAATACATTTGCAGTGGTCTCTAGTGGGAATGAATGCCTTTTAAGTTGTTCTCCGGGGGGAAAAAGCCCCGGTGCGCCTGTTTGAGGATGTAGAAGTCATACTGGAGGAGAACGTGGCAGAACACGACAGGATTTGGGGTCTTATTTCCTGATATTTGGACGTCTTTTCTTTGATTGGCTAACAGCAATGTGACTCTACCACTGACTTTGCTTGCTTTGCAATGTTCACAAGCCTGGGGGAGTTCTGCTGTATGGTGGCGTTGCTAATGCTAATGGTGAGCTTCTACGAGTCGAGATGTTCTCTGCTGTTTCCTGGACGCTAAACCAACAACAGCCTTCCCCGTCACGGGTCAAGATGGTGAGTTCATCGGTGCGGAGTAACAATGTGATGTAGATCTGTCAGGATTTTCAAATTCTGGAGTTTCACCATCTACTTTCTATCAGAAGCTAATGCAGGAGATAGGAGTAGGAGACTATTTTTAGGTTGAGCTTGCATGAAAACCTCAGAGCGACAGATTATAATCAGAAATAATAATTAAAACTTTTTATTTCAGTGAAGTTCTGAATCTGACTTTTTAGTATAAAAAATGCAAAAATTATCTTAAAAGGGTAATAATCCAAACATAAGAACGTTAGATGATATCACTCCACATAGACAGCCAACTGGAGAGATAAAATTCATCATTCTAGAAATGCAGTTTAGGGCCGCACAAAATCCCTTCGAGGGCCAAAAATGGCCCCATGGCCCACAATTTGGACACGGCCTGCTTTAGGCAGAGAGGTTCTGATTGGACAGTAAAGAGTGGCTGCCTCTTGTTTCTCTCTAAGTGGCTTAAAAGTTTAAACTGAATCAATCAAAATGTGTAGATAGGAAACACATTAATGTCCATCAGCTGAGAGCTCCAAGTAGGAGCTGGGGTTGCTGTAGTTTAAACGATGGTTTCAAATCGCTGCAATTTAGAAAGATGAAAAATTAAGCAGCCGAGTTGTTCAAACTTTTTCTGCAAATATGGGTTTTGAAGCTGTCGTTTTTTTTCTTTCATTTGAAAATCCAGACTCTCTGAGCCAGTTGGACATATTGCTGTCATTTGGAGGATTCTCACACAAAGTGTTTGCTGGCTTTGTGAGGATGAGTAAAGCAGTTTTCAAATATGCCAATTAAAAAAAAAAGTCCAGCAGATAAGAAATCAACACACTTCCTTTACTCCACCAACAACACTCAGCTGATACGGACATTTATGGCAGAGAGGATTATCTGATAGGCCAAAACAAACATTGACATGCAAACCACGACACTCAAAGCAATAACGCCCTACCGTTTACTCCAATCCAAGTGATCTTCTGCAATATCATCATTGCAAGTATTGGTACTACGACGGTGATAGATTGAGAACATAATGTGCAAACTTAAAGAGGAGACCATAACTCATCTGTAAGGATGGTTTTAGTCCGTAGAAGTAATAAAATCAGGTTATTATGGCTTCTCTGTTTGAATCTGATGGGTTTTGTCCGGCTGAGACTCTCACGTGTCCACAAACACTTTCCAGCTGACAATGTCACAACAATTAACAACGGATAGACACCCTGGCAAGCATGTGTGATCAATCTGGCTGTCATAACTCACAAGAGAGGCTAGTTTCAAACAGAAAAGACGTTTTCTCTTTTCTCTGCTAATGTCTTTACATAAACATAAATGCAGGTTTTCTCTCTAAACGCGTCAACATCCAGATCATTTATTTCAAAATCTCTCATCCTCGACACACTTGTCAGGCAAAAGTGAATCGTCATGGCAACATGACACGACTCTGACTTGATGCATTGCACCGGACCAGGTCAGTATCTCACATAAACAACTCCCCCCCACTCCCGTGTGGTAGGCCTGATTAAAAATAGTCGACCTGATAAGATATTGATGATCCTATTATTATATTGTATTGCGTTGATCTGAATGACAATGAAAACTAAAACAAAGATCAAGTCAAACTCCATCGATCCAAACATATTAACTAAAAAGGCAATTACTGCAAAGGAGACGAATTACTTTCATAACACATATTTATATATTTATTCCAGCATTCACCATAAATGTGGAGCACACAAACACAAACGCATTGCAGCTTATCAAGTTTTACCCACAGTCACAGTCTAGTCATGGTTTTCACACTTTTGCCTAATTAGCACTGTTGCAGCTCCGAGTGCACAAGCGGTCACGCCTCAGCAGAGCCACAAAATAAGACCAGAGAGGACACGAGTACAGCTTTTCGTATGAGATGATGTGAAGAACAGAGAAGTCTCTGTGGGTTAAATCGTGACATCCCAGTCGATTGTTGCCTCTAGTTCCCGAAAAACAGATTAGACACAATTAGAGCCATTAAAGCGCTGATGAAGTAGAGAAGATGACACGGCTGCCCTCGGAAACCGACAGGAGACTGATTTCAGAGCTCCCAAGCAGTCAATCACGGAGTGTGAAAGTCTGGTTGAGTCCGACTGATCTGGGGTCAGATCTGTAGAAAAGGAGCACCGTTTTATTCTATTCTAGTGATTACGGGGCAACTCTGCGACGCAACGATGACTCACAGCTTCCTGTTTTGACAGCCAACAAGGAGGGTGAAACTAATCTGAAGGCTTTTTCCTCCTGTATCTGCAGCAAAAGCAACAAAAGAGAAGAGGAGAGAGATCTCACCAGGTGCAGCATGTCATGGATGGAGTCAGCAGAGCGCTTTCTGTACTTGCTCCACTTCAGGACGGACATAGCCCAGTGCAGGCGGACACGGCGGTAAGTAAAGTACAGAGACTCCAGGTACTTCCCTAACACATCTCCCTAAGCTCTCTTCTCTTTCCTATTTTACAAAAGAAAGTGCCGCGGTGCTTGAGTGGAGCTGCTCAGCCTCCTCCTCCTCCGCCCACCAGCACTTGCAGCCCTCCCGCTCCCCCTCTTCTTTCGCCTTCACTCTGCTGTAGATCTGCCACTAATATCCTCCTGTTTCCTCTCTCTCTCTCCTCTCTAAACTCAGAGTGAGTGTGAAGATCTGTGCAACTCTGACAACACTGGAAATGAGGCTTAATATTCCTGGAACAGGGATGTCTCCTCCTCAAGGTTGCAGGGCAGCCAGATTGGCCGAGTAAGCAACGCAGCGATGGAATACAAAATTAAGTCTTCGGGGGGGGGGGGGGGGGGGGGGGGGCATCTTTGTAGGCAAATGTTAAAAATAAAACATGGAATAATAACTCAATAAAAGGTTCAGCTACTAACATCTGGTCACAAGCTTGAGAGGATATTTACAGGCAGGTTCTACAAATATTATGTCTAAATTAATTTATTTATTTATAATGATTTAACAACATAAACTAATAATTTACTTTATTCACACTTTATTGCTTAACCATACAACTGGCTTCTTTTTCACTATTTTAGAAAAGAACGGTTCTATCATAGTAGAAATAATAATAATAATAATAATAATAATAATAATAATAACGTTCCATGCATTCATCAGCGTTTGAATCATGTTCTTATGCTGCCCCTTCTGCAGTAGAACATCTCAATCTTTACCTTTGCCTTTTTATTTTTATTTTATTTTACATCTAATTTGCCACTCATTAAATTAAATGCAAACGTGTTCCTGTAATGAAAAATATTTCCAAAATATCTTTGTGAAAAACGTTATAATAGAAGATTAATTTAATTAAAAAAATGCATTATTTATAGTTTTAAACAATCAGTTTTTTTAGTGTCGGTAAAGAACACATAAATCAAATATAAAATTGGTTGCTTGTTTATTATTGTAGCTTAGTCTTTTACTCGGCTCAGACTCCTAACAAAGAAGCAACGGTGCGCTTAAAGCTGACATTGTGCAGACATGAAAGAAAGTTTTCTTTAAAAAAACGCATGCAAGAAAGTACTGCACTAGAAAAATACTTTAAATCTATCAATAACAACAAAAAAACTGCCATTTTTATGGTAATTATTATTACTTTGATATCCCTGGCTCCCCTTGTTAGTAAAATAGCTGTTTTGATTTCCTGCTGCAAAATCCACACACATATTTGGCTTTAATAGGAACAAAATACATGCTGAGAAAAAGCCAAGAGGCTGGTCTTAAATTAGTTTTATAACCACTTAAGCCTAATTTACACTTCTCTGTCTGCGTAGGCACGGACACACACAACGCCATTATCCGTCCTTGCAAGGGCTCATGCTGGAGAGCCCTCGCAAGGACGGACGGAGTTGAGCTCTCTTTTCTAAACATCCGTCTGTCGAGACGGAGAATGCAAGCTTGTGATTGGTCAGGATACTGTTGTCGTCTATGTCACGGTGAGAGCAGGAGGTTAGGACCCAAGATGCAGAATCCCCAGAACGACTGAAGGCAGGAGAGGTTTAAGAGAACACTTCCTTTATTTTAAAGGCAGATGCACCAAAGTCCAGAGGCACAAAAACAAACCCGACTTGATACCAAACTCGCTGAACGAACAAACAAACAGAAGCTCACTCATGAGCACGAACTAGGGTAACTAGAGGAGGACAGAACACGCTGAAAATTACAATGAACCAACGACACTGAAAGACACAGACAGGGTTATATACACAGAGGGAAACAATCAGGGAAACAGGTGACAGGTGTGAGTAGTGAGAGCTGGAGGGAAGGCAGGTGCATACAATAATCTAAATGGGGGAATGAAACAAGGAGGGCAGATGAACCTTAACCTATAAAACACGGATAACTAAACTTAGAGACTGAGGGCAAACATAAACAACTAATAACTAGAGGGATGAGGAGAACTAATATAAAAATCAAGTGGGGACTAAAGGTTGGTTTATGCTTGATGCGTCCGCGAGGTCCGCACGGCTCCGCGCGGAAAAGTTGCGTCATTTTAACAACCACCGCGCCTCCGCACGGCCCAAACTATCCACACCGCGCACCTAGGAAAATTTCTAACCACGCGGACGGTCAGACGCGGAAAAACATGGCGGACCGGCAAGCACTAGTATGGCAGAGGTTCGTAAATACAGACATTTGTATGATTCAGCTCTCAGAGATCACCGTGATCAACATGTTGTTAATAATTCTTGGAGAGAAATAGCTCGCACTGTCGGAAAAGACGAGGACGCTGTTAAAAAATGCCATGTTGTAAACAACAGTAATTTCTACTTCTACTATGGTGTAGTGTTGGATGTTGCCGTAGAGCTACATGCTGCCCCGTTCAGTTTGGGAGAATATTGGCTCACCGCAGAGACAAGCCGCATGAACCATAAACGCTGCAAGTTGTGAAGCGCGTTCCATCCGCGAGCCGCATCACCAAGCGGAAAGTAAATGCGTCAAGAATAAACCAAGCTTAACAGGAGTGATAGGAGACACATGAGGAGGACGCAGGACGCAGAACATGACAGTCTACAGCGCCGCCATAGGGAGCCTTAAGCTTGGTTCATGCTTGACGCATTCACTTTCCGCTTGGTGATGCAGCTCGCGGATGGAATGTAGGCTCCCTACTGCACCCTCAAAAACATAAATAGAGCCGAGGATATCTAGTGGCAGAGACGGAGAAGCTTGAAGTCTTGAATCCCTCGTGGAAAAAACTCTAAAAACATGAACGTTTTATTCTCCCATGACTGGAGTGAAAAGATGCGCAGCAAGCGTTTTATTTGTGGACGGAAATTATGGGAAATGTGGGTTTAGAGGTGGCGAGAGCACAAAGAGGTGGAGAAGGATGAGGGACAAAATTGTCCGTGTTAAAAAATCTCTTAAATACAAAGAAAAAAAAACACAATATAAACACACAATCTTGGACCGGATACATGACAGGATACACAGAACGGCGCTACGCCCTCTGTTGCCCTGGCAGGGATTTGCTTTGCAACACTTCCCAGTAGACGGAGAAGACAAATTGTCTCCATCCGTGCATGCGTCTCTCCCTCCTGGAGCTGTATAAATTAGGCTTTAGACCTAATGTCCTAATTCAGAGCTTTCACAAGATGGACAAGTTGTCATTTTAAAGTGAATCACAAGGAAAAGATCCAAGTCTTGTTTTAATTGTGTTTATTCTTAATTTACTTTAGAAAAACGTGTCATCTCATCAGAACTTGTAATTTTGTTGTTTTTTTGACAATCATAAACTCTCTGTTGTCTTTTAAAAGTTGATGTTTTGTGTTCATTTAGAGCCAGGAGCTCTTTAACATCTATTAACTGTGCATAATCAAGCAGTTAGAAAGCAAGCTTAATTAAAACATATCCATCTCCTACATGTTTGATGCTGAGGGAACGCTTTGCCTTGCCTGAGGACACCGCTGCTCAACTGTTCCGCAATTAGGCTGAATATTAATATTTAGGCTCTCTTGATAAATCTGATGATCCGTGCCGTCAAACGCAGAGAGCCCTAATTCAGATTTGCACTAAGAAGCAGCAGAAACATGTAAAGATCAAAACTGTCCTGCTTTCATAAAAAACATTAAATGAGCCATTAACAGGTGGCGACTCAAACTGTGCTGAAGCAAAATGCTCATGGGTGTTTTTCTTTTTCTCACAACAACACAAAGCAGAGAGAGATTCTGTGAAGGACAAGAAACAAGCACAGATGCAAGATGTGCTGGTGTGTGTGTGTGTGTGTGTGTGTGTGTGTGTGTGTGTGTGTGTGTGTGTGGCATACCTTTCTACACTCTTCAAACTCACTGAAGCTCTCAGAGTCATCATCCAGGCTGTCTCCCGAGCTCTCCAGCAACAGTCCCACGCCGTCATCCAGAATCTCTTCTGCATCAAAAAAAAAAAAAAAAAAAAAAGCCTCAGCTGGGAGCTTTACAGTTTTGTTTGATAATAATAAAACTTTTTCTTGCATTGTTGTTTTCCTAAAGGAAACATATTGTGTTAATTTTAAACAAGTCAATGTTCTAAAGTTTTTTGCACAAAACCCCACTCAGATAAAAATTTCAGCTGTTTTATTCTTGATATTTTCAGTACCTTCCAGAATGAACCATTTCAGGGTTTTGTCACTTTAAGAAACAAAGATGCTGCTGGCCACATTAGCGTCGGCTCGGAATTTGGTTTCACACACAGGTCAGATTTGCGTTTTCAGTTTCCGAGGTGACTTTTTTTTCAGACCTCTTCCCCAGCGGTCACACTGGGACCAAGGTGACACCACGGACTGATTGGCTGGCTGAAGTTACGCATATCGCCTCCGATCTGCGAGTAGAAAGAGCCAGCGTCGAGTTGCTAATACTAGTGAAGGTAGATGAGGCTTCGTTAAGCGTTTCGGCAAATTACCCAAACTGTATCGATTCTGTGTCAACACTGTGTCACTGTTTGTTTACTGACACCTACTGGATCATAAGCAACATTGCATGCAGACCTAATAGCGAGACTCTACTGACATCAAGGGTGTTTCTTAATGTCAAGGCGCCTTGCCTTGCGAGGCGATGTCTTGCAAGGCCAGGCGCCTTGCTTACGAGGACACTGTCCTTCCTTGGTGAAAGAAAACGGTTAAATGGAACAGACTTGCATCACATGACTGCAGCTTCCACGGCGGTCACGTGAAGTCACGTGACACGGAAAATAAGGTTATATTTTATATGTATTAGTGTCAATATAAATACTTAACGAGTCTTTTACTTTTTAAATTGTGTATATGTTTATTAAATGAAAAATATAAGCGAGTTATTACCCGCTAGCCACCGAAGCTGCAACTACTAAGCAACTAACCAACCATAGATAACTTCTTTGGATCTAAAAAAAAAAAAAAACATTTTTAATTTGTTGACTTACTTTTAAACTTGAAAATTGTCCCCAAAGTAGCTGCCGGCTTCTGATCTGCCGTCTTTTTGAAAATACTGCGGTGTATTGTGGGTAATTTTTGAACAAGGCTAGGCTACAAGACACCTCCCATGTGTCTTTGCGCAGCTAGCTAAACAGCTAACAAACGGAGAACACATGCCTCGGTAGAACATGAACGTTGGAGCCGACTGGAACACGCCTTGGCGGCTCCTGATGACGTATCTCCTAGGCAACCGGGGCGTGGCCAAGACATCAAGGCAAGGTTCCTTGACATTGAGAAACACCCCAAGTTCTGCTGAGCCGTTTACACAATGTGGGCCGGTCTGATCCGCACCCAACCCCCGCTCTGACGGCCAAATTTAAGCGTGCATTTTCCCTGTAATGTCTCACATGACGACATTCTTTTGTTAATGTATGAAAGTTCAGTTGAACAAATGCAACATTAAACCTGCAGAAAATAGTATGAATGATTTAAAAAGAATCATTTAGAAATGAAATTCTGATGGATCAAGCAGAAACAGAGAGAAACAAGATGAAACAAGGAAATAAAAAAAAAAATAAAAAGAACAAAATGATCCCTCACAGACCACCATCTGTTTTCTTTCTAGCTCCATGATGTATCAGTGGAATAATTTTGCTTCACAAGATGTACATTTGGGCAGAAACTCATCCCGTTGACAGATGGAGACGTTTCTCCATTTAAACACGGTTTGGCACTTCACTGACAAGCAAAACAGTAGCTGTATCGGTCACGTGACTACTTCCTAAATGATACGCGCATCAACACGGAGTCACTAGCTAATGCTAAAAGTTAGCTTCTAGTAGCAGAGACGTTCTCTACTCTCTCTTGGACGCTAAATCAACTACAGCCTCCCGTCGTGAACCGAGATGGGTGAGTCCATTAATGATATTTTGACATTATGACGTGCTAATGTCACTGGCTTTTCTAATCCTAGACTATTTTCTATCAGAAGCTAATGCAGGGAAAAGGGGTAGAAGACTATTTTCACATTTAGCCTGCATGTTGAACTCAAGAGTAACCAATCATATTTCTAAAATAACAAGTAAATGTTTTTCAGTAAACTTAGTAGTTTGTTTTGTCCTAAAAGTGCGATATCTTGTATATATAGAAAGGACACTGCAACCCAAAGTGACGTCGATCAAACCCTTCTTACCTTGACTCTGAGAGAAGATGTCCGTGTAAAGATCTTCTGCGGCATCCGAGCGACGTGGCGGCAGATAACAAAGCTGACGTCGGTCCACAGAAGGCAGAGTGTTGACAGTCAGAGCCAGAGCTGCTTGGGAAAAGGCTGTCTTCATGTCGGAGAAGTTCAGATTGTGAGAGGCTTTTCCATTCAGCTGAAGTATCTCATCCCCAGCATTTAAACCTATAAAACCACAACACCATTTGGGTCGATGTGCAAGCTTCAAAATTCTAAAAACGTATTGAGAGAATGTTTTGTTTAAAGTTATATTTGGCATTAAGTAAAAGCTCAAATGTTACTTTGAAAACAAGTTCACACATTTCTTTGTATTTCTGACTAACATTCCCCTATTTAGGGATTTTTAACACAGCGAGGGAATGCCATCATCATGCACAGCGTCACCTGAACATCGAGCCCTGCTTCAATCTTCAGCGTTCTGTTGTGACATCTAAAAACCCTACGCTGACTTCACAGCTGGGCTGCTGATGTGAAGCAGCTTTGTTGAAGTACCTTATACAACATCATCCTTTCTAAAGGTCACAGAGAAGCATTCTACCAACTCCTCACAACTTGTTGAATAACAGTGGAAATATTAAACTACAAAAAAACAAAAACATTAAAATGTCATAATGTTAAAAACCTGTTTTTATTTCTTTAACAGTTACTGAACGCTCTCAGCCTTAAACGTGAATCATGAAACACCAAGAGAAGATCAGTTAAAACTTAAGTAGCTGAAAATGTTTCCTTTAGTGATGTACGGCATCACAAACAATTGCATGACAAGTAACATATAACACAAAATCAATGTTTCCACCAACTGATCTTGATAAGTTTGTTTTTATGGATGATTTAGAACATTTTTATGGTTAACATTGCTGAATTTACAGCTTTCCTGTTCAAATACATAGTAGAAGTGGGAGGGGAGCTGATGATGACATCACATCTCCCCCACAACTTGGAGCCCCGGGACTGGAGCGCGCACTATTTGGGTGCGAACCTTCCTGGTGCAAAGAGGATCCCCGCCCCTCCCACCTACTACTTGTGGTTTTATGTTCTGATTGTCTGAATATGCGCTTTTATGTTTGAGGTGTTTTTGCTGAACCCCAACTCTACCTCCTCTTTCTGTTCTTTTATATTTTCCCAGCAGCAAAGGAGCTCCATGAAGTGGCCTGCCTGTCACTGTGGTGTCTATATGTTTGTGCATCTCTTGGTCAGGTTGTGCTGTGAAGTCAAATTTCTTTGTACCAGGATTGTGATTCAATGACAATAAAGTTGATTCCGATACTATGCACTCTTTTGCTTTCATGTTATTGTACTGTTGAGTAGAATGGAATTGAATAAAATATAATTAGGAGGTTTTAAGACAACAATTTTTTTCTTTCAAGGTCAACATTAAATTACAATCTTCTATTTTGGGTTCCTATGTTTGTATGTCCGACTACAGTGGACTTGTGCCTCCCCAGTCGTGAAGCTCTCCACACATCACTGCTTTTTCTTGTCCATAGAAATTTTAGAAATATTAAAGTGGTCTATATAATGCAAAATCCAATTTTTGAAGCTTTTACCATGTTATATTATCATTTCCTCATGAAAAACACCCCTATGATAAACATGTCAGCTTGAATTGGAATCTTCAGGTCTGCAGCTGGTGGAATTCATAAGAGGGGGGCGGGGTTTCATTAAATGTCTTTTGTTTGGGTTTAAAGAACGGCTCACAAAAAAAAAACTTTATTTCTTAAAAAATGACATACATATAAGCCTTTTAACTAGGGATGGGTACCTTTGACATTTGAATCGATCCGGTACTAATTCCCGGCTAGGAATCGAAACCGGTACTTAACGGTACCAATTTTCGATACTTTTGAGTGTTTAATATTTTAATTCTCTTTTATAATTAGATATATATTTTTCTCAATTTATAACCATATTTGATAAATATCACGATAAATAACATACAACTGTTTGTATTTTAACATCGTCCTTGTAGTTTTATAACTGATAATTAAACTGAAGCAAACATCTTTACTGTGAACTAAATTTACTGTGTATCTTCATTCCTTTTACTGTCCTTTTTCAATTGATTTTTCCTACTGGGAAGTTTGAATTTCTGAGGAGAAAGCGAACGCACCATTAGATGATAACAATGGTGGCATAGGAAGCTAACATATCAAGCTACGTTGTCTTAAACAGTTTATTTAACTGCTGGAGCAGATTTAAATGATGATGCCTCACACTTAGATTGTTGTCACTGGTTTCATCTTCATCCAATCACCCGTCGCATTTAGTAAAGTGAAGCCAAACTTTAGTGCGCGTTCATGTTCTTCTAGTCAGAATTTCGGAGTTCCAAGGAGAAAGCGAACGCACCATTAGTGAAACGGAAGCTAACAAATCAAGCTAACGTTATCTTACATTTCATTTACCAACCAGAGCAGATTAAGATGAGGATGTCTCACTTCGATCGTTGTCGCTGGTTTCATCATCACCCAGTTACCCATCACATTTAGTGAAGTGGACCCAAGATTTAGCGTTCGTTCTTTCTACCATGCTGCTCTGTTTACAACTCGCTCGCAGCGACTGATGACATAACGCTCTTGCGCAGCTGTCTAGGCAAGTTCTCGTTGTGATGGATGGGTACCGAAACGAGGCACCGTTTCAAATGAAGTGAATCGGTGCTCGGTCGGTACTGTGGAATTAGGTCGGTACCTTAAAAAGTACAGAATTCGGTACCCATCCCTACTTTTAACAATGCAGCCATCAGGGTAAAAAGTTCCTATCTGTGCCATTTTGTGGGTTATAAGCTAAAATGTTTAGGACATCCCATTTTGAAAGTAAGAAACCTAACCTTTAGCAAAGGCTAATCCCCCTGCCTTCACATCAGTGATGTAGAGCTGCTGTATTCCATCTTCTTCTACCACCGATATGGAGAAACCTGAGGAAGGAAAAAAGAAAGACAATAACGGTGACTAAAAAGGGTTGGTGCAACATTTGTGGGAATGTTCTAGTTTAATATACTCAAAAACAGGAGAAATGTGTCTGAAATCTATCAAAAATAAGTCTCACCATAACCAATCATGCAGGATTCATCTCTGTCAAACTGGATTACTTTAGTAGTTTTGGAGCAGATCTCAATTTCTTTGTAAAGCTGTGGAGAACAAAAGCTAGTTATTATATAAACCATGAGATGTGGCTAACTTCAGTCATAGTGTGGTGGGTGGGTTACTGACAGCAGGAAGACAGAACAATAATTTTCTGCCTTTTCAGACACAGCCGCTCTAGTCATATGTTTACCTTCTGGGCTTTGTGTTGCGTCATAATTAAATGATGTAAACAGAAAAATCTTAATAAAACATCTCACAAACATGTACAGGCAGATTTTTGAAAGAAAACAGATTAAATTAAAACATAGGCTATACAAATCAACAATGACTAGTGGGGGTGGCATTTCGAGAGGAGCCAGGTGAGGTGGCTTGTCCAGGATGCCTCCTGGACACCTCCCTGTTGATGTTTTACAGGCACGTCCAACCGAGACGAGACCTAAAGGGAGACCCAGGACACGCTGGAGGGACTATGTTTCTCGGCTGGCCTGGGAACGCATTGGGATTTCCCCGAAGGAGCTAGCCCAAATGGCTGGGGAGAGGATAGTCTGGGCCTCTCTCTTCAGGCTGCTGGCCCCGCAACCAGACCCCGGATAAGCGGAAGAGAATGGATGGATGGATAGTACAGGTGTAATGATGCGTGTATTCGTATTCGGTTTGGCACAGACACGCACCGACGCGCAACTGTTTTGAACATATTAGCCATTACCCAGCAACATATGTGGCTGTGTCTAAATTCAGGGGCTGCATCCTTAAAAAAAACAGACTAACGCGTCCATGGACGTTGGTGCAGGAGACTGAGTCTTTGCTGACTGGGAAGAGCAGAAATGCCATCCTATATCTGTAAATATATAATCTGGCCACGACCCACAGAAAGAGCTCAGTTGTAGGTGTGGAATTTACAGTTCTCTTTCAAACTGTCTCTGCTCGCAATCGAACACGGCTAGGGCCAATCAGAGCAACAAACAACGTGACAAATTCATAGCTATGGAAATAAGTCACCGAAGCAGTTCACCATACACCACCAAAAATGTAGTAGAACCTCTTAGGTCTGAAATTAAAGCTCAAGTCTAAATCGTTCAAAGTTGATGTCAAAGTCATTTCAAACGAGCGTGGTTCCTGAGCCGCCAGCATTGTAAAGAAAAAAAAGCTCTGCCTTAATGGTCCCATCCAATGTCTCTCTACAAACATGGAGTGCTGTGATTGGTCCAGCCTAAACTTTGCCAATCCAATAGTAGTCCTGCAAACAGCTACAGAGGAGCATGGCTAAACCCGTGCAACACATTTTGCTACTGCTATGGCTTGTCTAGATTTCTAGGCTACCGAATACCGGACCATGACTCTAAAACCAAGATACTCACCATACTGGGATTTTATGTGCTCCGTTACATCTCATTTCAGAGATTTCATTTAACTTGTTGTCATTTTAGGTTAAAGAAAATTTTCATATTAACAGACAAGGTCATCTTCAAATCAAAGTTACCTACCAAGTCACATATATCCTCTTCTGGTTTGGGGATGTAGAATTGCACTTGGCTTTCAATGAGGAATCTGAGCCTCAAGTAGTGTTTGGTTGGATCAAGCTCATGAGCCTGTGGGATGATACAAAAGAAATATAAATTATCTTGTATCGCAGCTTTAAAGGGCGTCTTATTTAGTGCTTTTGTGATACGCCAATGTAACGTGAGGAAATATGGGTTTTCTGTGCAAAAGGTCATTTGACTCGGCTGGGTCAAAGAGCTGGGTCGCTGAGAACTTTCACCCACAGATTGAGACCTTTGCAGACATGAAGTCTGCAAGAGTCTGCTGGAAACCATAACATCTGTACACCTGCAGTACCAGAAGAAGGAGTTCTCATGGAAAAGTAGTCATAACATAACAAGTCTTAAAACTTTGTTTCTTGATTTTAATGTTAAAGTAATCATTATCATTTTGCTCATTATAAATGTGTTTAATCAAATGAATGATTCTTATGCTTTGGGTAATTATAATGGATTAATGAATCCATACTTAATTAGATAATGTTTGAGGATGTTTGTTACCGACCTTCACACACACACTCAAACACACCCACACACAGATTCTCACAGTAAACTCCAAAACACATTTGCTGACGTACACATTTGCTTTGAGAAGAGAAAGGCTTTTGGTAAGTTTTAGTCTTATGATTTCAGTTCGTGCTTGACAACGAAAAAGAGAGGACGTGTGAACAACCGCTAACGGGGGAACGGAGCCCACCGGCTCCTTCCTCCCCCCACCTCTCACGCTGTTCCTGTCAGCCAGACAGAATAGCTGAATCGCAACTTCTAACGCAGGCTCATCCCGAGTCTTTTGATTTCTGAGTGAACTAAACTTAACAAACGCATCGACAAAACGCTTTTCCATCGACGTGTACCGAGGGCATCTCTGGACCGGGCCGCGGACACCTCCGTCTCCTCTGCCAGCCGCTGGTGTCACCTGGATGAACATCCTCTGGCGTCCCGGATCCAACAGGGGGTCCGATTTTCGGTGAGACAGAACACGGCAGATAGCGTTTTGATGCATCTTTTCCAACTAAACCTAAGTTTATTCAAACCATCACTTTTCACTCAGACACCTGTTTCTTCCTGAAGCAAAATCAGATGCACTCACGCATTCATCTCACCTCATGTTCAATTCTCACTACACTTTGCACCCACGCATCCATAATCACATCATATCACTCTCAACCTTCAGCACCTCCAACACAAGGTCTATTTGAGCAAGTTTACAATATCAACTGTTAAAGATTGTCCCACAAAGTTGCCAATGTTGATTGTGATTTCCTGTTTGTCAATTTCAAAATCATTAGTTTAATTTGAAGAATTAAAACTTTTGATTGTCAAACGTGCTTCTTCATTGAACTGAAACACAGACCCACGGATATTATCGACAGTTTATCGATGAAAACAACCTTTGAGTCTTCTTAAAACTATACAATTTGGTTATTAATTTAATAAAATTAATATCACAAATTATCATATAGAATGGTTCCTCTTTCATAAAAGAGCATAAACCACAACGCTACAGTTTGACCAGCCAGCCAGTTCTACACCAAACAGCTTCTGCATGCAAAAGCCTATAGAGAACCAAACTGTCACGATAAATGAATAAATCAAGCATGGATCGGATGGCGTAGTTAAAGGTGTGGCTCTGTTACCTTGCAGATGGACTCAAGAACACACAGTGCAGACTCTCCTGGCTGGATGGTTGTTAAAACAGGCTGGTCGTTTGGCAGACAAACCCAGGAGGGGGTGAGGTGGTCAGGGACCCAGATGTCGCTCTCTGTGTTGGGTTGTGAAAGGCTTTTCACAGCTCCCTCCTCACATTTCTGTCAACACATACACCAGATAAAATGGGATTACCGCAAACTTTCCTTCCATTTATTTATTAGTCAGCTCCAGTTACCAAAAGTCAGCTTTCTGAAGTTTTTACCTAAGCTACAAAAGTTTCATGGGTTTTGGAAATTCTGTCAGTTTTTCCGCAATAAGTTCTCTAATGAGTGTGAATTTTGGAATGATCTCTACCTCAGGATATACAGGTGAGAAAGTGCATAAATGTCGGGAATTTTACATTACATGAGAAACTAATATACGAGATAGATTACAAGCGGAATAATATATTTCAAGCCTTTGTTATTATTTTTGATTTTGGCTTTCAGTTTATGAAATCTCCAAATTCAAAATCTGAGACGATTAGTGAAGGGGTTCCTTCTAGACTCAAGTGTCACACTCTAATAGGTTAATCCACAACACCTGCAAAGTCTAAGTCGAGTTACTGAAATCAATTAACTTTTGTACTATATTCTAATTTTCAAAGGTATACAGTGGTCCCTCGTTTATCATGGGAGTTACTTTCTAAAAATAATCTTCGAAGTAGTCAGCTGATCTGTTTTTACAATTAGTATAGATGTTTGTCGTACGCAGCTACTTCTGGGGTCACACATTTGAAAACACAGCAGAATGTCTGTTTCGCAACAGTTGTATTACCGTAAATCCTCTAATACAGGCCCGGGCCTGTATTTTACTCAAGCTCATCAAGCTCCAGGCCTTTATTGGAAGGAGGGCCAGAATTAGAGGCAGGCCTCTATTTTCTATTTGAGCAAAATGAACTAATGGTTCGCTGGAGTTTTTGACAATTAAAATTGCACTCACATTTTCAAAGTTAAACACATTTTTTTTAACAACGGTAATTTCTGCTTCAGCCCTCTCCTCCCTCCCCCTGCGCAGCGGCCGCAAACTCACTGATGCGCCTGCAGCCTCTCGGAGTTCCTGCTGCTTTAAACATTAAAATAATTATTTCATTTTCTGTTCCTCACTTCTGATTACCTTCAATGGTGTCTGTTTGTTGCAACCACCAAGTACAAAAACTAACTTGTTTTTATTTGACTATTTTTCTGTCCTGCCTGTTTATTATCTTCCTGCATCTCCTCTCAATCCTAAAGAGAAACTGCTACCTGGGTTCATATATATTCACCTTATGAGTTACCTTTGAACTGCAGTTCTAAAAGATCTACCGACCGCAAAAACAGCGGAGTGCGCGCTGCTTGCCGGCCGCATCAGTGATCGGTGCATCACCGGATGACAAGGTGATGCGCCCCGCTCCACAGCGAAACGCATCAGGCGCAAATAAAAGACAGAAAACATTAAAGGAAATGAACTGACATGAACGATCGCGTGTTAAATTAGTTTTTGAGGTGGCGACACCTGATTTGATAATGTTACTGTGGCCGTGCTCAGGACGCAGATCTACCGACCGCAAAAACAGCAGAGTGCTCGCTGCTTGGCGGCCGCATCAGTGATCGGTGCGTCACCGGAGGACAAGGTGATGCGCCCCGCTCCACAGCAGCGAAACACATCAGGTGCAATTAAAAGACAGAAAACATTAAAGGAAATGAACCGACATGAACGATCGCGTGTCAGTACCGACGCTCTGGCACAGCGCGTTGCCCCCCCGAGCGCAGGAGCTTGTCACCTGCTGACAGCAGGCTGCTGTCTTTTCCGAGGGCTGCATCTTGCCGGTCATTATCACGTGACAGCGACTAGTCGATGACAGGCATAAAAAGTCACTATAGTGAAGTCGACTAGTTCATACAACCCCTATTGCTCCCCAGTGTTCTGCAGCGCACGTTCTCTTTGAACTTGATATCAAATTTTCGCCTCCTCTTCGTCTTCGCACGGTTAAAGTTACCCTCGCGGTCTTTCACTGGCAAATCAAAAGTGAGACGATGACACAACCGCCCCCCCGTACTAGCTTGTTACCACATTCCACCCGGCCACAATAAGAGACCGGCCATTGTTCACCTCCGCCGACTCCGGCCAAAATATGAGACCCGGCCGTTAATTGAATACAGGCCTATATTAGAGGATTTACGGTATTTCCATTATTGGCTCATGCTCACTCCAGCGTTTGTCTCCTGTATAGAGACTCTCGTGTCCTCCTGACACAAGAGCGCTGATTACTACTGCGCTCCTCTCTTCCGCAGACGTGCACGCTTGTCCCAGTGCACGGCCACAATGTTTTAAGGCTGTAAAATCACTCATAGGGCTGCTCAATTAATCAAATTTTAATCACGATTACGATCTGAGTTTTGAACGATTATAAAAACAAAACAAGCCGATTATTTGCTCCTCCCACTTGCGCTGCCCCGCAAATGAAGCGCTCCTCCCACAGTGTTGCCAACTTGGCGACTTTGACGCTATTTCCAACAGCTTTTCAGACCCCCTTCTTGACTTTTTAAATCTTAAAAGTACCTAGAGAACACCTCAGAAACATCTCTGGTAACCCTTAGCTACTTTCTGGATAACTGTCGTCGACATTTCCTGCAGGTTAGCTAAACACTCCGCCTGCACTCCGGACCGTTCTTCAGGACATTAGGAAAGGGAATGATGTAGTGATGTGTCAGTCGCTAAAGAAACAGCTCTCGGAGCCGGCTCCCTGTTGGACTAACCAGAGTGAGTGACACACACACCGCACCTGCGGACTCCTGAGCCACTAAAAACGGCTAAATGTGCGCGTGCGGCGTGCTAAACACACGTGCAGCTTGCCCCGATTGCTGAGACCGGGTTGGGGGGTGGGGGGTGCAGCTGTGGTTGGGACAATTATTACATTAACTGATGGACTTGTAAATACAGTTTATAAATAAGGTAGAAATAACTTCCTCACGCTTATAAATAATAACTAATCTCTCTGAGGACACAGTGCAAGTGCACTCTCCTACAGCACCTTGACACGACTCAATAAATGTTAAGCAACATTTTGTGAACATCAATTTGCATTTATTTGTTATAAATGCCGCTGTATAATTCTTGCTGTCAGTATTTGCAAGATATTGGTATTTGGGTCTGTACTGGTTAGAGTTAAATGAGTTAAACCAAGGTCTATAGCCCTCGGGTCATAAACTATGAGCTATAAGTATATTGGTCTTTTTCTACTGGGAATCAGGAGTTATTTTAGTGATCATCTTGTTTCTTATTTATTTTTGTCCTGATTATGCCCTGAGCAATTTTATGACTGAATAAAAACAAATAAAATCAACATAAATTGAAAAATCATCCTAAATAATCGAGATCTCAATTTCAGTCACCATAATCGTGATTATTATTTTTGCCATAATCGAGCAGCCCTAATCACTCACTACACACTTTACACACTTTTCTCAGACATGCGTTAACATTTTCACACTTTTCTCTCGTTTAAACACTCTCAAAGTTCAAACCTTTGTACCTTTGGATGCAATGTGTTGTAAAATAAAAAGCGTGCAAAATTGCATTACAAAAACTGCGAATAGCATTCGTGTTACAGCGAGGCACCACTGTGATGTTTTATTGACCACAATGTTGCCTAAAAATGTTGTTCCCTTTGTTATTGACTTAGTTCAGACAAAGCATTAGATTCGTTCTTACTGAGTTTTCTTTCACAGGATCAACAAAAATGCTGTCTTTGGGCTTTCTCTCAGGCTCCTCATCAGCAAACACCTGCAGGGGCAAAAAGACAAACTTGTATTCTTACCTCAGGCAGAGCGGTCAAAGGTCCATTTTTACATCCCTGACTACGACATTCAAAGACGACGCTGACCTGGATGACTGTAGGGTGGGCTTTTGTCTTCTTCTTTGAGGTAGTGTCCAGACCCCAGATGGAAGAGAACCTGCTCTTTCGCTTGCTGCAAGAATGAGACATGGCTTGTGTTCGCCTCCTCACTCCAGTCTCTGTCCGAGCTGCCACCTGGAAAAACAAAGCATCGCAGTTAGGGCCAGAAGACACCAGATGAGACACAGTGTGTTTGACCTCATGTCACACCATATCGTACAGAATGTATTACAGAAACATCAGAGATGAGAGTAAGTCAGGATGGCCTGAGAGATAAATGCAACATACAATGCGATACTTTAAAACATAGAAATGACTAATAACTGAATAAATAAAAAGAGAAATTGAGATCATGTAGGTGTAATCATGAAAACTATACAACTATATAACATAAATATGTGGCAGTTATGGGCAAAAGGAAGAGTACCCTATCCTGGCAGAAGCTAGTATAACCTCAGCCCTTATTCTTTGTTTTTTATCCTGCCACCCAGCAGCGCTGATCCAGGAACTGATGAATGAGCAACTTAAATGAGTGAAACTGTACGGCACTTTAGTATTTTTTCAGCCAGCAAACAGCTTAAACACCCACCTGCTCTACAACAAAGTGAAGGTTGGAGAAAAAGTACCTCACTAAGGTCTAAAAACATCACAAAGATTTATTCCTCTGCAACTGCTGCTTTTAGACTGGAAGTGCATAACCCCCGTGTAGCAGTAGGAGGCTGATACGCATCTAAAACCTCACCAAAGATCTGTGTGAGACACTCAAGATCCCACTGGCAAAACACAGCAGAAAAACAGTTTTATGTAATTATTTTCACTTTTAAAAGAGCTTTGTGATCTCCAAGGGCTCCAAACTGGTGAAGATTTGACCAAGTTTCTTTTGAACAAGTAAACACTAAGTTATCTATGGTATTTTAGACATATGTAAGCACATTTTTATTTAAATAAAACATATAATAATGCTGATACATTGTTGTACGCTATGTTTACCGAAGGCTAATGAGGTGCTAGCTTTAATGCTAACTGTAAACTACAAGCTAACTGTGGGAGAAAAGGAAGAGGATCGGAAACCGGTTTATCTTTTGTGTACTGGAGCTAAGTCAGTGAAGCGTTTCACTTTCCACTACATTAGATTGTTTTGGTTCTTCTCTCTTCACTCCACATTCCCTGTGCATCTGCGGTATGAGGCGTGGCTTTCGGCTCCTTCTGGAAGGGAAGCGGGGGCAGTTGCTAAAGCCGTTCAGATCTCCTCGTCTTCTCCTTGACAATGTGACGCTACTTTACAGTTTACAGGTTTGTTCTCTAACCCTCTTTGACCTTCTCGGTGGCCTAGTGGTAGAGTGTCCCCCTGGGACTGGGTGATTGGGGTTCAAATCCTGGTCGGGTCATACAAAACCCTTAAAAATGGGACTCAATGACTCTCTGCTTGACACTCAGCTTTAGGGGGTTGAATTTGGGGGGTTAAACCACCAAGTAGTTCCTGAGCGCATCCACAGCTGCAGCTGACCGCTCCTTAAGGGGAAGGGTCAAATACAGAGATGTAATTTCACCAGTGTGTGACTAATGGGACTTTAACTTTAATAATAACTACGATTAACTATGCTAAAGGGCTTTTATTTATTTATTTATTTTCTCTTTTTTTATTTCATTCAAAATAAAAACAAATAAAACATATAAACAAGAAATACATAACAAAAATCAAATTTGAGTATTTTCTTTTGATGAGGGAAAAATAAAGATTTGGCAAAATATTTTTAAGAAATCCACTCATGAAAAAGCAAATAGAGGATATTTACCAGTGCATGGAAGGAAGAGACGGAGAATATACCCAGTCGGCCCATTGCCAGCTTGGTGGGGCGAGAGGCGAAGGCCAGGAGGCGTTTAGGGTTGGGCAGCTCTCCTCCTTGTAAGCTGGCCAGGTAGCATCTAAAGCGGAACAGATCCATGTGAAACTGTTCCAGGTTCTGCTCCCATAAGAAGATCTGCAGAGTGAAATGATCACAGCATCCATCAAGTCAAAATCAGATCGCGATGCTCATGCTGTTAGCATGTTACCCAACTACGCTCTTTGCTTAATTGTTTGATGTTTACTGGGCCAGTAGAACAAGGATTGTGATTATTCACTGGGCCATCCACTCCCGGTCACGGTCCTGAGCTGGTGTTTGGAAAATCCCGTCATTGCCATGGCAGAAGGTTCTGTTTTATTGCCAAGCAGCCCAGAGACGAGGAAACAACCAGCAGACAGAAGCTTGGAGGGTTTCAGCTTTTTCAGGAGAAGTTCTATTTCCATTCAGCTCTGCCTAATCTGAAAGGTGACACTGCCAAACAGAGAACAGACACTACCTAACGGACCAAACAAAGGCCATTTGATTCCTCCTTTCTGTAAGCAATCCTATTAAAGACAGTGTGAGCTTAACAATTAACTGGGAATGGTGCTCCACTGATCAGTGCCAACTGCATACCAAGTTTTTTTCAAGTGTGTGTGTGTGTGTGTGTGTGTGTGTGTGTGTGTGTGTGTGTGTGCAAGTGAGTGGAGGAGAATAATTAGGTACAGCTCTGTCATGAATATATGTTGTAATTGTTGATGTAAACATAGCCGTGAGTCAGACGGAAAGCATTGACTGCATTTATCTTGAAGCATAAATTTCCTTCTATGAAGTTAAGCAGCTGTGTTGACGGTCGCAACGATCAGCAGGAGACGACAAACTGGTGCGAAGAAGTATTTCATGAGTCTATCGGATGTTTTATGGAATGAAAACAAATAGGATTTATTTTAAATCACAGCTAATGCATTTTGTTTCTTCTTCTGCAGATTATGCAATCATAATTAAGTTAAAACACTATTATGAATTATGTGCCATAATTTTGTCATGTGTGATAAATCTAGCATGCCCATTTTTTCAGCAGAAGTGCACCCTCTGCCCTCTCTAAAAGCCCAAACGTGGGCCTGGCTTTGCTGCATTGATCAGGCTGCAGACCTGTTGGTAAAACTGATGTAGAGGTTTGGAAACATTCTGGTTTCACAAAGTTAGGTGTGAAATAATAATAATTAAAGATGCTCGATATTATCGGTCTACGAATATTATCAGCCCTAAAGTGTAATATTGGAAAATATCGGTATCGGATTTTACTCCTTAGTGACCCAACTTTTACATACCATGCACCAGGGCTTTGCGATACGGCCTAAAAATCTTCGATTTTATCTATTGTTTTATTCGATCTTGTCTTTTTTTTCTCCCTCCCCCTCAATTATTAAGAATAGCAATAAGTACAAATGGAAGGCACCTTAAAGGCGATTTTGTTTTTTATTTAATCACACGCAAGACAAATGTAACCCGCATTTCTGAGAGGAATAATGAAAAAATGAACACCCTCTTGGAAGAAAAGTGCCACGCTCCACGTCTGTCGCAGCAAACCCAAACCAGTTCCAAACAACGGATGATTTAATTCCTTTCTTAGGAACAAACTTCCAACTCTCACCGGTGGCCATGGAGTCGCTTGCTGTTTCGTGTGAATGCTGTGACGTTGTCGCGGTTATGTGAAACTAATGCTACGGAAGCTCCGGAGGGCCGAAAAGGCACTATTACATAAAAATTAAATTTACTTTTTTTTTATCGCCCGCAACAAAAAATTCAAATTAATTCATTAAATCGATTTATCGCCCAGGCCTACCATGCACAATTTACCCAAACTCTTCGGCTTCATCACCTGTCTCTCAAAATGCCCAAAAATGACAGATCTGAGGTTTAGTTTTTGAGATATTTTAGTTTTATTTGGAACAACTTGTGAACAATTAGGAATTTGCCCTGTGTTTAGAGCATCTGCTGTCATACCAGCTGTATGTAGCTGGCTAGCTAGCAACCATCTACAACAAGCACAAGAATCTGCACCCAAGGCTTGCTTTTCCTAAATGAAGATCTTTATAAATGTTTCATCACCATGACTACAATAAACAGAAACAGAAAAACTACACTGCTATGCGTCGTACTTAGCCTCGCTCACCACGTGTACGCTCACGCTGCTTACGTTTGATCAACTTAGTAACTTAAACACATGGCTAATCATTTCCTAAACAAATGCATATGTCCAAAGACAAATATTCTCCAAGGCAAGAATGTATAAAGCTAAATCAGTGAGTTCATGACCTGTTAATTCTCCTGTTTTGCCTAAATGTAAGATGTGAACACCAGGAGTGAAGAAAAGGGAAACTACGTCAGTGATGGGTCTGAGTTGAGAGCGCTCACTCTGTCGTTTCGCACAGATAACATAATGAAGATTGTAACAGCGATGTCTCACATCTCACCAATGATCCATTTTCAAAACCTAAAAAAAAAAAAAAAAATACCGAGCGTCCCTAAATAATAATTTATTTGTTTTTGAAGATAAGACTCTGGCACAGATGCACAATGTCACAAAACTCTGTGAAAAAACTGTGAAAGGTTCATTAGATGTTATGAAACTTACTTGATCCAAGATTGTCTTTCTTTTTTTGGTGTCGGTGACGGCAGACAGCTGCATCTCTCCCATCTTCTTCATCTTCTCGTCCATGTCACTCTTCTGTTCCAGCTTTTTGATTTCAGCACGGAGCAAGCGAACCGTGTCCTCTCGGTGGTGCTGGCGGGCGACGGCCGTAGCACATGCCGAGTGGATGGCTGTGATCCAGTTTTCCAGCTCCGTCTGGCTACAGGTCTGAATTTTGAACAGTAAGCAAAGGGTCAAAGTTCAACAGTGTATTTAGCGTTAATTCACTCTGTGATCTTACAAATGTTAAAGGTGGGGTTGACTGAAAAAACATTTATTTATTGATCACTCTGTGTTTTTCATGCAGCAGGGTATCTGCAGGTTTGAGGGAGCCAAATTTAAGACTTTTTAAGACCTTTTTTAAGGCCACTTTGACCAAATTTAAGATATTTAAGCAGGGCAGCAGTAGCTCAACAGGTTGAGCGGGTTGTCCAGTAATCGGAAGGTTGCAGGTTCGATCCCGGCTCCGGACAGAGAATTCTGCTGTTGAGTCCTTGGGCAAGACACTTAACCCACCTTGCCTGCTGGTGGTGGTCGGAGGGACCGGTGGCGCCTGTTCTCGGCAGCCTCACCTCTGTCAGTGTGCCCCAGGCCAGCTGTGGCAACATCATGGCTCATCCCCACCAGTGTGTGGATGTGTGTGAATGGATGAATGATACACTGTAGTGTAAAGCTATACAAGTGCGGGTCATTTATCATTTAAGCTATAATTTCCAGCTATTGCCTGGAACCGGTGCTAACCACGCCACGATCGTTTGATTAGCCATCCAGTTACCATTAAACTTGCAATTCCCCATGGCGCAAGCTCCCACTAGCTTAACCAGCTAACGTGCTCATCTAAAAATAGCCCCCTTTCACAACCAACTGAATGTGTACGGTTCCGCTTACGCCAACATTGTACACAAAAAACGCTGAACACCAACAAGAAATTCACGAAAATTTTATAGAAATAAAAGAATCTTGTTTATTGGGTCTTTTAAGACCTCTGGAAACTGTATTTAAGGATTATTAGTCATTTTTAAGGATTTTTAAGGCCTTAAATTTGGAAAAGCTAATTTAAGGCTTTTTAAGATTTTTTAAGGACCCGCGGATACCCTGTGCAGACTGAACATGAAAACAGTCTCCTGCACCCATCTCCTCCTCTCTTTTCTGATAGAAAATAAATGGTGAAATTCTAGGATTTGAAAATCCTCACATATCTATGTCACACTGAGAATTTGCATTCATGGCCTCGCCCATCTTGGCTCGCTCCCGCCTACAGGAAGGCTTTTTTTTTTTGCAGCAAAGAGAGCGAGAGCAGAGAGTGTCTTGGTGATAGTGACGTTGCAACGTGGCTGAACACATTTTGTCAGAAGCGAGGCGTGTGCTTATTAATAACGATGAGTAATCTTGCTGTTTTCAGCCCATCTCTGCACCAGCAATCTTCTGCAGTTTAGAACAGGAGCCTCATAGTTTTTAATAATTTACACTACAGAACACTTAAATGTTTGGATTAAACAAGTAAACCACATCTTTAATAAACAACTCACGTTTTGACTTGTTTAGCTGAACATGATTAAAATTACTCGTTGACCACCATCCCCTGGCTCTGGTAAGAAAACACTTTCTCACCTGGAAAAGGAAGGCATCCCCTAAGGAGTTGCTGAGACAGAACACAAAGTCCTTTTTGGGATGTTCTGGCACAGCTTGGACAATGCTGTTCTCCACCCATATGGCATGTTTGGGGTTACAGTTGTCAATCCCTGAACGGCCATCAGTCTCGTGAAAGAACAGAGTGCATCCTAAAAAAAACCAAATCAAAAACGAGATATTTCACAGGACTGATACATTTCAGAGAACCGAGAACAGCCAGATTTTCTTCAGCTATTTACTTCTGCTCTCCAGTGGCCATGATTAGGAAGTGCAGTGTAACGTGTGGATTTGAACATGAGAAAGTTACATTAATGTTCATATTTTTACACAAATTGCCGTGAAACAAACATTTTAAGATCCTGTTAGGTTTATGCTGACCTTTAAGTGATACCCAGTAGTTTTTCCACTTGCGTCTTGTGGCAGATTCCACTTTCTTGTTCTTCTTATGCACCAGGAAGTTCTTCACAGCCAGTTTCCCGGCTTTGCGTACCATCCCCTGGGCAACGCTGAGCAACACGTCAGATTGGTAGGCGGAGCTCATGGTGCTCTGCTCATCACTCAGGGCGGAGCTCGCCTCCTCCAAGTTCTCCGACTGGCAGGAGCTCATTTGTAGCTCGTGACGAAAGTTCTCGTACACACCCTGCACACACTCGTTGGCCCCGCCGCCACCACTGCTGCCGCTGTCGCTGCCGGCGAACATGCTCCTTCCTTGCACCGAGTAAACAGAAAAGGAGGCTGACATGGTCTTGTATCGTCGAGACTGGTGCTCTGTCTCCACCATCACCCCATCGATTCCACTGTCCTCGTATTCACTGCCGTCCCCAGCCGTGACATCCTGAATTGTGGCAGAGGCACACAACAGGTGAGATCGCGTGGCAACCTCATGTTCTTCCTCACAGAGAGGGTAGGCAATCACCTACAACAACAACACTGGATGTTAACTAAGAAAAACAAGATATTTCCAAAGCAAACATGCTGTAAAAACATAGAATGAGTGAGTTGCTCATTGCAGAAGCTCACCGCAGAGCTTCTGCTGCTGTATGAATACAGCCTGCCCTCCCTGCGGCACCACAAGGTCTGGCCTCTCTTCCCCACATCGCCAAGGGCTCCAGGGAGATAGAACGGGCTCCCACCGAGCTTAGGATCTCCGTTTGGTCACATGACCTAATCAAATGCTCTCCGGAGCTCCATTCAACAAGGTTGTCGGTGCCCCGCCGTGACAGGGCCACCGTACACATTTTACTGTTACACTCTTCCAAAGGCCTCTTCTCATTATCATAACAAAAGCCTGGGGGCATTTCTGACAGGGAGTGACTTGAAGCTCACCCCTCCCTCCCATTAACACGGTCTCTTCTCTCAGGAAAGAATCAAAACAGCTTCAGCAGGAAAGACATTCCAGTTTCTTTTTTTACGCTTTTATGCCTACACAGTGAGTTGTCTTGTGATTAAAATTCTGCACAGAATGTGGGGTGCTTTTGTTGTTTTCTATAATCTGTGATGCATTTCAATCGGATGAGCCGACTGTCAGATAACGACTGGTCTTACCTGAATAGTCTGCGCCCGTCTGCCCTGCATACTGGTACACGTGGCGGTTTGGTGGCTGCTCCGACCTTCAGACAGGCAGTGGGATCGTCGGCAGGGAAGGGTGAAAGCACCGTAGGTGTTCCCATCCTCCTCCGACGTTGAGAGCACTTTATCATCCTCGTTCTCCCGGGCGGACCTGTTGGCATTATGCCACTTGGCATAGCGGCCATGGGGATGCCTGCAGGCTGGACTGGTGCTACTATACAGCTCATCTAAAGAGTTTGCCCTGTCAGCGGAGTTGGTGGGGCTGGACTGCAGGTGGCCTTCACGGTCACTGAAGTCTCTCTCATTAGCCACGTCGATGATTTCCTCCGTGCTGGTCAAGTGATCTTGGCTGACGTCAGACAGGGAGAACTCCAGACTGTCGTCTCGCCACGTGTCTGCAGATTTAGACCTTTTTTTGAAGCTGGCAGTTTCTTTGGGGCAATCCAGGGTCTTCTGAATGTATTTTACCTCGTTTGTGTACATATCATCTACCTGCAGCTCCTCTGCTGTGGGACCAGGTAAGGTTATGTGCATTGTATTCATATGCACAGAGGGATTGGCCAAATCATTGTGAAAGGCCACGGGCCGCAGACTCATGGCCACGCGATCAACCCAAATGGGGCTTCCAAAGTCTGGGAGGACGTTGGTTTCATTGAAGGGGTCCAAGCCATTGTCAGCCAGGGACTGTGGGATGCTGGGAGTGCTACTTGACCGTGTGCTCGTCTCAGAGTTCCTGTGCTCCATTTTTCCCAATGAAGCATGATGAGGGTGTCTTGATTGTTTGTTGGAAATGCGAAGAGACCGAGACATGTGCTTACGTGACAAATAGCCACGCCTGTTACTGTAGAGGACATGGTCTCCGTGCTGACTCTCAACATTCCCCATGATTCAGAGCCTAGACGGATGACAAGGTGCGGCATAAACTTAGGAATATAATTCATCACCTTCTTGAAAACAGAATAATTAAACTTTCTGCTCACCTGGAGGATCAGAAGTATATTTAGGGCATTTTGTCACTGAATCTTCAGATAACCTGAGGCATCAGAGGCTGTTGCAATCCACAAAGTCCTGAAAGACATTTATCCAGATTACTTAGTTAAACTGTTTAATGTAACGTTTCATAAAAACTACTCCTTCAAAATACAGCAGGTTGTTGTGAAGTGGAGTGGAGGGAGTATAATGAGGGTACGGGAACAAACATGGGCTAAGTGAACATGAGTTATTCAGAGCTGACTGAACCATCGCGTTGTGTTATTGTCACTTGTTCTCCGGCACTACCCCCTGCAGTAGAGGACTGTGACCAGGAGGACTACTGAAGTTTTCACCATGAAGCACAGATACCTGCTTTCAGGCTCAGGTCTATGCCCCGAGACCATCAACAGATGGAAGTGAAGATTGCCTGACATGTGGCTGTTGTTCCTCCTGATGTTTGCTCAGCTCACTTCAGGGCAAACTCTTTGAGGGGGAGAGCAATGATTTTGTGTGTGTGTGTGTGTGTGTGTGTGTGTGTGTGTGTGTGTGTGTGTGTGTGTGTGTGTGTGTGTGTGTGTGTGTGTGTGTGTGTGTGTGTGTGTGTGTGTGTGTGTGTGTGTGTGTGTGAGCCCAACCGTCTGTTGCTGCACTCAAGCTTACAGTAATGGGAATGTTACATAAACTGGAACTGACCCCGTTTTCCTACCTTGTTGCTCCTGCATTTTCTGTCCTCTCATCACAACTCACCGGTACCGCAACACAGAATGTTTGATTATGTTAATTCAGACTCTTTATTTGATCACTTGTTTCACTTAATCAAATGGGGTGAAGAGGAAACAAAAAGACTAGAAGAAGGGGATGGCATACCATAGCACTCGTTACAGCAAATAACAGTCGGCAAAATGCCTCCAACGTTCTACCGTGGGCTACATCTGGGCTAGTGTGAACACAATCTCCACTTCTCATCAGTTCAGTGGTTAAAACTGAACTGATCTGCAGATGTAATCATGAGATGAGATTAAATTAGTTACAGTAGATTTTGCTATCTATAGGAAGTTCTGGTATATAAATGTGCTTGTTAATATGAAGTTGAATTTACCAGACTTCAAAGGGAGACAAGGTGGGTTTGGCTTGCTTTTAGCACCCTCTAGTGTCCATTTAGTAGAACCAAAAGCAAAACTTATTTTCTCGCTGTGCGTTCATTCTTTAAACATCTTAATCTCTAAGCTGATACATCCCCTCAGCCTTCAAAAGTTTTTACAGGAACAATTCATCACTAAATCAAACAAACCAGCTGTGTTCATGACCTAAGAACATGTAGGAAACGTGCCATTCTGTTCTAAGTCCAACAGACCAGACCGACACTCTGAAGTTGCAAATGCGGTATTCTGGCCACAGAGGGCGGTAGTGGTCTGAGTGACATTTCGTTAACCCTATAAAGGTTTGAGACCATGATGACTCAAGAAAATGATTCAAAAATATGAAAAATCGGCATTGTATCCCTTTAAGGTTAATTCAAGGTTACAAACGGTGGCGAGAGGCTTTGGTAGCAGAATTTGTTCAGCCCTAAACCCCGTGGTCCGGGTGACCTGTAATCCACATTGTTTTTGCACTTCAAATGCAACATCAAAGTCAAGTCAATTTTGAGTTTCACTTCAAAAGTTGAGAACAAAATTATACAAAGTAAGTGTCAAGCACATGAGATAAAAAGGAAAATTAGTAGCAAAATAAAACACATTTATTTAAAGCTGTAATGGCAAACCTGGAACAAAAGCTCACTCTTAAAACACAGTCACAGAACTCTAACCCTTCCTGTCAGCTATTATTCCTGGGGCAAGTCCACCTGACAACGATAACTCGCATTGCCAGAGGAAACGAGAGAGCGCTAAACACTAGTCGCCGTTTTCTAGGTCCAAACGCGTTTTGTTTTCCAGTACTTCTATTGTTTTTCTTTTTGGGACTCTGGTAGTTTGTCCTAAAACTGGAAGTTTCTCCTCTGGTATTATAGAGCGACAAACCTCTCACACCAGTAGTGTTCTGTTGTGCTACGCACGAGTGCATAATAACTGGAGGACCCAGTAAACGCAGAGGTGCGTTAGTTCGTTGAGACCAGACAACCAGATGGTCCAATCGTTGGTTTCGGACCTAGGCATGTCAAAATACTCCTGACTAATTTTCAAAAACTGAAAATTAAATTAAATTATCTTATTCTACTGCAATATAGGAAAAATGTCCCAAACTGAGCAGTGATTATTTCTGGAACTGACAGATCTTTAGGCAAAATCCATGTGGTGTGCCACAAATCAAAGTTGCTCCCAAGCCTACAAAACTAACCAAACCATCACCACTTCTTTCTCCTATTGGAGATTTTTATTCTCATCACAACCTGCATCAACTTTTTGTAGGAAGACATAAATGACAAACAAAAGCAAAACTGCATTCTGCATTCCAAACTATGTGACAGGCAGATTTAAGGTCCTTTTGTCACTAAAGAACACCTAGAAGCTCAGCTTATACTTAACAAATACCTACGCTTGCTGGAACAGGAAGAGAAAACTGTCAAAACCCCCGCTTCTTAGATCCTCTGAGACAACATTTTACCCGTTTCTGTTGAGACAGTTTTCCCCTTCAGCTAAAAGTCGGTGTATCAATAAAGTAAAGATCACAATATATCAAATGATTCAGATATTGTAAATACTTCAGTTCAGCAAACGAACATTTGCAATAAGGCATGATGTTAAAAAGTACAAACACCTGTAGCCTATAAGTTGCTTGGATCCTTGAAACACATTCTTGACATTTGAACCAACTTAACTGATGAAAAGAAAGAATGCACTGGGCTGACTGGTGACAAGCTCCAACACAAAACTCTGTAACCCGAACACTCCGGGCTTTAGAGATAATAACACAGGTAGATTTATGGAGGAGCAGGGCGGGGTTTTGCTATTGAAAGACTACAACGAGGACAGTTCAAGTTATTCTGGGGACGTACTTTTGGAGGTTGGTCACAAACCACAAAGGACTGAGGATTTCATCCGTTTGTTTGATGCACCAAGATGTGGCCATGTAAGATTCTGAATTCATTTTAAAACGTGTAAAAGCAATGCTATTATAATAAGTTTTAACACAATGTTTAAGATCATAAAAAGCAGAAGTGAAGCATCCAGAAAGCTTTTGATGAGTTCAAAACATAAACAAAAAGGGGTTTGCCCAAATCCAGCTGCCTCCGTCTGAGTAGGACCAATTACGTCACAGCGAAGTGAGAAGGCTGGCTGAATTCAAAGGAACATTTGAGGACAGGTGCTGTATCCTCATTGGCAAAGACTATTCCCGGATTCATTGTAGGCCAAATGGGGAATTTTTGTCCCCCGTTTGGCCTGTCCTCTGCTGCCAGCGAATCAAAGGAAGTGATGCCACCATCACTGGCAATCTCTGAGTATGGCTAGAGCTACTAGCTGAAACATGTAAGGTAAACAAATAATTTTACTAAACTGTGTAAGAAAAGAACTAAAAAATGGAGGAGGAGCGCTTTTTTAACACAGTATTATAGTGGGATAAAATAAGTCATTAGCGTTTGTAACATTAGAGCAAATATGTGACATACATACGTGGTCTAAAGGTAATAAAATCATCATTACTTTTGTTGCTACACCGAAGAATACAAGTAACTCTGTTGATGTTAGCAGCTAACAAGAGGCAATTAGCTTACAGAAGTGACTGACTCTTCATTCTCCACCACAATGTGTTTCATTTAATGTGTTTATGCATCGCCACTTTGCTCCCGTGAAATGAGTTTCACTTTGCAGATTTTGCCATCTACTTGCTTCTCTTTTGCAGAATGCTCCCAAACTATGGAGCTAAGTTGCCGACTCGCCATGATGTCTTCTCTCTTTGGTGATCTGAAGGCTGATCTGGATGGCGACTACTGCACATGAGACTCAAGCAGAAAGCAGCAGAAGGTACCGCAGCAGGCAAGATTAAAAAAAGCTCATAGAATAAAGAATTTATTGACTGTTCAATTTATCGTTGACTATTTTGTTTGTCAACGTTATCATGGCACGTCGACTAATCGTGGCAGCACTATGGAAGACCACAGAAAAACTGCTGCTCAGTACTTCACATTAGTTACTGAATCGTAATTTTCTGGCTAAAAGCAACTGCAAACCTCCATTAGCTTCGGTTAACTCTGTTAGCTGGTAGCTACATTCACTCAGAGGGTGTTTCTCAATGTCGAGGTACCTGGCCTCACAAGTCAATGTCTTGCAAGGATAGGCGCCTTACGACGACACAGTCCTTCCTTGGTCAAAGAAAACTATTAAATGGAACAGACTTGCATCACGTGACACGGGAGATAACGTTATATTTTATACGTATAAATTTCAATATAAATATATAATGAGCTGTTTACTTTTTAAATTGTGTATGTTTGTTAAATTAAATATGAAAGAAAGTTACAACCTGCTAGCCACCAAAGCTACAACTACTAGCAATCAACCAACCATAGCTAGAAACCTAGAAAAAAAAATACATTTCAGATATCAGCCCAATAGCTACAATTAGTTGACTTACATTTAAACTTGAAATTTGCCCCCGGTAGCTGCCGGCTTCTGATCTGCCATCCTTTTGAAAATACCGCAGTGTATTCTGGGTAATTTTTGACCAAGGCTAGGCGACAAGACAGCACCCGTTAGCTAGCTAAACGGCTAACAAACAGAGAACAGACACCATGGTAGAACATGAACATTGGAACACGCCTGGCAGTTCCTGATGACATATCTCCTAGGCAACCAGGGCGGGACCAAGACATCAAGGCGAGGTTCCTTGGCATTGAGAAACACCCAGTTTTCCCATATCTTCACAGTCTCTCTCCCAGCTCCATCCCTTTGCCCATTTTTTGTTGTACAGGAATGACGAGACATTTGACACAGCCAAGATGGCGGTCATGGGAACCATACAATGGGCTTCAATTCAGCTCTTCAGAAACCTACGGGTGAGGTTGGTCCATCTTGCTAGTACAGTCATTGGTTAAAACCCTTTTTACTGAATCCAATCATGAGGAGATTCCCATCCCAGATAAAATAATGCATCACTTAAGAACAGCGAGAGAATTTTGATTCAGAAAAACATGCATTATCATTAGCAGAGCTTCTTCAATAACTACTTAAAAAAAAGAATTTGTCTCAATAAACAAGCCAAGTACTGGAAGGGGGATTTTTTTTTTTTTTTTGTGAAAGCTCGTATTTTGCTCCCTGTTGCTGAGCAGCAACTGGTGTTTTTTTTATCCCAGTCACACTTCAGTCCCTGCCGTTATTTTCTTCAGGGCACCAGCGTGTGAACAGGTCACTTCTTCTGCAAATGTTAAAGCTGTTTGGGGTTTGGCCACAGCAAATGTTTTGTTGAACCTACCTACTTTGTTAGACCTATTGATTCTACAATATTTAAAGACTTATAAATAAATATAACACTGTGGTTCACGTGAAGCGTTATCTAAAGATTATAGGCATTATCTGTATTATTGAGCAGGATTTTTCCTTATGCTTTGTCTAATGTATTAATAAAAGAGATAAAGGAAAGCAATTAACCCTAACACGTTACTGCAGAGATTTATGTACAGATCCTAAGTCTGTTCTAGCTGGAGCCTCACCCTGCAAGTTACAAATCAAGTGTTTTAAAAGCAAATACCACTCACCGCTCTTCAGTTTAACATGGGCAACCTTCTAAATACCGGTACCTAAACAGTTGCAACTTCCATGTAGACAGGGACCACGTGATCATCACCAACACTTGCAGGAGGTTGTATTAGTGCTTATTTTGTTTATTGTTTACTTTAATCCATCGCAAACTGACTAACAAACATTTGGAAACTTTCTGCTACAAAACAAGCTACTTTGTAGGTTAGTGTGTTTACATGTGCATCTAAAGCCTGATTCATTCTTCTCCATCTGCGTCGGTGCGGAGACATGCAACGTCCTTGCGGGCCTGCTGGAGAGCTCCGCAAGGACGGACGGGGTCGAGCTCTCTTTTCTAAACATCTGTCAGTCGAGACGGACAACGCAAGCTTGTGATTGGTCAGGGCACCGCTGTCGACTACACCACCACCATTGCGCCCTCAAAAACATAAAGAGAGCCGAGGATAACTAGTGGCAGACACGGAACAGCTTGAAGAATACCTCGCGAAAAAACTCTAAAAACATGAAGGTTTAATTCCTCCGTGACTGGAGGAGTGAAAAGATGCGCAGCAAGCGTTTTATTTGTGGACGGAAATGACAGGAAACGTGGGTTAGAGGTGGGGAGCGCATGAAGAGGTGGAGGAGGATGAGAGACAAATTTGTCTGTGTTAAAAGTCTCTTATATACTAAAAATACACAATATAAACACACTATCTTGGACCGATACATGACAGGATGCCACAGAACAGCGCTACGCCCTCTGTTGTCCTGGTGGGGAATTGCTTTGCAACACTCTCCAGGAGACGGAGAAGTATGAGTGCAAAACACTTCCGTCAATCCGTGCGTGTCTGTCCCTTGCAGAGCTGATGGAGAAGCATGAATCAAGCTTAAGTCGATCTATGGTAAACTGGGAGCCTTGATCTTAGTTTACATGCGAGTTAGAAAACCAAACTCTCAAATGACGCGTGTTCCACGCCGCCACAGTAGGTGGTGACATCGGCTTTTTCGTGTCGGTATTCTTCCAGTTAGCTTATAGGAACACAAACAGTAAACACACGCTGGCGGGAGTGAAGCAGATGGAGTTAAAGCAGGATGTGCACACTGGCCAAAGGAATGGACAACAACAACAGTGCAGCACAGCTTATTTGGTATGTACGGCATAATTTGGTGGCGTCACATTGTGGCGATGATCTTACTAGAAGACCGCTTCCGCTGTCTCGTCACTTCTGGAGGTTACCAGTCACAGCTTGACTGTGCCATTTACATGCAGATAAATTTGGGTGCATTATCTGGGTGCTTCACTTCAGCCACTGTCCTATCAGGTGACCCCTCCAGGAAAGGTGACAGTTGAGCAGGGTTGATGGTTTATCACTTGAGGTCCACGTAGCAGGGGCGAGGTGGTGCTCACTCCTCACCCCTGCTACGTGGACCCAAGGAACAAACCATCAACCCTGCTCAATGGTAACCTTTCCTGGAGGAGTCACCTGATAGGACAGTTGGAGGGTGAAAAAACGTCTTTATTTAGGTAAACGGTTCGGTTTTCTGATGAGTATGTAAATGCTCTGAGTGAGATGATGGGGTAATCAAACCATCACGACCCCCTTTTTTCTAAAGAAAAGAGACACTTTCATGTTTCATTTGAGTTTTTCCCAGACAGGCAAACAATTGCTTCCAGGTCAATAAATGGAGGGAAAACCATTTCTTTTTTTTATACAGCAACACACTCCTCTCAAAACTGCATCTGGGTCAGCACTGAGATGAGTTTCCTTCTTTATGATTCCAATATTAATGAGGAGGGAGTACGCATTTCAGATTGTGTTACAAATAGATACTGAAGAGAGAATATGTCTCCGTCTGGTAGGCGAGCTGGTGAGCGCAGACTGCAGCTGTGTGTTCCCAAAGCTCATGCTGGATGCAAAACAGGCTTTATCAAGTGAAACATGAAAGAAAAAAACATTTAAAATCAAGAAAATGACCTTTTTTAACTCCTACACAACAAAATGAGCTCAATGTCAGAGTTCCCAAGTTTAAGGAAACAGACGAGATTTGATCTTCATCGTGGATTTGGACACAGCCTATGAGCGCCACCTCAGCCGTAACGCCCCCGGAGCTCCGGGCTCTTTGCTGTGATGCACTGTGCTACAGAGCAGAAACCGACAAGATCCTGATGCACATGACTGCACAGAACAAGGTAGAATATGAGTCAGATTCCCATTTACAGTCTTCATTACAATTATCATTTTTATGCAGTAGTTTGTGGCTTAAAATAGCGCTTTAATAGATGTTACAGGCCACTACTGAGCTACCATGAGTATTCTAAAGGGAATCAAGAAGTATCATCTCACCAGTAATCAAATTATCTCATAATTTAATTATTTGTCGTTTTATATTAAACTATATCACAAAAATGAGATTTTTTACGGGTTTATTCTGTACAAACAAATGTGCATGTGCTTTTCTTTTCCAGCAACACATACTTGCACAACTTCATCTTTTAATGGAAAGAAAATCTACATATCCACAACATAACTTTTATTTTAAGCAAAACCATTAAACCTTAGCGGTTCAAGTAGCCATTTTTATATCTAAAAATACCTGAGTGCACAGCTGCCTGACTTCTGCTCCATTTGATGAAAATTTCATAAGCTGAGTATTTGAAAGACCACATGATCTAGACAAATGCCTGCGGCTTGTAAATCTACAATTTGGCCTTTTGTTCTATAGCTGACTGTAGTTTAAAGCCTTAAATAAGGCTGTGCAAACCACTCAGCACGGTTATTTTTCCTCTCAGTAACACCTTCAAGAGAAATCTAGAGAAAACAAGTTATTTTGTATAATTATATTTAGAAAAAAACATTTCTCATGCTTCTTCTTCTCCAGTCATAACAGGGTCGTTGTTAAGATTTACAATCCAGGCAGCCAGTTTCTGACCTCCTGTCCATCTGGAGCCTTGAACGTTACACACACATTACCATAATTATGACACCAGATGACCATTCTTCACCCTTCTCCCTGCCACATATGTCACACTGGGCTTTAAACACAATGCCCTGATTTTAAATGAACTCAAACATCAGAAAGTCCTCTCCCTACCCCCCTCCAGGAAGCGCTCTGGGAATCCCTTTTGACTTTGACCATCCCTCAAATTTGCAATTCATCATTTCACCTTCCTCGGCATCACAAAACCACCACCAGCAGCACTGCTTTGTCATTGTAATGACACGGACACAAGCTATAGTGTTTGTTTCCTGTAGAGACTGGACGACAACCCAATGCCTTCCCGAGCCCACTGGTAGCCGCTCAACATCGATAACTTACAACCAAACCATCTTCTTACACACCGCCTCTCGAGCCAGAAGTGATACACCATGTCTCACGTGAAAGCACGGAAAGTGGATGGGAGAGGTTAGGGAGTAGCTGCATTTCTTAATTAGCATAGGAGGCACACTACAAACCAACAACGCCTCTCAAAGCCAGCTGATTGCACGGCACCAACTTGTAGAGGAACAAACTGATGCAGCGATGGGTGTGTGAACAGACAGCAGTGGGTTTTAACACCAGCAGGGTGCAACTGATGTGTGAAAGGGATAAAGTCACAGACAAACAGGATGTGGTTACAACTAAAGTAAACAAAAATAAAAAAGCAACTGATTAAACAGAAATCTGTGCTTACAGAACACAAACGTGTGGTTGTGTGAGCGAGCTTTTGGAAAGTTAAGATCTTGTTCTTCTCATCTCCTATAAATACAGTTGCTGAATCCTAACGGCAGATTAAGGGACTTACCTTGCTTTGTACAATTTTAATTCAGCTTTTCTTCACAGAAATCAAAATCCAACAGGAAGGAAATGTTAGAAGCAGGATTACAAATACTCCTGCAGCAGCAGCAGAGTGACTAGCTGCAAGGATGAGTTGAAGAACCAGAAGAAAGAGGGAGGAGTGACTACTTTCACCCCCACCTCACCTCCCTCAACACACACACACACACACACACACACACGCACGCGCACGCACACACACACTCCAGCTGACTCTCACAATCTTCCCTCCCTTCCAACCCCCTTAACTACAAATCCATTGCCAGCAGGAATATGTTCCCGTTGTAACTGCCCTGACGAGAAGCACGGTATTTATATTAAATGTTGCTGCCTTAATGAAAGAGGAAAAGCTGTGGCATTAAAAAAATCAATACAAGTTTAAATGTAAACAGATTTTAGTCGTTTGAGTCTCAGAGATGGAATGGTTTGTCTGTAACCCTCTCAGGCTCAAAATAAGTTTTGATAAAAGGACAAACAACTAAGTCATTCAGGGTACTTCTGAGTTAAGAAATGCTCATAAAATACGTATGTGGAGTAACCAGGTAGGTAGGTTTTACAGTTTTTTACAGACGTTAGGACCCATATCTCAATACTAATGTCACTTTTCTTAGACACTTCACACAGTTATCCTAACTGAGTTTCAGCTTGGCAAAACAGTTCATTTCACATTCAAAATGCACTACAACCACCAAAACACTTCATTCAGGTCTCAAATAAACACATTCCTCCAGAACACTAGCAAAGGTTGACAGCCGACAAACACAATTTGTCACCCACAAAACAAAGACCTAAAAAACACTAACAACATGTAGCATTACATTTTCTTGTGTAAAACAAGGACACATCTCTGTTCATACTTCCAATAGATGTTACTGGAATGAATCAGACGTGATGCAGAATTAGTCAATATTTCATGCTGTTCATTTATTTTTAATGGTATTTGTTTTTGCACTAAGTACTTCCAAAACACAAGACTTCGTCAACACAACATCCAATGATACAGATTCAATATGCTAATCTACTCGGTCTTCTCCATTTGGCCACAGGTTCTCATCCACATCACATCTTATGTCATCTAGGGCAATACACCTAGGAAAGAATCTTCTGGCATGCCTGATCCATCCCTGGCAATCTAAATGATAAATGATGATAAATGACCCGCACTTGTATAGCGCCTCTCAAAGTAAGGACTCCAAAGTGCTTTACACTACAGTGTATCATTCATCCATTCACACACACATTCATACACTGATGGTGATGAGCTACGATGTAGCCACAGCTGTCCTGGGGCACACTGACAGAGGCGATGCTGCCGAGAACAGGTGCCACCGGACCCTCCGACCACCACCAGCAGGCAAGGTAGGTTAAGTGTCTTGCCCAAGGACACAACAGCAGAATTCTCTGTCCGGAGCCGGGATCGAACCTGCAATCTTCCGATTACTGGACAACCCGCTCAACCTGTTGAGCTACTGCTGCCCCGATACTGCTACTGCTGATATGTCCAGGCATCCAGCATACATTGCATCCAGAAGGGACATTTGATCATGTGGATGATGGTCGTACACCTTCCACTGCCATGAGGCAAAGAATTCCTCTATAGAGCTCCGGGAGTTGACGTCACTTCTCCCAGCATGCAACAGTTCAAATCGAAACGGCGCCATATTGGCATGCAGAAGCCGGCAGCTGGACTATTTGTTATTGTCAGAAAACTCAATCAAACGGGAAATATGGTAGATTCCTGTTGTGCCCCAGGATGCAGAACAGACGCGGACGACATAAGGAATGAGCCATATACAGGATTCCCCAAGATCCGGAACGCCGCAAACATTGGATCACTGTAATAAAACGCGCTAGTGACCGGGCGAAAATGAAGCTGTGGGATCCCGAGAGTAAAGGTTTTCGCTTATGCAGCGACCGCTTCATATCAGGTACTTAAACCAACGTTTCCTCAACTGTGTGTGGTATTTATTTTAAATGCTTTTATTATGATTCTTAGTGGGCTTCCTAAACTTATTTTGGCGTGGCTTTTTCTGTCTTATTACTCATAGCAGCAAGTAAACATCACGTAAAATGTTGCCTCGTGAGTTCTGCGTGCTGCCGTTTCCGTGTTTTATGATGACAGCAATTAACCGGCTAAGCTGTATTTAATTTTTAAGCAATGGTTGATCAATTGTCAGATCACACATAAAAAGCACTTTGGATTGCTATTATCTGTCTCACCGAGACTACTTACGTGTAAATCTGTTATTTGTCCATCCATCCATCCATTTTCATCCGCGTATCCGGAGTCGGGTTGCGGGGGCAGTAGCGTGACTTCCCTCTCCCCAGCCGCCGGAGCCAGTTCCTCCGGGTAAACCCCAAGGGGTTCCCCGGTCAGGTCCGGTGTTGTGCCGGTAAGAAGTCCGCTCTGACACCTTCTGGCGTCGGAGCGGGCAGTAGAGTCGAGAGTCCCATACATTCTCCCCAGCTCCTCCGGCCGGGGGAATCCCAAGGGGTTCCCCGGTCAGGTCCGGTGTCGTGCCGGTAAGAAGTCCGCTCCGACAGCTTCTGACGTTTTTAAAAAGTATCCCAGGGGCACGGTAAGGGTCGGAGATGTTTAGTCTATTTAATTTCTGACTATATAAAACGATTTCTTCTGTTTTAAAGTGTGAAGTAAACTCCGACGAAGTAAAATCCAAGCGGATCCCGTTCAGTTCATGGTTACATCCGTGTTTGTTTACCTTTTTTGCATGCCAAAATGGCATCCACTAACTGAGAGTCACGTGGGGTCCAGAGCTCTATGGGGTTGAGGAATGGAGAGTAAGGTGGGAGGAAAAGTGACTCCATTCTGGGATGGGCCACAAACCACTCTATGACTGCATGGGAGTGGTGAAATGCCACATTGTCCCATACAATTATATGTGTTGGCATTGACTACTTTTATAATGACATTGAAAGTGTAACACCTGTGCAGCTGTTCATCTACAATTAGAGTCAGCCGTGGCTGATTAAACTGCATTTATGTTTCAATAACATATTGCTGTTGGATTTTGATGTCATATTCAGTTTTGCAGTATGTTATTGTTTTGAACATAAGTTTTACAGTTTTGTGAACAGTATGTAAGCAAGTGCAAAATGTCCTGTTAGTACAATGAGTTTTGGCAGTTGTTGTGTCTGAGTGAGAAGGGACATCATGACATTTGAGAGATGTAGTCACTCAATGCATTTTGTGTCAAAGCAATGATAATTGATCCTCAGTTTGGCCCACATAGACTTCTGTTGTGCACACTGTATGTAGAGTTTTGCAAATGTGACCTAGGTATTGAGAAATGGGTCCTAACGTCTGTAAAAAACTGTAACTGTTGCAATTCAGCAACGCCTGCCTCCAGAGAGTTAAGGTAAATGAAGGCTGAAAAAGGTCAGATTTGCTTTGTTGTTGTATAACTTTAGATTTTCAAACACAGCACAAGTGATGCTGCACCGCATCAGCTGTGACAGCAACGCTGGCTTCTTTTTTTAAAAGGTAAAATAACTGCAGAGAGGACACAGGGGAGTAGAAAAGGGCAGGATGTGAGTGTGACCAGAGCGTCTGTTTGGCTGCACCCTGCATCATGTGCTCCAGAAACAGCTTCTCATGCATACTGAACAAGAAAACATGCCCCGAGCAAGTTGGAAAGGTAGACACCATGAGAGTGAGGGAGGAAAAGTTCTGAGTTTGCAAAATAATTATGAGATTAGAGGATCTTTTCTAGTGATTATGGGAGGGGGAAAAAAAACTTGGTTTACACAAAAGTTTTTATTTAGAATGGTAAAACTAGACTATCAAATACCACACTTTGTTTCATAACAGAATACATTTATGACCAAACACAACCCCATAATAAAGTCCTACCAGAAAGACTGGTTTGCCCCGCCCACTTTTTTATATTAATAAACAAAATAGCATGAGTGTGAGTTGATCTGTATGTAAAAGTCACTAGCATTGGCCGATACTGATATTGATGCCGAAATATTGTACATTCCTAATATAAAAAAAGAAAAATGGGAAAAAAGGGAAAATTTACATTAAGAAATGTGAAGAAATCATTAAAAAAAACTGTAATCATGGGATCCTAATAAAAAGACGGAATTAATATAAACAGCAGCATGAAAAGAAGCCAGGGAGCAAGACGATGACCAGGAGGTCACACCTAAAGCTTAGTTTATGCTTCTGCATCAGCTCCACAAGCTGATGCAGAAGCAATTATTATTATTATTATTATTATGATTATTATTTTATTCCGTGTCCTGTCACAGTGCATTAAGTGCCCACCATAGCCTTAAGACATGTGTTGAACGTGCCCAAGTCCATACTTATGAGAGCACCATGTGAACACCTGTGTGTGTACATGCGCTTGTATGTGTAAGGTTTCTCTGTAGGAGCGTACAATAGAGAGTGTGAGGGGCCACAGATCTGCCCCTCAAAGATACATAGCAGATGGAAGGAGCTCCAAGTCCCAGAGATCCAGGAACTGCCCCAGAGCACAGGGACCCCAAGGAGACCACGACCAGAAAAGACCCCGCCCCCCTCGAGAGGCGCAGAGGATCGCCTCGGGGGCCACAACCAGCAGCCGGCAGAGTCTCGGGAGATATCAGCGGCAAGCCCACAGGCCCGCCCGCAGCCTCCCACCCCCCAGCCGGCCGAGCCCAGGAGCCAGGGGCGACCACCCCCGCTGGGGACCCAGCAGAGCCCAGGGACCCAGATCCCACCAGGCAGCCACCGGTATTGATCAGGCAGACGCCAAAAATCTTAAACCCCCTGACCCGGAAGCCATGACTACTTAGGCAGACCAAGGCACCACACTCCACACCAGGTGTGGCGGGGGAGGGGAGACGAAGATGTCCTAGGAGAAGGGAGGAGTCAAAGGCCCCACCTGACGTATACAGTCATAAACAGACACAGTCACACACTCCCTCCCTCATGCTCACACATACACATACAGCCAAAGACTTACAAAAATGCATGCCGGACACCCACTCATGCTCCCCATGCACACCCTATTCACTCTGGTCCCGGTACTGCTGCACATGGGGTACAACCATTGACGGTT